GCTTGGAAGAGGACATAGCGGCGTCCTGCCGTCCGGTAGGGTCGAGCGCGTCCGAGAGTGGGCGACAAAGGGCGTTGTATAGGTGTGTTGAATGATTATGAGGTCGTGGAGAGCTAGCGAGCAGAAAGCATCGGTGTCGGGAGGGAAGGGTGAACGTCGAACAATGACTGCTACAGCAAGCACGACGCGCCTGCACGAATACACCACGTGACTGGGGCAACACGCGAGGCGCGATTTCATTTGAATTTTGAAGTTCACGCGCCCTCCTCCCTCTTCAATTTGCAAAGATCGCAGTTTACAGCCCTTTGCATAAAAGTGCGGAATCATCACGAAAGCAATTTCGGGTAGACGCCCAGGCACAATGCGCAGATGTGACCTGGGGCGTCACGCCCTCTGTGAGTAGCGCGCGCGGTCCTCGCGCCTCGCGCGACTCCCTACTTATGCTCGACGCGTCTCGGAGATTGCTAGCTACTCTTGTCTCCCGCGTCCAGCCATGGCTCCTCAGTCTCGAGATACGTGATCCACTGGCACGTCGTCGACAACAGGCCGGTCTCCGAGATCTGCGAACTCGCCACCTGCCACAGGTCACCGCTTCAGCAGTGCGCAGCGTGAAACACTTCCGGGAGTCTGGCAAAGCAGGTATCCTCCCCAGGCCTCGACGTTCACGCTCCCTTTCAGCCGTCGACATACAATTTATCATAACAGCCATCGAGAGAAACCCAGCGGTCCATCTCGACGAACTGCATACACACTTCGGCCCAAGTCACTGCTGGTACAGTCTCGTTGACCCCTTCTCAAATCTTGCGCAAGCTAGCGTCCACTCGCGAGAGGGTCTCGAAGGTTTCGCTTGAGCGCAACGAGCTCCTCCGCGGCGCGTGGGTAGAGGAGTGGGGGGAAATCCGCATGGAATATGGTCTGGTCGGACGAGTCAGCAGCGGATGGTCGGACGAATTAACGGAGGATGGGATGGGCACCACTTGGGCTCGCGTGCGTACGTCGTGGTACGGTTATTCGTGGCCAACACTACTCTATCCTTTCTGCCTTTTCCATGGATGGTATCATCGCCCTCGTCGAAGCCCATGGTTGATTCGTCACGCCTTACATGTGATCACGCGCAAGCAGGCGTTGGCAAGAATTGAATCATGTACATAGTTTCATGTAGTTTAATAGGTTCTTTCCCCAATACTATGATCACTCTTCATATACTTGGTGCGGGAAGGCAATGGGGAGCACCCGACTTCATGCAAGTCGTGTCCGACCGCGGGATCCAGCTCGCGGGGGGTGTGACGACCGGGTCACATCTGCGCATTGTGCCTGAGCGTCTACCCGAAATTGCTTTCGTGATGATTCCGCACTTTTATGCAAAGGGCTGTAGCGTAACCCCACGGAAGTCCCTTGACGCTGCAAGCAACATACCGCACAGATATATCCTGGCACACGCAGACCCCTACATCTCTCAAGCGTCGTGCCTGGAACATTAGAAACCGTTCCATTGGTATGTAGCATACGACTCTGCTGGTAACGAGGCAGACTAGAGGCTTCCTATAGTAATTAATGGGCACTCGCTCGATGATCTCTGACGATGGTTCGATGCATGCATGAATATATACAGATGCAACACGAGGTCAACACAGGAGGGCCCGATACTACTCTTATAACAAGGGTGGACTTTTTCCGGGAGTACGAGAACACTGGACTCAAGGAGAGAGGGAACAGAGCGCGGTGTGAACTAAGGAGTGTGAGTTAAGCCAATTAGCTGGCAGTGGAACGAGAGTAAAGAACTAAGACGGACAAGGAGCGGCAGGTCCGGAGATGCGGTAACGTCAGAGAACACGGGGCAGAGCAGGATACATGCTAGCAGACAATCGAGGAGCGCGACGATGCATATGAAAGGGAGCGGAAGTCTATGTGAGAGAAAGAAAAAGAGAAACGCAGCGGAGAAAATTAGGCCTCTGAGGCCTCCGAAGAACTGTGCGACCTGACCGGGAGCATACCCTCGAGCTGCCGCCTGGCCTCGCGCAGCTGGCGCTGGCCGAGCTCGAGCTTCTCGTCCAGCCTCCGCTTCTCGTCCCGCATGTCGCGCGTCGCGCGCTGGAGCTTGCGGTAGCGCGAGCTGAGGTGCAGGGCCGACATGAGCTGGTACGACGACTGCCGGTGGGAGCCCTTCTCTCCTTCGAGAAGCCGCGCGGGCCAGCCTGCGTAAACGCCGCCGGACTCCGCGATCTCGCCCGACGTGAGAAGGGTGTGCTCGAGAAGCATCGACCCTTCCTCCATGTTCGCGCCGGAGAGGAGGCGCGAGCCGGACCGCAGCGCGGCGCTGCGCACGCGAAGCGGGGCGATGTCAGCTAGCGTGGTGCGTGACAAATGGAGGACACGCACGATGATCCGATGGTGAGCCTGTTCAGGGAGAACTTCCCGCGGGAGTTGATGTGCGCGACGACGGAGCAGTTGTCGAGCGCGACGCGGTCCCCGAGTTCGACGAGGTCGGGCTCCGTCATGAGTCCGACCCAGCCGCCGGCGAAGATGGCGCAGTCGCGGCCGACCTTCGCGCCCAGAGCGCGGAGGTACCACACCGCGTAGACGGAGCCGCTGATGCATCCCAGAATGCCGCCGTGGCCGTACCCGCGGTAGAGCGGCTTGGAGGCGACGAGGTGGAGCTGCCAGCGCTGGCAGTACGAGCTCTTGTCCCAGTCGTAGCCGCCGGGAGCGCGGCGGCCGATGATCAGCCACTTCATGACGACGGTGTAAACGAGGGCGACGACGGCTTGGAGGCTGAGCGTGCTGATGAACCAGCAGGAAATCAGGCCGAAAAGAATGAAGATCTGGCGCCAGCCGTCCGCGAAGAGGTGGAGGTGGTGGAGGTGAATCCGGAGCAGATTGAGGACCTGCGTGCCCACGACGGCGGCGATCGACCAGTACCCGGCGCAGACGATGGCGACGAGGACATTGATGACGACGAGCAGGGGGTAGGGGAAGACGAAGTACGACGCCTTGCGCTCGTAGAACGCGCGGCCGAAGGGAGTGACCGTCGGAGAGTCGTGGTCCGCGTCCTGCCCGCCCGTCTTGAAACAGACCGCCTCGCCGCGCTCGGAACCCATCCACACCGAGCCGTCCTCGTACGTCGCCTCCCGCCTCCCGAGCGCGCCCGAGCCCATGAGCGTGCGCTTGCCGACCGTGGTGCCGGGAAGGAGCACGACGCGGTCCGCGATCATGGCCCCATCGCGGACGACGACGCGCGCAGAGCCGTGCCCGTCGGTGGTGAAGACCTCCGAGCGCGACCCGAACACGACGTCGTCGCCGACCTCGAAGAGCTCCGGGTCGGGGCAGTACACACCTGAGCCAGGCCAGTAGACGCGCTTGCCGATCTTTGCGCCCATGCAACGCCAGACCATCGACGTGACCTCGTAGTGCGAGCCGATGATGTCAAAGGAGCGCTTGATGGCACTCTGGCTGAGGAGGACGCTGTTAATGAAGCGGCGAAGGAGGTCCCACTGAGAGGCGTCGGCGGCAGGGCCCTCGCGGTTGAAGCCCATGATGCGCTTGATGATGATCCCAAGGACGAGCTGGACAAGGGGAGGGAAGATGACGCGGACGACACGGGCGACGCTGTGCCAGGCCACCCGGGTGGGAGACGCGAACCAGACGATGACTCTCTCCAGAGCGGTAAAGTCGCCCTGCGGCGCGGGCTGAGAGAGGAGGGCGATGAGCGCGGCGAACCAGGGAAGGTAGGAGGCGAATTTGACGAGGAAGATAATTGGTGCGGCGACGAAGACCTTGAGAGCCCAGTGGGGTTGACGGAAGGCGCCGCGGTTGTACTGCGAGAAATCGTTGGGAGCCGGGCCGTCGTGAGAGGAAGAATGAGGACCGTAGGTCGAGCCATCAGGAATGACGGTACCAGGAGCCAGCTGAGTGTAGGTGTTCACAGTCGCCCCGCGGCCGATGACGATGCGGTCGAGGGTGAAGTAGCCGTCGCGCTCGACACAGAACCCGCGGACCAGAGAGTTGTCGATGCGGCATCCCGTGTGCAGAGTGAGGAGATCGAACTCGCCGAGGCGTGCCTTGGGGTCGATGTACACGTCTTTGCCGATGCGTGCGCCAAGAAGACGGTAGTAGAGAATCTCCGTCGACGGGTGCGCGGCGAAAACTCCACGACCCAGGACACGGATCACCTGGTTCGTGATCCACCAGCGGAGGTGATAGTTGCTCCAGAAGCGGTACGTCCCCGGCTTGTATCGACCGATAACCACCCACTTGAACGCGATGGCAAACAGAGGGAAGACGATCTTGACCACCAGGCGGGCGCCGACGATCGCGAGGAGAAGTGAGCCGATGCGCAACCAGTAAGAGCTGTCGACGAATTGGGTGAAGACCGACAAGATGTAAACGATCCCGGTCCAAGTGAACGAGGTTTTGATCGGGTAGATGAACAGGAGAGGAATGGTCTGGACGAGAAGAGCGAGCGGGTGGTACTGGCTGCGGCCGCGGTCATCGACCTTGAGGCTGACTTTGATCGACTGGTCGAAGGTGGGCAGGTCGAGGGTGTCGGCGAGCGAGTGCCGGGACGAGGCCTTGGAGTTGTTCACCTCGGTGTTCACCGCGGTCTTGTCGAAGTCGAGGAGGACCGACCCACCGTTCGTCTCGATGAGGGAGGCAATCCCGTTGATGGTGCTGTGTGCGAAGATGTCCGGCACGCGCAGCGTGACCCCCGTATCCTTGCGGATGCGGTGGGAGAGGCGACCGATGAGGAGGGAGTTGCCTCCGAGGAGGAAGAAGTCGGCGTCGCCGGTGATGGTGCCAGGGTCCTTGACAAGCAGATCTGCCACAATGTCGCGGACGAGGAGGGCGTGGGGAGACATCGCCGTCGCGTTGCGTCGCGCGACCGCCGCTTCCATGTGCTCCCAGTCCACAGCCGCATCGCGAGTCCTGGCGAGAGGCTCGGTAAAGACGAGAAGAGGGTCGGGGATGGCGTAACCGGGAATCATGGAAGACAGGGTGTCGCATATGGAAGTTACGTCCACGGGCGCAGAGGCCGGGGCGACCGAAACCAACGCCTCGGGAGAACCATTCTTCCGGAGGCGAACAGCCACTTCGACCACACCGTCAAGGCTCGCGAGCGCGCGCTCAATGTCACCGACGTTGATGGCGACGCGGCGGCAAGATATCGGCTGAGAGAGGGCGGCCTCCTTGGGCGGGGTGTCCGCCTCGAAGTGGCGTAGGACGGAGGGCGTGTGGTCCGTGAGCGGCTGCAAGCCAAGGCGTTCCGCTAGCTTGATCCGGAGAGGCTTCCCAGCGTTGTTCTTCGGGAGGTCTTCCATGTAGACAACCGCGAACGGCCACTTGGAAGGGTGGAGCTGTGTCTTCAGCAAGTCGAGAAGCTCGGGGAGGCCGACGCGGGGGGCGCCGGGAGCCGGGACGATGACGACCCCGATCGTCTCCTGGAGGACATCGTGCGGGATGGAGAACGCGAGAGTGGCCTTGACGCGGTGCTTGGCCAGCGAGCTGATGGCCTCCTCTATCTCGAACGGCGAGATGACCTCGCCACCCTTGTTGATGATCTCCTTGGACCGCCCGGTGATGTACAGGTAGCCGTCGTAGTCCATGTAGCCGACATCGCCCGAGTCGAACCAGCCTTCGGATGAGAACGCGGATGTGTCAAGGGGCGCGCCGAGAGACGTTTCGTAGCCATCGAATGTGGGAACACCACGGACGCAGACCGCGCCCGTGGAGCCTCGCGAAACCTCGCGCTCGATGTTGAGAGGGTCGCGAATGGACAGATGCGGACCGCACGCGAGACCGGAGCACCCAGGCCGGTCGAGCTGGTAGCTCGTAGGCGGCGAGGCGATTGGCATGCACTCCGTCATGCCGTAAGACGGTAGGACGACCGACCCAAAGTCTCCTTGAGTTGTTGCGCCAGAGACGGGAGGAGCCCGCCGGCTGCGTTGGCGATCATGCGGATCCGGGTGTCGCGGAGCGGCTGCACTGATTCGGGTTTCGAGCCCAAAATAGCGTGATGCATCGTCGGCGCTGCGTAATACCTGCACGTTCACGATCAGCACGCGGAATATCACCGCCGGTGAAGACACTTACCACGTCGCTCCGCAGGCCATGACAATCGGCCAAAAAGCAGTGCTGTCGAACCCAGCGCACATAATCGCACTTCCTCCGGCGAAGATCGGCGCCCATAGATTCCGCACGATGCCGCCCACGTGGAACAAGGGCATCATGTTCACTGTCCCGACGTCCCGTTCAGCCCACGCTCGTCCCCGTCGAAACTGCACTCACTGTTCACGTCGTCCGGCCTGAGCTCCCATGAACAGCCACTGCGCACGTCCCGACGATGAGCGACCGCAGCGAGTAAGGCACGACCTGCGGAGGAACACGGATTTAGCATCCGCGCACCCACATACACAGACGCAAACCATCCCACCTTCTTTTTCCCACTCGTCCCCGACGTGTGCAGCACCAGCGACTGGTCCGCGAGCCCGTGCGGCCGCGACGGCGCCCTCGCGGCTGCGCCACGACGTCCCAGTCGTCCGCCCCGACCCCGCCGGCGTCCGCCAGCGGCTCGGCGTCGAAGAGCCCCGCGGGCCCGTCCGTCCGGGCGCGGAGGAAGACGACCTCGCACCGGAGCGCCTCCCGGAGCCGCTTGAGCTCGAGCCGCTCGCAGACGTCGCGCGTGGTGAGGATCGCCTTCGCGCCGAGGCGCGTCGCGTCCTCGGCGAGCTCGCCGGCGGTGCACCCGGCGTTGACGGGCGCGCAGGTGTGGTAGGTGGACACGGCGAGGAGCGCGACCGCGTTCTCGGGGCTCGTCGGGAGCACGACCATGACGCGGTCGTTGGGCCCGAGCCGTTCATGGAGGCCGGAGGTGGGGAGGGCGAAGTTGATACGAAGCGCTTGAGCGCGGCGTGCGTCAGCGGCGGCTGCGTGGCGTCGGGGGACCAGAGGGCGGGGGTGTCGGTGGACGGGAGGCAGTCGAGGAGGGTGGAGACCCGGCCGGAGTCGGTGACGAGCTGGGCGAGGTGTTCCCGAGGAGGACCCTGTGGAGGGCGGCGGGGGCTGCAGGTCGGCGAGAAAAGACAGTGGGATCGACGTCATGATGTCAGGGCAGATGGGGAGGGAGGGGAGAGCAATGGTCCGTAGACGCGAGGCTGCTGCACAAGCGGCCGAAACATCGACGATGCGCTTATATAGAAGAGGAGACGAGGACGTGAGAAACACAGTGCCATTCGGCGACCCGAGCACATTACGCGCGAAGGGTTTGACCGCGAGGATGCATGTTGCCCGAGCGCCAGCGCTCGTGGAGTTGAATCCAAAAAACGAGTCTTCCGGGGCACCGGTTGTGGACGTGCGTCGTCCGGCGATAAGTAACGATGAGAAAACTCTGTGGGTCTTCATTCAAATTGGGCTTGGGAGTATCACCATAGGCACCGGCGGCATATGCCTAGTGGAGTAGCTATCGGGAAAACGATTTGTTCCAGGAGGAACTGACGGCCGCATCGACGGCCAAGCGGGGCCCCCCGTCCTACGCCGGCCGTACGACGCGGGAGTATCCCGTCGCCCCCGTTGAGTGGCCACACTGCGTACTGCGCTGATGATGACGATGATGGATTCGAGCCAGAATACAGCCAAGTCTCTGCGCAGTCGACGCGCAGATTCCCGTAATCTGGTAGAATGCCCAAAACGGGTTCAGACGCATCAGTCGCAAATCGCCTGAGGACACGAAATGGACGGAGGCAGCTGATTGGGGGCTACGCACCGAGATCGCGCGGGACGATGTGTTTCCCGGTTTGGGCTAGGGAAACGCTGCCGAGTGACCACAGATCTCCGGAGAGCGTCAATCGAGTCGCGCGGGATCAAGCAAGCATTCAGCCGACGAGGCGGGCCGCACGCTGTAGGGCGGTTGGCGCACGCGGCCGTAACGCGCTCCGGCATACCAATCATCCCGAGCTTAACGTCGGGATCGGGGGCACCGCAGGAGGAGACACCGGACGTTTTCGGTGCTCCAGACCGAGGGTGCCGGCTCGTGTAGGTATATGCCGTGGAGCCTTTCGCATGTCCGCACGGAGAGCATGCCGGGGCGCGTGGCAGAAGGCCGTCAGCCTGTGAACAGAAGACGGTGGTAAGCAGAGAGCTACGTGCTGACCGCCCTCCGATTGCGCCGTTCGGTGCGCAGGCGAAGCGCCGACGCGTGATGCGCGTCCACGGACAGCCACTGCACCCGCGGCAACCCAGCGGCTCTGACGTTGGCATTGCCAATCGACCCGCGCCAAGCTCAGACGGGAAGGTGAGCACATCCTGCTCCTCGCATCCTTTGCGGTGCGTGTCCCAGACTAAGGGCTTGTTATTCATCTCCCACCCTGTGCGCTGCTCGGGGCGAGTAATAGATGTGGGCCGGCGATGGATGTGAGCAGACACTGTAGAATTCGGGAGGAAGGCTGCGGTGATGATACCGTCGCCAGTACGTTGTAACGGAGGACATCGGCGCGCTGATGCTCCACGGCAGAAGCTGCAGGCGCGAGGAGGTTAGCGCCGGAATCCGCTGCACATAGCCGCAGGAAAAGACAATGAAAACATAAGGCGGAGATAGAACGGTGCATGGGTGCATGTCGCAAGGATGTCGCGACTCGCAGAACTCGTATAATGCGCCGACGGCCGCCGTTCGAAGCGATCGAGGACTCAACTATGTGGTCAAGGGGTGTGCTCAAAGCAGGTCACCGCTGCCTGTTACGATGCCAAAGTTGACACGCACCGATGTGTGACTTTTTGCGCTGCCGGCATTTGAAAGCCAGCGCTGAAAGCGAAACGATGAACTGGATCGAAGCCTTGCAGCCGACGGCATGAAGTCACCAAGATCGCCTTATCGTTTTCACGTTCAATGGGACGGCATCCAATGCAACGGCAACAGGCTACCAGACGGATGGGCGTGTAGATGTGGATGAATTGGCGCACTTAGCTAGCTGAGGTACCAAAATGCCCCGAAACCAGCGAGCAGGTACAGCAGGGTCTGCATATTCGGGTCCAGGGCCTGGAACATAGCTGCCCCTGGTGTCTCTCCACCTGCAGCCCCGCTCCTGCCTGACGAACCACCTGCGAGAGTATGGCCGCGTCCGGAGAAAGACTCCGAGGAACCACTGCCTGCCGACGAGTGCCGCTTCACGGCGTCCTCGAGCGCACTGTAGATAACGCGCATGAACAAAGTAGCAGCCCGAACGGCAACATGTCGCTTACCCCTTGTTCGCACCCCGGATCCTATCCACCTCAGATGTACCCTTCAAGAAGACGAAGGTGGGCCTAGAGCGTGCCGCCCTGTTGAGTTCGTCGTCCGAGTAGAGTAACCATACTCACATGGCGGTCACCCGATATCTCCCGGACACATCTGGCGCCTGGTCCACATCCACCTTGAGGAAGTTCGCAGCGGGGTATTGCTTGGACAAGACTCGAAGGTCGGCGCAATCATATGGCACGGTCCGCACCTTTGCCGGGTCAGCTTGGCACTCTCAGGAGATGGCAAGTTAGGTACCATGTAGCATGGAAGTCGATGACCTGCTCGCAGGACGCTGAGTCACAAGAGACATGCCGAAGGGCAAAGGGCGGCAGAACTCACGGACAACTTGTCCTTCGACTTGGCCAAGATGCCGTCAAGCTGCTTGGCATCCGAGATGTGTTGAATGCTCATGGCTCTGGCGAGGAGGGGAGACTGGCGAGGGAGCTTGCGAGAGATAAGCGAGGGGCGGGTGAGCGTGCGGAGGAGCATTGCGACGGCTGTCGTCACCGGCGTCGATGCACACGCACACGTTACGGGCGCCTTTCCTCACACGCGTTACGCCAGTCACGTGCGCCACCAAACAGACGCAAACGCGTCGAGATTACATTCAACACAACGCGTTGGACGCGACTTGCTCTACGACCACGACCATCTCCTCTACTACCCACCGTCCTTGAGTCGGCTCACAATCCACCTCCTCAACTTACCTCCCCATCTCAAACATGTCTGGACGCGGAAAGGGTGGCAAGGTAAGACGCGTCGTCCTTCATGACGCGTTGTGGCTGTAGCCCATTATTAACGTTTTCTCCACTGCGCAGGGTCTCGGAAAGGGCGGCGCCAAGCGTCATCGCAAGATTCTTCGTGACAACATCCAGGGCATCACCAAGCCGGTATGTGACCTATCACTCTGCTTGCCTCCCCATCCATTGAACGCGTCCTGGTGCACAGGCTATCCGCCGTCTCGCCCGTCGTGGTGGTGTCAAGCGTATCTCTGGTCTCATCTACGAGGAGACCCGTGGTGTTCTGAAGATCTTCCTCGAGAACGTCATCCGTGACTCCGTCACATACACCGAGCACGCGAAGAGGTGAGTCGAGCAGGCGCCCATGACACGTGATGCGCGTCAACTGACCGCCCTGACAGGAAAACCGTGACGGCGCTCGATGTCGTGTACGCCCTCAAGCGCTCGGGCCGCACTCTCTACGGTTTCGGTGCTTAAGCTTGTTTTGTCCTGCTCTTATAATGTATGGCTGTATGCGCGTCATGCCCGTGTACTATATTCCCCCAGCCTAGTATGTTCAGAGTTCCGTATCGATCAATGTCATGGAATTGTACAAAAGTAGTAAGGCGGTGCAAAGTTGTCACGGGGGTCCATGTTCCATGACAGTTGTGGCGGGCGGTGAGTAGTGGATGACATAACGCCGCGGCATCACCGATCAAGCGGCGAAGGTGCCGCTTGCCTGCAGGTGCTCGACAGCACGGACGATGTCGCTGTCGATGTCGTAGTTCCATACCGTCTGCCACATTCCGCTCACGATGTCCTTGCGGATCCCTTCGTGCGTCGCCCCGCTCGGTCCGCGGAGGTGGTAGATCATTCCCGCGCGCTTGCTGCCTTCCCACACGTCCTGTGAGCGCGGCCGTCGCACGTGGGAGTAGGCTGTGAGGACGGCCTATGTACGTCCGGGGGCGATGCGTTTTATTAACTTCCGTGCGCAGTCGCGAGAAGGAGGTGGAGCTGGACGCGCTCACCGGAAGGTTCTCTTTCTTGGTCTGCGCGTGGGTAAGGAGTCGGAAAAGAAGCAGCGCGTCCTCGATTCCTTGTCCAGCCCCGGCCCCGAGATGGGGCAACATCCCGTGCGCCTGCGCCAGATTGAAATCAGCGCGGTGCGGACTTCCCTTCCGCCGTGTGCGTCCCGCCGCGCTTCTAGCGTCGCTGGCTGCGCTCCGTTGGACGGAGAGCAGAAGCGCGGTGGAGCTGCACAGACGGCGGGGCTGGCATCAAAGCGCGCACTCACTGCGTCTCCGAGAATCGCAACGCGCGCACGGGCGTACGACTCCAGCGGCGGGTGGACGACGTGCATCGAGAACTTGAGCACCTTCTCCGGCAGGCAGGCGAGCAGCGTGAGCGCGTCGGAGCCCCAGGCCGCGTACGCCTCCTGCACCTCCGCACGCGGGACGTCTGCGGTCCACGGCGTGTCCGGCGCCCACGCCTCCATCGGGACGTCGTACCGCGCGGTGACCGCTGCGACGTTGACCTAGAGGGGGGCAAGAGTCTGTCAGCAAAGGTGCCGAACGAGGGGGTCGGGTTGCGGGTACTTACGAGCTCTCCGTTCTTGAGGGGGGTAACGATCATGTGCTGTTGGACTCGAGGTCAGCGCGAGGGAGTGGAGACAGAGAATCAACGGGGGCGCACCCGGTCCGGGCCGATGAAGCACGCCGGGCGGTCCGTCAGCGTCGTCTTGAACCCGGCTTGTTTGAGGACGGCGTGGGGGACGAGGCCGCGGTACGCGACGGCGTTGCTGAACACGACCCGCTGCGGTTCGCTCGCGCCGACGACGAAGTCGCGCACTTTGCTCCGGACGCCGTCGGCACCGAGAACGAGGTCGGTCTCGTGCGAGGTACCGTCGGCGAAGGTGACGATGACCCGGTCAGGGTCGGTGGCCGATGGGGCGACGGAGGTGCAGCGCTTCTTGAAGTGCACGGACTTGGGGTCGATGAGTCCGACGAGCGCGTCGAGGAAGACGGCACTATAGGGTAGAATGTCGGGTCAGAGGATATTCATCGTGTATCACAGAGGTAAGTTTTTACCGAAGCATTGTGATGCCTGCTCCTTCAGGCGTGAAAACATACTAGTGATATGAGGGGTTAGAACACCGTTGCACGAAAATAGTCGGATGTGCGTACTTCGTAGATGAGTTCATGGGCTCCAGTGCCTGAATAGAACAGAAAACTCCTAGCCGAAAACTCGCAGGGTTAATTTTGGCGAGTACGGCATCGAATAGACCCATGGCTTTCAGGGCGTGGATAGCATTAGACCCTAAGCAGACGCAATCAGAAGGTCACGTCAGACGTTTACAGAATGAGAGAGCGCATATACCCAGTCCAATGCCTGCACCGATTTCGCCGAAAGCACCCTAGATGATGGAGACTATGAGTAGTCTTTTCGGAAGATAGAACGCGACAAGGACATACCGCTGCTTCAAACAGGTCGACGGAAAGCCCTGCTTTCTGGAGCGCGATAGCGCACGCCAATCCGCACACCCCGCCGCCAATGATGGTGACCTGGAAATCCTTGGTGGTAGACATGGCTTGAGAGCAGAGTGCGCGATAGGGATAGGGTGTTGTCCTGTTCACCCACAGCCCAGCAAGCCGTTGTTTTTATTGGAGACCCACACGTACAGCGCATCCTTCGTGAGAGGCTAGTGACGTGGGCTAGGTGGTTTCTGTGGGACGACGCGGTCCTCCGGCATCGGCAAGCTGTGGAGATGGATGGCCGGCGTCGACGTTGCCCTTCGGCACCTGCGTGGCTAGATTGATAACCAAGCCGAAGATGATGGCTGAGTAAAAGCACCGTCCAGAACGCGAGAAGTGTGTTGGGAACGGGGAGACCTCGACTGGGTTGACGTGAAGACGAAGTTAATTACACAGCCTCCGCGCCATGCGCCCCGAAGCTCCGACCAAATGTTTGCGCAGGGTCGATAGGCTCCGATCGAATCCTCGCCCCCGCGGCCCGTCACGCGCCAGGTCCCGTCTGTCTCGTCGTGAAGGGACTGCGCAAACTGTGTTGTCGTGCACTGGCAAGCTGGGTCCGCAGGGGTCCACGCCAAGCCCACGTCTGCCTCCCGCCTCGCCACCGCTTACCCGACGATAATGGCACAAGCCGAGGGCCACTGGTTTCTCCTCTCCGACACCCCCTTCCTCGCGCGCGGCGCCCATGCCGTCGCGATCACCGACGCAGGCCTCCTCGTCGTCTACGGCGGCGAGCTCGCGCCCCGCACCCCCGTCGACACCGGTCTCGGCCGCGATCTCACTCCGCGCGGCACGCTCCACGTCTTCGACCTCGCGAAGAGCGTCCTCTCCCAGGGCTGGCGCCCGCTGACTCCTCCAAAGGCCGTCGCAGCCGAAACCCTCCCGGAGCCCCGAGTGGGTGCGGCCGCCGTCTGGTACGACGGCGCGCTGTACATGTGGGGCGGCCGCGGCGGGCCTGACATGGCTCCTCTCGACGCGCACCAGACGGGCGTTTGGCGCGCGACGTTTGGCGGGGCGGCGGGCAACCGAGGCTCGGTTCGGTGGGAACGCGTCGCTGCCGCGAACGAGGCGGCGGCGCCGGCCCCGCGCAGCTTTCACACCGCCGTGGTGCACGGAGTGAGTACCGTTCATGCACTTGGCCGGAGCTCGGGCGAGAATATGGGTCCTCACGCAGATCGCCTCAGCACATCATGTACATCCATGCCGGGTGCCCCGAGAGCGGCCGCCTGAACACCCTGCACGCCTTCGACCTCGACACGAGCACCTGGGAAGCTCTCGCGTCGGCACCCGAACCCCGCGCGGCGGCACCGCGCTTGTCGCAACACGGCTCGCGGGCGATACGGACGTGCTTCTGCGTTATGGCGGTGAGTACAGGCCCTTGCTCTATCTGCGCACAATCCCCGCAACATGCCTCGCCCCGAACCGGGTATTTCCGTGCGCTTCGGGACCACGTTTGTCGAGGGATAGCCGTGCAACGTCAAACGCACATTTGATCGCCTGGCGAAGCCTGAGCTTGCCCGGCTCCGGGGACAATGGTTTAATCTCCAGCCGCCTTGTGCCGGGTGGAGGCGGTGGTTGGGTACGGCGCAGAGCGGCGGCGATGGTGATTTCTTGCCTGATATCCTAAGTATCTTCGTAAAGGTGCAGAGCGGCTGGGGACGAGACCACAGGACAACAGGGAAGCCCAGGGAGAGGCGCACCGTGTGAACGCTTCGTGCCAGGACGTACAGCGTTCACGCGGTGCGCCTCCCAGATGTTTGATTTCTGCGCGAGAGTGACAGAATCTACAGGATATGACAGCTGTTTTTAGAACGATGAGCCTTGCCTTCCGGGAGTCCCACATTCAGCGACAATCCGGGGCGGCATGGGCCCGGTGGTGGCGGAGATTGGTTATGGAAAGGCCGAGCGATTTGTGCGAAATGCCCTATTGTTCTGCACAGGCTGTGTGAACATTCCGCGTCGAGGAAGCATCCAGTGTCGTGCGTCGAACACAAGCTTACCTTCCCTTTTCCAGGGTTTTGCGGGCAAGAGCTCCCCTCCGCGATGGGCGAGCTCGACGTTTACGTGATCTCCGAAGACAAGTGGCTCACTGTCCAGCCGGTCGCGGATGCCGTGCACGGCTCGCCTGGCGCGCGGTCCGTGCACGGCTTTGCGCCCTTCCGCTCCCCCGCGCCGACGCCCGCGCTCGCCCACGGGCTCGCGGTCCTCTACCACGGCGAAGGCGCCCCCTCGGCGGAAGGACACGCCGGAGCGGGTCACTTCTGGGACGACGCGTGGGTGCTCAGCAAAGGCGACGACGGCTCGGACGACTGGGACCTCCGTGCAGGGTGGGCGTGGCACCGTCTGCACACCACCGGCGACGAGGAGCATGCGCTCGACCCGCCCGCCGGGCGTGGATGGTTCCCCGGCGCGAGCTGGTGCGATCCAGCCGGGCACACGCAGGCCGTCCTATTTGGCGGACTGCTCGGCACGAACGAGCGCACGGGCGAGCTGTGGGAGATGGAGGTCAATTGAGCGGCGGACGACGACGATCTGCGAACGGCGCTCGTCCGATCGCGGCGAAGGTGGTCTCGGGCGTTGACGGTGACACCGGTAGAGGCGTTTGCGTTATCTGACAGTCGACATGTACGGGTGAATATCTGTGACTGCCGCTTTGTGAGACCTATTTTTATATCTTGTACTGCGTTGTATTTCATCGTCGAGCATACGCTCGAGGATCCCATCAACACTCAGCGCTGTGATCGCCCTCTCCAAACAACGACGTCGAGCGGTCGGAAGACGAGTCGGGTTTGACGTCCTCGGGAGGCGGTGAGGATGGCGGCAACTCTATCACTTCCAAACGCCTCGCGATGTACTCGTTGAAAGTTTTCTGAAGATCAAATACGAGCCGACCGTGAGCTGTTTCCCATCACGCCATCCACCTTGAGCGACGCACCATACGATCCGCGCCGACGAGGTCGGAGTACTCGACCAGCCGCTCGTCTGGGCTCGTCTCGAGCAACTTCTCGAGCGTTGTCTGTGAGAGAAGAAGCGACGCGGCGAAGAGATTCATGCCGTCCACGCTGGACAATTCGTCCTCGCCCTGCGAGAAACCAAGATTAGCCAGCCCAACGTCCGTCAGCGCGTCAAACCGAGCCGCCAGTGCTCGGACAGACCACCGACGCCGATCCCCGAGAGCTGCGTAGAATAACTCACATCGCGCTCCTCGTGCGTCAACCACTCTCGCGGGCACCGTACCGCGCCGTGCGCCTCCGCATGTGTTATGTCCCCATATGCCCGCGCGCACGCGGCAGCCTCTTCGACGCTGGCGGCGAACGCATAGACGACCGCCGAGCCAGCGCGCTTGGTGTCCATGCCTTCGGCAATCTGAACGTCGCGCCGTAGCGCTGTACGGCGCGGACGACTGGGGGGCTCCAGACGTTCGCCTGGGCTGCGGACGAGTCGAGGCTCGAGTCCCCGCGGATGTCGTGTGAAGAGGGGTAGCACTGCAGGATGACGAGCTGGCACAAGTAACGCCAGGAGAGCCGGGCGAGGAGCTCCGCGAGGGCGGCGCCGCGCGCCGGGAGAAGCTCCAGCGGTACGAAGAGAACGGCGGCGTCGACGTCGAGAATGAGGTGAGCGTCATCTGAATTATTGGGAGTAGTGGCGGCGTTGGGAGAAGACGATACTCCAAGGCGTTCTCGCTCGATCAGCTCGACAGCGCAGTAGGCTCGAAGCGCGCGGACGAGGGCGCGGCGCTGGATAAAATCCATCGAGGCCATGTAGCGGTGAATAGTGTCGGGTGGCACGTAATCGTCGGACAGCTGTAGAGTGCTTCGGTCTAGTAGCTCGGGTGGAATACTCCGAACTGCAGAATGGATGGAAGGACCCAGTGAGATAGCGGGAGGGATTGGTGTTGACGCTGATACGGTTGATCTAGTTCGGAGGATGGCGCCTCCTCTACTTGCACGACCTTCCCGAAGAGAGCTAGAAATTGCTGGAGCGACTGTCGACTGGAAGTGGACGAATGGGAAGACGTCACAGATAGACGCGGAGCTACGTCGAGCGGCACCGCATCTCCAATCGCACTAGAAGGGTCGATAATTTGGGGTTGTGTGTTGACAGAGTCGAGAGCGTGAGCTTCAATGAGATTGATAGGGTGGGGTGGTAGAGTGTTATCGAACGAGGAAATGACGTCAATGACGCCGTCTTCCGAAGGCTGCGAGGGACTCGTTTCGTCTCCGTCAGGCAACACCGAAGAGAGCATTGGGGCAGCGTGTGATCGGAGAACTTCAGTATAGACACTGTTGTGCTGCGGAGAGACACCGAGGCCGTAATAGGGATCCAGCCAGTCGATGTCTAAGAGGGGAGGACAGCGGATGTTATCTGCCTCGAAATTTCCAGAGTCGTTGATTGTACGCATGAGCACAGTCCGTTCGTCGCCTAGAGTTTGTTCCGACACAACTATACCAGATTCGAGCTGATAAGTGGGGTCCCAGCCATAGACCTGGGAGTTTCGGCGGAGTAGCACAGCGGAGAGTCTGCGAAGCGCACCCGTTTGAGAGGAGGCTGTGTGAAAGAACTTTCTTCAGGGGACGTTGTGTCTTGGGTGTCGCTACCCTCCCAGTCCCAATCCTCTTCGATAGACATACCAGCAAGTCGCCGTTGGTCTGAGCGAGGGAGAATAAACTCTGGTTCTTGCGAAGTGACATAGATCTTCGATGGAACCTCATCCGAAGCGTGGTCGCCTCGAAGCGCCGTCGAGGAGGGTACGAGATCCATACCAGGGAGTGTATCTTGAATTGCAAGGTCATCGAGTAAGGCAGAAACTCTAGCAGCTATCTCGTCGCGAGGCAGTTCAATCTTGTTCGCAAGCTTCTCAGTCAAGTCTCTTTCAGTCAGCCCGGTTATGTCTTCCTGCGTGGGGACCGTGTTGCGATATTTAAACGGTCTGAAATAGTTTGAACTGATCAGAAAGATGTTCGGAGCGACTAACAGGTACTTACGTCCAACTTAGAGACAGGTTTAAAGCGGACAGTCCTTTTGCCTTCTTCAGGAAATGGAATCCGGGTTTGCTCTCTTGCTCCTCAACATTGGCGAGCTGGGGCTTTAGCGAAACGAGGTCGTGAAGCGTGGTCGGAAGGAGCTGCTCTCGTGGATATTCGGTGGGGTCACGCATTCTTGGTACTGGAAAAAGAGTTGGGTCGGCTCTGGCGGTTGCGAGCGAAGGGTACAAACGTACCGTCCATGAAAATGCTCTCTGTTTCATCTAACTTCTCTTCAAGGATTGGACGGAAAGGGTCATAATCGCTTAGAGGACCGCCACATGCTTTTTCCACTGCCTTTAAGATGAAGTCGTCCGTATCGTCGCTGTTTAATATCCGGATTTCGCGCCTCCCTGTGGCAGGGTTTTGGGCATCATCGGCCGCTGGGAGAACTTCCGCTTCCGTTGGTGGTTGCCCCAGCATGGAGAGCGTTATCGGTGGGGATGATGAACGTAACTTCGGAGATAGTACGATGTTCGCTTCGCAGCCCATTGGAACGGCCTTAATGTACTGAGAAACGAAACTTGATAACCTGTTCTCATGAGCATCATGCATGCTACTTGAACGCAGAAACTACTCACTTGCCATCACCGAAGACAGGTGTGTGTGGCCTGATTGTGCCTCCTATCGTCTCTGACCTGGGGAATATGACGGTTTCTGAAATCGAGTCAGTTTGGAGGATGACTGTAGTTAGCGCTAAACTCACCCATTGGGCTGAAAGGTCGATCCAAGACGTGTTTGGGAGATGAGGGTATCATAGCTCCTTCATGTTCATCTGAATCGTTCGATAGTGACGGCGTGCCTAGTGTGAACGGCGATGACGGTAGTTTGAAGGGGTCTGGTGACAAAAGGCGTGAGTGGGGCCTCTACCCACGTAAGATCGTAGCTTACGGAGTGCATCTAGCACAGCAAGATGCGCATTCGCCATGTCCTCCTCCTCCTCCATGATCTCAACAGGGCGAGGCCACAACTTTGACAGGCCTGGGATTGATTCTAGGAAGGTGGATAATCGACGATCTCCGGGGTCTTCCTTGAGTATTGAGCGCCCCGGATCGTTTCGTGAAAATATCGGCAGTTCAAGACTTTCCGGGGCCAAGGGCACAGGAGAATCCGCTCGCAGGAAATCCTGCATGGCTTGTGGAACATGAGGTTCGCTCTGCTGCCGCTTCATCAACGGGATGGACTTCATGAGTGACATAATGCGGGCGCATTCTTTTGAGTCAATCTGGAGTTTGTAACCTCTACGGTGATGGAAAGCGTGAAACGTGCCATATGATATGAAAACTAGAGACTTACAGCGCATCTTCCTCTCGTACGTAAATATCCTCCATGGCGACATCATCCACTCGAGAGATATTGTACGTTTGAAGCACCTCTTGCAGATTATTGACCGACTTTCCGGGATAGGTGTTTTTTCCGGGACGTGGCGTTTCTCTCATGGACTTCCAGGTGAGAACTGGGGAGAGAGGGTGAGGAGAGTCATGGACATCTGGAACGCGGTCAGCTTTTCCTCAGACAGGTGAAACTTGGTCGCACCGTGATCGTCCTTGTACAAGTAGGACTCCGATACCTTTTTTGGGACGAGAGACAGGCACCGTCTGATCAACGAGATGGTGTTGCGGTCATTGATCACCCAACGGGGGCTATACGGCTCGAGTTTACCGAGCTGGAGCTGATTCCACAAGATCTCGAAGGGGTCGCGAGGTAGAGCAATGTTGGTGGATGCAGTCATTGGGATAGATTTGAGGCCCTCGGAAAGAATCTAACAAAGTGCGTTTTGTTATATGCGCGTCGAAAGTGAATATATGCGTACATCTATAACCTGTTCTGTTGACCACTCAATATAGTCTTTGGTCAGACCGTGGTCGAGAAAATATTGGTCGAGCAGGCTGTGTATATGGAGTCGCAGCTCTATCTCGCGTTCTGTGTCTTCGAAGCCGTCCAACATAGTGGCGTTCCTTCACTGTAGATTGTGGGTTAATGGTGGGTGGTGGATGGTGAAAAGCATCGAAGCGACGCGACTCAGACCGCGCAAGCGCCTAAATATTCTCAGGCTCTCCCCACTGCAGCCACCGTCACCTGGCCACCACCGTCGCTGCGCTCCCCTTCGAACGACCTGGTGGAAGCACATGGTCAAGCATGTCATTGTTCATAAGGGACACCGACTGCGGCGCATATGTGCATCTGTCAATTTTGCCGCCCTCCGAAGTCCCATTCAAACAGCCAGTCCTGCCAGTGGTGAGAATGGTCGGGCAGTCGTCCAGGTCATCCTCTTCCCTCCAGGATGCGCTTCCGCCTTATCCTCCCTCTCGAGATACACTTCGCGATCATCGACCAGCTGAGGCGCGATCACGACGCGAATCTTCCCCTCAAGGATGCCCACCACCTTCGAGCACTTTGCACTTGTGCACTGGTTTGCACAACGTGGCAGCCCCGGGCCCGCGCTCGACTTTTCCAAACACTGTACATCACCGACTTGCGTGGCCTCCACGCCATCCAGACCGCTCTTCAGCGCACCCCGGATTTGGCGTGCCATGTCACAGCTGTCTTCGTCCATGACACCTACAACGAGGTCTATCCCAGCGCCGTTCTATTGGGTCTTCTCCACAAACTCCCTAACTTGTGCTCCTGGACTTGCAAGGGTCTCTGGGAAGCTTTCCATAATCCAGTGGTCGGTGCCTCGTCAGTCACGGCTTCGCGCGATGTGGATCCTTCCTGCGTGTTCTAACGCTGAGCGACATGTCCTTCGATACCCCTTTGGATTTTGTGCGGCTGCTACTCTGCTTCACATCCCTGTCAGCGCTAAATTGCAACAACATCTACTGCAAGAATGAGCCTCCTTCGCCTGCGCTCGATCTGGCTAGCAGGCGGCTTATCTCACGGTCAACTATCGTACGCCTACGAGTGAGTAATACGGTTCCGTGGTCGGATTTCGTCACTTATCTAAGTTGTCTTGCTAACATCATTGCTCCATTGCTCAGCTATCGCTATGCAACCCCACTTTGCTGAACATCCTGATGTGTTCAACTGCTTTCCAACTCCGCGATCTCAAACTTACTGCTCAATTTGGTAGGCAACCCCGCCGCTCCTCTCTTCCCAGCGACTGACCCGCTGATATACCAGATACGCCTGTCATGCGAGTCCCAAGTCAATACCATCAGCTGCAGTCGCTCGCGGTCACTATGACTATAGGGAGACCATTCGGCGTTGACCCGCCTTCATTGAGGTTCCAGAATATCGTCCAACAGCTGTGCACTGTCGTCACAGCCGCACCCAAACTACGACGACTGCGCTTCAAATGGAACGATTTGGGCGATGCATACATCAGGACCACTATCATCGACGAGGACCACTTGCCTCTATGCTTGGATCTCGAGCGGGCCCTTCTCACCCTTGCTCTCGTGCGAGATAGTCGAGTTCCTGTCAACATCACCTTCGTTGTTCCGATATTCCAATCATCCGACGAAGATAACGTGCAGCAAACAATTCAGACGGCATTTCCGATGTTATACAAACATGGCATCTTCCATCTGATGGTAACACCGGGTGCGTTGGCCACACATTTACTAGTGCTTGTTTCTGATCCCTGCTTCAGCACTATTGGGACGCCGTCATTTCATGGGGTCCGTAGCAGTCCTCGCAGTGTCCCCATCCGGCGTTTGGATCGCAAGCTCCAGCGACCCCCTCTGTTTCGTCCCCACCATCATCCTATGGCCCACAGACGGCGGAGAGGCCGTTCGCGCCTGGACCTCCTTCGTGGACCAAACAGTAACCACGATCGAGTACGACTGCGCGCGCCCGAAAATCGCCTTTTCTTTCGACAGCACCCGTCTGGTCTCCATGGACGGCTGGAGCAACACCGTCGAGGTCTGGGACACCCGCCAAGACACGCGCGCCGCAGCGCTCACCCACGGGGAGCACCACAACCACTGTTCCGCCGTGCTGTGGGCCCGCGACGGCACCGCACTCGCGACGTGCTCCACGGACGGCACGGTCCTCGTGTGGGACATGCGCACGTACTCCCTCTTGTACGAGCTGCCGCAGCGCGTGTGCCCGGTGGTCTCCTCTTTCCCCGCGCACACGCAAGGCTTCGGACTTCTTCCGATGGGCGGACTCTGGAGCTGGCTCACCCCATCTCCCTCCCCGCCGGGTTCGCAGCTGCTACCACGCCGCATCCGGACGCAGCGCCCGCGCGCTGCAGCGGCGCTGAGTACGAGTTCCTCCTCCAGCTGCACCTCTGCTCCGCGCACATCTTTTCCAACGCCCTCTGCTCCGGGACGGCAGCACCCTCGTATGCTCCGAAGGCGGGCCTGACGACGTCCCTACTGGCGTCGCCGTCGTCGCCACGGTTCACGGCGCGGGTGCGGTCGCGGGCACGAGCGTCCTGCTCCGCACCCGCGGCGGCAGCGTTCGCGGTGTCACCCGACGGCGCGCTTGTCGCGACCGCGTCCGCGAGGGACGGCGCAACGCGGCTGTGGCGAAGGACCGCGACCGGGGCGGACGCCGGCACGCAGTGGGAGTGCGTCGCGCGCTGCGTCGATTTCGGGGGCCGGTGACCGCGTGCGCGTTCTCGTCCGACGGCGCGATGCTCGTGACGGGCTCGGAGCGGGGGGACGTGCAGGTGCAATGGGTGCGGGAGTGGTTGGAGGGGCGCGGGGATTATCGGCACGAGGTCGTGGCGAGGTCATAATCTTTGCGAGTTTGTACGTGTGGATTCGAAAGTGAGTTGCAACATGTATTGTTTCTGGCATGTTCCGCAAGAGACAGTGCGATAGGGCGCAGACAGAAAATATGTGTCCGGGAATACATTCAAGTGGACGGAGTATGATACAATCAATCGGCTAAGGAGCGGAACAGCGAGAACTTCAAATGGCGGAGGGATCGGCCACGAAGTGGTGACTGACAGGCCATCTGTGAGCGTTGATGGCGCAACATGTGTGTATGAAGGTCGTACAGAAACTTGATTTTGTCAACAGTACCATACCATCAATGTCACAGAACTCGTATCGGATATTCATAATCAGGGAAACCTTTTGTCTGTTTGAAGGGCCGTAGTTAGCTAGCTTCACAATGAGGTGGACGAGGGCGATCCAGATTTGGTAGTTGCAAGGAGGCGAAGGGGTTGGGGCAGTCGAGGACGAGGGTCGAGGGAGTTTGGAGTTGGGGGAGGAGGGAGATTGGGGTGAAAAGCATTGACTGGACAGTTTGAAACTCACTGACGGCGTCATACCCTACGTCAATAAAAGACTGCTCCGGAATCGGTAGTCGTTCACGAGGAGTTCAACTAATTCGGCGTCGAGGAATTTCAAGGCAGCCGCCTGGAGCTGTATGCTATTGCGGGCGCAGTATTGAAGCAGGAACTTGATGTCAGTGGTGTCGCTGAGTTTCTTTCCCTCGATGGTGCGGCCCGTAACTGAGTAGCACTTGCAGTCCAGGAGGGGTACCGGAGCGAGGACCTTAACGCCGTCGACGACGACGACTGGGGTACTTGCGGTGAAAGGATAAGTGAACATCCTCGGGGGGAATACAATGTCGATGGGAACCTTGGACAAATGCTCGGTGTGTAGGGTTCTGGGTTCGACGATGAAGTTTGCGGAGTCTCGAAGCCGAGACCGCAACTCTTTGACGGTGCCTTGAGGACGACAATGTCGACGTCGGTAGTCAACCGAGTGCTGCCGAATATCAAGCACGCCGCTCCTCCGACGACTGCATATACGTCGTCGTCACGCATGGCTCTTGCCACGTCGCGTGCGGTCAGGAGGGTGTTCCTGTAGTCCATGTAGTGTGGTCAGCCTGCGGGTACTGGGGGGAGTCGGTCTATAGAACGCACTGGCGTTGACGGTTCTGGATGTCCGGAGCTGGATCCATCTTGAGGATTGTGGTCGCGGAAGAAGGGGTACTGATGTGTCGTTCAACGCAACGGAGGGGAAGTCGCAAACGTGGGGGCGTGCTCACCTGGGCGGGGGAACGGAGAACTGAGCGTTGAGGCCTTGAGGGGTCTGCAGCATGCTCGATCACACGGAGCGATAAGAACGTGCCAAATGACATGACGCGTCCATCAACATAGAGGATGTTAAATTATCTGGGGTTTGGGCATGGGCGAATTTGAGATCTGTACGCTCTCACCATGGAGGAAGGCTCAAAACAAAATATATTGACCACCAACAACAACATAACAAGAAAGTACTTAATATCGAAGAGCGTAGAAGGCGCGGTTGGCGGTGCGCGCATGGTACTCTGGAGAAGTGAGTGGACGCCGTGGGTGCACGCGCTACAGAGGAGCTCCCGACGTCCATCCCCAAATACATCCCGCTCGCACTCCCTATGCCCCTATGCACGCACACCTCGCTGAGACGGCAATGAGTTGTGCGCGGCAGACCACGACCCACGCGTGGGGCCCCTCGCCGGCCACGCGCGAAGGACACTGGGGCACACTCGTTATTGGGCCCTCAGCAATGTTGAACATGGCGGTTTATGTTGCGGAGGACGCCGGTGGGCGCGTTGTCAGATGGGGCACGCGGAGATGCGGAGGTTGGGATCTAAGCTCACCGATGTCAACGTGAGGTATTCTAGATATTGTCGCGCTCCCCACGCACACGCGCTCAGCCGTCTAGGACACCGCCGGCGCAGCGAGTCCAGGTGGTGGTGCTCCACAGGGGGGAGGTGCTGGCGAGGGCGCAGAGAGCTGGGTAAGGAGCGGGGGTCGAGAAGAGTGAGAGAGGATGGCTAGGAAGACTCACCGAGATGGAGCGAGGCCGCGGTAGCTCGCCACTGCCCCGCAATAGCGATCTCCGGGCTGATGGTGTCATGCTGGAAATCCTTGGCATGTGGCGGGGGTCTTCAAGTTCGGTGCAGGCACAGAGGTCGGGCGAGTAGAGGGAGGTTGGGAGGTAGCTGGGAGAGGAGTGTCCTTGCACAGTTTAGACGTCTTCGATAAGAAGTAACGAAGCGAGCAATTAAGCGCCTTGAAGGGGTGAGCTCTGATCACAACAAGTACAAATTCAGCGGTACAGCGTCTATCCTCGAAATCGTCTGTCTTGCATGTTTTGCCTCTAAATCAACACAAACCGCTTCTGGCTGCTATTAAAGTAAAATTCGTGCTAAAGAACCATGCATCTAATACTTCTGAAAGTTTGAAAACATTTGACGCGGATGTAGTCAATGTACGGGTGAAATATCGCCAATGGTGGTCAAGTCACGTGCATGGTTGAACTCTGCGGGCGCTCCAGCCATGCAAGCGCTTGCCGTACTACGGTCGGCCGCCGCGCGGCTTGTTGGCCGATGCACCCTCAGCCTTTAGTACTTTAGTACTTGATACATCCGATACCGCTGCCCACGCCAGATGGTGTGTGAAGCCGAAACTGGAACGATGTGTAGTGCCCCGCTGCTAGGATTGCGCAGCGAGCTATGTCGTGTCCACGAAGGCTAGTAAAGATAAGGGTGCAAAGGCAAGCAATAGCGAGAGGACAGATAAACGCGAGAATGCGAGGGAGGATGAGCAGGGAGGTGGAGCCTTGAAGCTTGAAGGGAGACTGGAGGCAGGAGGAGACAATGAGCTGGCGCTGGGAGGACGGCTCGGCAAATGCCAGAGCCTGGCCAGGCGGGCGCTTTCTGCAGGGAGTTTTGGAGCGACGCGATTTCCGCACCGCACTCTTCAACTCCTCGCTGTTCCACGCGTTAGGCGTCGTCTACCGTGTCGGACTCCAACCAGCCGTGCATCCATTCGCGCTCGCCAACCCGCAGCTCATCGCCGTTGCCAAACATCCAGGAGATGGAGCATGAGAAGACATCGGATATGGACGAGAAAGATCAAACGGAGGTCGTGGAGGTAGTCTCCAGTACGATGGTCAAGAGCCCGATGTCCGCCTCGCCGCCGTCTTCCACGAACGGCCACCCGAACCCCAGCCCGATCCTCATCAAGCACAACGTCCCCTTCTGTCACTGGTTTGAGCGAGCGCTGCAATTCCACGGCTCAGACACCGTCGCCTTGCAATACTACCTCCTCGTCCACTCTGTCTCTGACGCGGAGGCAGCTCTCCTTTCCGCGGGCTGGACTCATACGGTGCACCCCCCGTCATGCGTGGAGCTCTGGGACCCCACCGTAGATGGATCTCCCGTGGTCCTCGTATCCCCCGCGCCCTCCGACCCTCCCTGCGACGACCTCACCGTTCTCTTCGATGCCAACGTGTGGACATGCATGTCCGAGGAGCTCTGGTCTTCCCCGAACGGTGCCGACCATTATCCGTCCCTGCCACGGTTCTACTGCGCGTTGGTGCACCGCATTATGGACACCTCGTCCGAGAGCTTCATTCGCTACCTCCAACTGCAGCTACAGTATCTCCATGCCGCCCAGCGTTCTCTGCTTTCCTCTCCCGCCTGGCTCGAGAACATCGACGCCGAGCTCCGCCAGTGGCACATCGACTGGATCAAGGGGGAGTTGAACATGCTACACCCTGACACCATCGCACACGAGCGGGACATTCGCGAGCGAGCACGTCGTGGGGACTGGGTGCTTTTGCGAGAAGGGTCGGACGATTGTGGAGGACGCAAGTATAATAAGGAGTTGGAGGCTCGCATTCGTGCCAGGTGGACCGCTTTCAGTTCATGATCAGAAGACAGTACACGATAACGAAGAACCGTACGTGATGGCCAGCGAATGTAATTTTACTGTAAGAGGGGAAACCGTCCCAGCGGTTTGTCAGAACGGTGCGAGAGGGACCGATACCGTCTATGTGCCAACTGGGGCCTGAGCGCTGAAGCTTGAAGTACGCCAGAGAGCTGCAATTGGAGGCCCGACTTCGAGCCAGGTCTGGGGGAATTTTGGACTCCTCGGAGAGCACTGGGTTGGATGAAGAGGAGCCAGACACGGAGGTTACAAAGTCATGGAAGACAGGAAGAGGATGCCGTACGGGGGTGGCACAGGTCGTCGAATGAGATCTTGGATGTACTTTGAGGAATTCTGATTCATTTAGATGCTGGCTCACTGCGGCGCAGTCAGCCGCGAAGGTGGTAGCCGGGATTGCGCCAGGCTGGGGCCGATCTTGATTTTCAAGGAGTCACATGGTCGCGATTTGAGAATCTAGGAAGCAAAGTCGCGGCCTTGAGATCTTGAGACTTGAGTACTTGAGTACACACCGAAGCAGTCGCATCGCAGAGAGGTAACAGCACGATATGCTCAGGAACAAAACGGGCATGGTGGTAGAAGTTGCGAGCATGAGCATCAGAAGACCGCGGGGAAACCCCTCCGCTGGATGCAGTCATGTCCGTGCTTGGCCTGACGCGATCCCGCCTCCCACTCCGCCTGCGAACGTGCCTCGCCCGCCCTTCCGCCCGCTCCCACCCCACACCCGCTGCCCGACGCCCGCCACGCACTCGTATTCTCGCCCCGTGTCAGGCGTTGAGCGTCGTCCACTATGTCGGACTCCAACCAGCCGTCTACGTACCGCGCGTGAGTACCACAAGCCCTCCTACCCGATGTCAACGCTAAGCGTGCCGATCGCAATGCAGCGTTGGCGTCGTGCTCGCCATAGGTTCTGGCGTCCTCATCGGCTCGTCCTTCGTCTTCAAGAAGAAGGGTCTCCTGGCGTCGCAGAAGGGTCATGTCGCCGGCGAAGGTGTCGCTTATCTCAAGTCGGTGAGTCGCCCAGCTGCCCGCGCAGTGCTCCCCGAGCGTTCACTGACGCGCCCAACAGCCTCTTTGGTGGACTGGAATGATCATCATGATTCTCGGTGAGCTCTGCAACTTTGGCGCGTATGCATTCGTAGAGGCCATTGTCGTCGTGAGTCCCGTTTCCCCCGAGTCCACTCTGCGCATGTACCCACCTCCCTTCGCCCCTCGTAGACTCCAATGGGCGCTCTGTCGGTTGTCATATCCTCCATTCTCTCGCACTTTATTCTCAAGGAACGTCTGTCGCTGTTCGGCTGGATATCCTCCTTCCAGTGCCTCCTCGGTGCATCCATTCTTGCCATCAACGCGCCGGACGAGCAGAGCGTATCGACCATCGAGGGTTTCAAGCACCTCTTCCTCGCACCATGGTTCCTCGCGTATGGAGGCGTGGTCATCGCCGCCGCCGTCTTCCTCGCGGTGTACGCCGCGCCAAAATGGGGCAAGAAGAGTATGATGCCCTATCTGGTGCGCTGCAGTCCTTACCACGGTTATTCTTAGCAAAGCTGAACTGACTCACGGTGGCGCACAGGGCGTTTGCAGCCTCATTGGTGGCCTCAGTGTCAGTTGCACGCAAGGTCTGGGCGCATGTATTGTCACGTCCATTCGAGGACAGAACCAGGTGTGTCTGCTCACGTCTGGTAGACTGCTGGTCAAACACTGACGCTGCGTGCAGTTCAAGAACTGGTTTATCTACTTCCTGCTTATCTTTGTGGTCATCACGTTGCGTGCGTTGCGTGTCTCACTGTTTCATCACCTCGAAACTGACTATCGGGTCCAGTCACCGAGATTTACTACCTGAATGTGGCGCTAGCAATGTTCAACACAGGCAAGTGCCCGTCTGATGTGCACATTGTGAAATGTTCTAACCACTGTACGCAGCTATGGGTAAGCTTCACAGTCTCTCCACGCTTCACATTACTAGGATTGACGCTTTGTTTCGAAGTTACGCCCACTTACTACGTGACCTGTGAGTGTCCTACAGATCCACTGCCCACCCTCACTCACCTGCTTTCGACTGCCAGTCACCTTCTGCACGTTGGTCACCTCAGTTGTACGCTGCAGTACCTACTCTTGCATGCATGAGCTCACTCAAAGCGCATCCAGATCCTCTACCAAGGATTGAAGGCCAGCGCCTCTGAGATCATCACAATCGTGCTGGCATTCGTCGTCATCTGTACTGGTATCGTCATCCTGCAGATGACCAAGGTCGATCCAAGGAAACTAAGCAACGTATGTCACCCAGTTCATGCCGCATACATATTATTAAATTTGCGAAAAAAGGTTGATGAACACACCACACTGCTCTTACAAGCAGCTCGCCAAGAGGCGGACCCGAACGTAGCCCACGATGTCCAACTGGCCGCGGAGGCACCGTTCGGTCTCGCCATTCTCACCGATCGCGGCGTAGCGCGCACTCCATTCACGATGCACACGTTCTGTCCGACCAAGGCCAAGATTCCACTCTTCCCGCACGCTCAACGGACGACCTCGAACTCGGCCGAGCGCAGTCCGACACTGATGACGACTGGGATTTCCTCGAGGAGAAGCGGGCCATCGTCGCCCGTTCCGAAGAGCCAGGCATCGACTCCCTGCGCATGGGCGGTGGCCTCTTCGGGACGATCATCCGTGCACGCCGGCGCGCAACCGCGCTCTCCACCGCGAGCGCATCGCGCAGCCATCTTTCCATCTCTGGGGCGGGAAGCATGCACAGCGGAAACGGCACTGCGACCGTCCGCCGCCGCGACTCTCTTTCGCCTCCGCCGCGCGCCAACGGCGGCTCGTGGTTCCGCGCGTTCGCCCACGACCGCCGCCCCGAATCGCGCTCGCCAGCCCACAGCCCATCGGCGTTGCCGGACGTCCGGGAGAGGAGAAGGAGAAGACATCTGAGATGGACGAGAAGAGTCGCGTGGAGGTCGTGGAGATGGTGTCTGGCTGCCAGCAACCATGGTCGAGAGCCCGATGTCCGGCTCGCCGCCGCCCTCCTCGAACGGCCTCCCAAGCCCCAGCCCCAGCGCAGGGAGCCTCGGGCTCGTCCACGGCGAGAGCACGATCCGCGCGAATGAGGAGGCGCGCACACGCCGTCCGAGCATCCGCTTCCAGACCGGGACCGCGAGCGCGCCGGACGTGCATGTGACGCTGCCAATACCGACGACATTGTCAAGGCCCAGCATGGGTACGAGGGGCGCGGACGCCGGTGCGGCGCGCTCGAGAACGATGCCGTCGACGTTCGTGGACGCGGAGCGCGTGGGCACAGAAGGCGTCATGGACGAGAAGCCCGGGGAGGGCAAGTGAGGGCTTCCGCACTCGAGGCCGTATGCGGTGTAATGTGATGTTGTACGTGTGTGCCATATCTGTGCTATGGTGTTGTGGTAGGGAGACGGGGGAGATCTGGCATTGGGGAAGATGTAACGACACCATATATACGACCTGCGACGTCTATTACGTACGCACACTATTGCTGCTATTTGATTTTGATGTATCCTTATGTCTTCATCCTTTTTGAGATTCGTTGCGTTCGGATGTAGTGCTTCTGGTCCTGCTTATAATCACTTCCCATACATACCTGGCACTTTATGGTAAAGCTCTTGAGCGCACCTCAAAATCTTAAGCTTGAGATCAACATTGTCATTTAATGCGGGCACAATTTCACTTCCGAACGATGAGGTTTCCTGCAGCACTCAGTCTGCGACACTGACCGCATCGCCGATGATAGCAATACGTACGCTAATGATTTATACAAGTTTGAAGGTGGGCCTCGGGTTAGTCGATCTACGAAGCTTGCGGTCATAGTACCGGTTGCCAGCACGGTGACGAAGGGACCTACCTCAGCAGGCGGTGACCACCTGCCAAAATGCCTTGTGTGGTCGAAGACCGTGGACCCGCCGATCTAAAGTTCTTCCATGATAAACGCGTTCAAGTTCCGGAGTGGTGAAGTTGGATATTTGGCGTGTTCGAGATTAGATGCCGGCTACGAGGTTATCTTACGTCCGTCCCGGAAAATCATTCATTGATGCCGATCGAGCTGACTGAAAGCTGACAGCGGCTTGCTATTTGGCGCGCCAGGACTGACAGGTCCGCAGTACTATCTCGGGCATTCCGAATGTCTGATTCCGAATATCCGTGCGCGCATCCTAAGCACGGAAAACATTCACGGGCGCATCCTCATCAAACTTGGTCCTTTGCTTACACAGAGGGTGCCCCACTGTGCCCCAGCCATGGCTAGGCTGCACGTGGCTGGTCCGGGAATGACGGACTTGAGAGGGGATACGTGTCGCGTAACCGTTTGTGGACGACGACGACGTACATTCGCCGTGCCGTGGGGACGCGTCAGCCGTATTCCGATTCTGCCGTAATATCTGCCGGGTACCCGGTAGCCAGTATAAGTGCGTAACTCTGCCGACCATCGTCCACATCCCACATTCCCCACACCCTTCGGCCGCTCTTCTCTATCCCCTTACTCCGCCTTTCTCCACATCGCCGCCATGTCCATCGTCCTGAGCAAGGAATTCGTGTACCCGGTCGCCGCCGTGGTCTCTACCTTCTACCTCATCGCCTGGCAGACCGTGAAGGTGTCGGGAGCTCGTAAGCGTGCCCAAGTACCATACCCTTATCGTGCGTTTCCGCTTCTCCCGGTTTTTTGTCAAGAGCTAACTAGTGCTCTGGTCCTCCACAGTCTATGCCGAGAAGGCCGATGCATCCGCCAGGAAGGAAGCTATGGTGTTTAACTGCACTCAGCGTACGTCTTACTAGCCCTTGCTGTCTTCCGCCCACATCTGAGGGATGAGCTGTCGCAGGTGCGCACCAAAACACGCTCGAGGTGTACCCTGTCATTGTCGCAGCCACCCTGATCGGTGGCTTGCAATACCCCGTGGTCTCTGCCGGGTTGTGTGGCGCTTGGGTTATGAACCGCATTCTCTACACCGTTGGTTACAGCACCGGTGATCCGGCCAAGGTGAGTGGACGTTTTATGTCATCCCAGAACGCATGTTCAGATCGGACTGTAGCGTATAAGCCGCATTGGCAGTCTCTTCGGGCTGGCGGGTCTAGGTGGTAAGTGGATGATTGCTCGCCTTATGCGACTCGAAGCTGAATAGTCCGAATTTTAGGCTCTCTCGTCACCGCGACGGTCAGTGTCGCGACCCTGCTCAAGCAGGTTCTGTAAGATGTTGTTTATTGTTTACGCAAGTGTATCTACGTCCTCGTACGCTATCCCACATGGGGACTTCAACGCATCCCATCTGTGCTTACAAACATGGGTCGGGAATGCTCCAAAAATGTCTGAGCTACGCGACTCACGATTGCCGAAGGGGCCAGAGTGGATGACGTTCCGTAAGGAAATACGGAACTACGGACGCTCCGTACTTCCCTAGATCGCTCTGGAAGGAAATTCCGCCGAGATGCCGAATGAGATATGCTCCAGGTTGATGACGGGGGCCTCCGTAGATCGAGAGAGCGCTGGACAAGCGCTGGCCGTCTGTGGAGGGGTCCCGACCCCCTTCCCAGACCAAACTCGCTCTGTATTTTCAAAATCCATTCCCTGTTTGGAAACTTGCAGGCGCTGGAATGCTCTCGACGAGCTCTCGTCATACATTAGCGCCCGACCCCTTCGCTCATAAAATATCCGCCAGTCGAAAGGTAGCGTCCCGGTCTTGCGCGATGTACAACGCGCGAGCGCGCGTCCCCGCCTCACGCAGCTCGCGACTCGCGCGTCCCCAGTCCGCACGACACACGACACAGAGGGGGATGCGTGCGCGTCATACATCGCGCATGTCCCGCACGACGCGCGGCTTACGACGCACGACTGAACGGTGCTCCCCATCTTGCACAATGCACAGCGCGCGCATCCTGGCACGTAGCTCGCGACTCTCGCGCGCGCGGTCTGCGCAACATCACGCAAGAGCAGAACACGCGGACAGTTTGCCTTTTGACCAGGACGAAATGCGGCTGACAGTTAAACAGTTGCCCTATCAGAAACACAGGGGCTCAGCCGGACGAAAAGAATGCTTTCTGCTGGTTTTCGTCCACGTTTCCTTCATGTGGGCATCCTACCTTGCCCGTCTTGTATGATCCTCCAGACGATCTCTCAGGCCTCTCTCCTCTCACTGCGGTCAGATATGACCATCAAATCCAGCTGGATCGTCGACCTCCGCGTGTTCCTGACTCTACTTCGAACTATCACAATGCTGCTCAGGTATGTATGAGGCAAAGTCTTCAAGTTTGTGTGCTTAGCTTAACCCCCATAATCACCCGCCTCCTCCTCCTCCCCCCTCATGAATGATAGACAGCACCGGGCGCCTTTGCCACCGCGGCCACCTCCGACGCATACTACCCGCCCCAGGGATGCTTACATGTACCTTCCTGTTCACACACCTAGTCTGAGGTGGGATCGTCTCGCACACGAGCCGGGGCAATCGACGAGCAGAGGGGGGAACTAACAGTGATAGACATCATGATTGTCGGACTACGGACGACGCCATACGTTACGGATACGGCCACAGATCATCTCAACTCTATCTACCGGCGTCTCGGGCGTGTACGGAGCTAGGTCTGGAAGTCTGGCTTACGGACCGTCATCCAGTGAACGCCATACTACGCCGTAGCCAGTTCGTATCTCGCAATCCGTACTAAGACATCCTTCCGAGGGCTACATATAAACAACGTTTACGTTGGCACCGATTTCTCTGCTTGCTAAGTACTGCTGATGATTTCGCGTGTTCAGCAACATCATCCAGTTCAAAGCCTCCCTCGGGGTTTAACGGCGAAGTCTGCTGATGTCGGCGGTCTGTCGTTTGTGTAATGCCGATTGTCGGAGGTATTCCCTTTGAACTGCGGGTATGTCGAGACCAAGTAAGAGGATCGATGTAGTGTTCTCACTTGGCAGTCCCTGACCAGAGTCACCGGCCCGGTAGCCGGGTAAGAGCTGGGATAGAGGGCGAGCCTCTCGGGCGTCAGGCTTCTCGAGCCCAAGTCTACTACGGCAACTCTCCTTTCCTGTCCTCCTTACACCCTCCATGAGCCACCACCTAACTTCCTCTTATCCCTACCCACAATTGCTCGCGTAAACCAACATGGAGAAGCACTTTGAGCGGCCAACATTATCCATCCCCTCAAGACCCTCCCTCCCAACTTCTTCGTCCGACTTTGCTCTTCCTTCGTCTCCGTCCTCCGCCCTCGCCACTTCTTCTACAGACGATCTGAGCCCATTTTTATTGCGTCTTCGCCGGCCAAGCAACCTGAGATCCCGCGGTAGCGACGGCTCACCGCCTGACCACCGCCTCCACAGTCCCCTCATCTCTTCTTTCACCCGCCGCTACAGCCAGGGTGGCAGTGGCCTGGGCGAAGACTCCGAAAGCGACCGCGACAAGATGTCCACGGACGGCGAGTCCGGCCACGCGACGCCCCTTCTGCCGGGCCCGGTGATAGACACCGATAGCGACACGAGCATGAAGACGAGCCGTCCGCGCACGCCTCCCCGGCTGACTTCGGCCTCGAGCTCCAGTTCGGGGAATGAGGACCAGCCCACGCGGGCGCACAATCGCAGGCTGTCACACCCCGTACGTCCCCGTGCCCGTCTGCTCGTTCCCTCCTCCCCTTTCCTCCCCGCCGCATTGCACCGCTGGGTGTATGCGTGCCACTACTCCGCTGCTTTGCGCCACCCAGACCACCCCCCTCAGCTGAGTTCCAAGTTCCAACATCACTGATGATGCGTCGCCGCATGCCGCAGGTCCGGGTCCCGCGCATACTGGCGCTCGTACAGGAGTCGCACTTGCAGGACAACGAGGCCAAGTCGGAGGCCCAGTTCCAGCGTATCCTCGCCTCCCTGAGCGACCTGCCGAGCCACCCTCGTACCCCACGAGCGCCGTCTGATCGTGGGCGGTACCCCGAGGAGGCAGTTGGCGACGATGCACATCGCGAGTCCTCCCCGAGCGACGACGAAGACGAGGTGGACGAATCGGCGCCGGCGTTTTCTTACAGCGAGTCTGTGGTCGCTACGAAGCCGGTCACCCCTGCGCATAGCGTAAACGGCGACGAACTGTCCATGCTCGACAGCCCGATTGGAGTCGCGATGGACGTTGATATGGTGCGTTCTCATTTTGCCTTTCGCCATGAGTAAACCCTAAGCCTCCAACCAAGCCGTCCTCGGTCCTCTCCTCTCCCGTGGTGTCCTCATGGCGGTACACGCCCCCTCCCACGACAAGTGCCGTGCGGAACAACAAAAGGAAACGTATGTCCAGTAGTCAGTTTCACTCTCCCCATGCCATCATCCAAGTCCTGACTATATGCGCCTTCCACACCCAGTTGATGACCGTTACGACCCCTACCCCACCTCTGCGAAGCGGCGCGCCGTCTCTCCCTCCATCTCCCACCTTCGCGAAGCCTTCAACGGACGGCACTCCGGCGCGCCCCGACTGTCGATGCCGATCCCCATCCCCATCCAAAACGGGATGCACTCCGGTTCTTCCTCGCCTATCGTCCCGGGCTCGAGCTCGTACTGGTCAGCTCGCCAGAGCTTCGGGTCGGCGAGCGTGCTGTCGAGCCCAACGCTCCGCGCGCAAATCGGGCTCGCAAGCCCTGTGCTGCGCCCCATGACACGGGCGCGGCGAGAGGGCGAGCGGGAGGTCGACAGCACGGAGGAGGGCGTCAACGGGCTGAGCATCGCATGAGAGCGAGCGTTCTCCGTCCTCGTTGTCGCCGCCTTGCGTCGCTAGTCCGCATTTAGCTCCCCCGGGGCTCAGTCACTAGCACCACAGCATCGTATTGTACCTAAGTTAATCCCCGCCTTGCGAGCATGTAGTATGAGACGCATCTGTACCACTAGGGCTTCAGTCATCTCGCACTGTATATCCTGTTTTCATCGTTCCTAGAGTACGTTACATGTGTATACTTAGTCATACTATCTGCTTCCCTATATTTCGCTTCAATCTCCGCACGCCGCGTGTTTTCCGCGACTGAATCAGCTGCCCCTGTAGGTCGTGTAAGAATACGGGCTGATGAGTAGCGGTATGTGGTAATGCTCCTGAGGGTTGGGAACCTCGAAGGTGATCTGCGCGCATCGACATCAGTCTGTGCAATGTGCCATTGAGAGAACACCGACCGACCTCGACCCACGGGTAGAAAGACTTGCGGCCCACGCTCGCGAAGTAGTCCCTCGTCCTGAAGACGACCTTGTAGAGTTTCCCTGCCTCGAGCTTGATCAGGTCCTCACGGCGCTGGTCAGGCGCGGCCTCCGGGTACAGCTGCATGCAGCGGCCGTCGAAATCGGTCACCCTGGGCGTGCGGGCATCAGCATAGCTTGCGGACGTCGGGCGACGTGGACGTGCCCATCAGCGAGGACCCGGAAGCCCGCCGTGGGCCCATCGGCCGAGGTGAGCTCCTGGAGCTGGACAGGTACGCCCGCAGCAGGCTTGCCTATCGACGAGTCGAGCACTGCAACGTGAGTGTCGACAGTCAACAGTTCGTTGATGCGCAGGTGCCAAGAAGTGCGCGCACCGTGGCAGGTCACGGGCGACTTGGACATGGTTATGGTCGTGGTAGAGTGGGAGGAGTCGAACCAGCGATATGTAAGGTTGGCGTCGTGTACGGCATGCCACATCACGTGACCAGCGCCCGCTCATTTGGCGTCGACGCCAACCTGGTTACCTTATACGGGGCTATTTCACTGACATCATGGGCGGCCAAGGATGCACCCGAAGAAGATTATCCTGGTGCTTCGATGCTCGCGCGAGATATATAAACCAGACGGGCGTGTCTAGCTCTACTGCTCGTCTGTCGTCCACCATGGCCTCCGATACTGAATCCACCACGACTCGAGAGAGGGCCGACTCCCTTTCTTCTCTCTCTACCATGGCCAGCTCAGAGTCAGCACCTAGTCTCTGTGCTGATCACGGCTCTCCTATCCACTCGTCACCGGCCCAATATTCAGCCCTTCCGGACGAGCCACCAACTCCGCCTCCAAACTTTCCGCACGACCCGCCGACTCGGCCTTCGGATATCCCGGAGGCGCCACCGAACAGACCTTCCAACGTGTCGGACGATGACTGGGAAACACTCCAACTTCTCCTCCAGCCTGGGTTCGAGGGGTACAATCGGCCCACGTGGGTCCAGCGACTCGAATCACGCATCAAACCATTTCGCGAGATACGCTTCGGGAGGTACACCACCCACATGATGTTCACGGCCATGTTCGAAACCGCCGCACGTATGAACCTCGGTGATTCTGCTCAAGAATACCTATCGACGGCGATCCGAACTTGCGTCCAAACCGCCGATGGACAGCCTGAGAGGGACAGAGAGATGATATTGGCGAAGGAGCTGCAGAAGCTAGCGACGACGTGGGTGGGGTACATGTTGTGGCCCTGTGCGTCCCTCTTTTTCGTTTCATCTGTTGCTCATTCACCGAGGTCTCTTTTGGCAGTCGCCACGGCCGCCGTCATGAATATCATGGAACCCGAGGAGATATCTGAAGCCGCCACTGCGCCAGGCTCCGGCACTGACACGCCAACTTCTTCCATCATCAGTCTACCGAAGAACAGGGTCTCGTCGCTGAGAGATCATGTTTGTGACCTTTTCCCGGGTTGATTTTGGTGGCAATTCGTGCTAACGTCTTACTATCATTCCTCAGGTTCTGCTTCGTGATCGCTTTATGTGTTTCTTTTCCGGCGCTGTCGACCCGACGTGTCCCACGGCACACCGTTCTAGACTACAGTACAAGTATAAGACTAAGTTGAACGCAGCACACATATTCAAGCGTGCTGTAGCGACCTTTCACGAAGGGTCCACAGATGCGGAGGCAAGTCATTCATGCTTGGTGTTGTTGGCGACTGTTTAACACAGCGCTGTAGAAGTCTCTCGAAACTACCCTGACGATCTTGAAGAATTATTGTCGGGTTGAGCGGTCCATGCAGCTCATAATCGACACGACAGACGATCCTCAGAACGCCATTCTGCTGTCCCCGGAAACCCATTCCGACTTCGATGCCTTTGCGTGGTGCCTGAAGACTACAGAGGTACGCGCTACTCGGAGCTGAAGGCGACTGATGCACTTACATTAGCATCGCAGGCACCCCACCGCTACGAAATTTGTCGCATGTCGGGATACGAGGGGCGCGACCCTGTGCAAGAGTACGTCACATTCGAGGACCACAGCGCCGAGTTCAGCGCTTCCGAACAGGCCGCTATGTCCTCCGTGTTCAGCAAGTCTGGCACTCGCAAGCGGGGAAGTAGTGCCACGGGCATCGATCTCCCCAACCCGGAGCTGCTGCGGATGCATTGCGCACTCACGCACGTCCTGCATCTCAGCGGGGCCGCAGGGCTGTTCGATGCGCTCAGAGAGCCTGGAAACGAGGACGGCTCTGCGGGCGCGGGCGCGGCAGTGGCTGGGACAGGAGATGCTTTCCAGAAGCATGTGGTCGACGAAGACCCGTTCAAGTTCGATGGATTGCGACTGTCGCTCAAAGTGGCGGGCATTTCCCCACACTAGTAGAGTATTGTCCATTGTGCAACGGTGAGAGGGGATGTAGCAAGCTGGTGTCGATAGTACTGTCCAATCTCGAATTGTTCGAACGTCGTGGGTCACAAGAATACAAGTTCGGAAGCAGCTCGCGCTCGATCGATATGGACACATAAGTGCCCAAAAGTCGACAGTATTGAGGCGAACCGTTCACGGGCGGTCCGGTCGAAGTTCGAATACACCCGACCACACCTGCCGTGAGTCACGCTCGAACATGCGGTCCAACAATTCGAAACAGTACATATAAGATGGATTCAAGTACTCGATGCGGCGGAGCAGGCGTGAGCACGGTACACCTCATCGAACAAATTTGGACGTGGCCCTAGCTGGCTGCCGTAGGGCGGTACGCATTCCATTGCATGAACACATTTCTTACATACTCAGGTTAGGATGGATAGATTACTGACGAGCCACGGCTGGGAGTTATCCTGGTGTGTATATGAAATCTCACCACCTCAGGATCAGTCCAGACTTCGACCCAAAGCCTAGACCATCCCGGGCTAGCTCGTTGATGGAAACGGAGGATATCCCGAGCGGGATACATTATCTTGCCTGGTCTGAAAAGGTGATTATCGGCCAGCCAGCCTCGCAAGATAGGTTTCGACTAGACAGTGTAAATAGCATACTCTCTCTGGCCTCAACCATTCTCACACACCCCGTACACCCATGTTACAACACAGTGGAAGCGACGAATAGATGAATTGCATGTGACTACTACAATCTATCCAATCACTCCTGGTGAGGACGGAACCTAGGGTGCAATATAACTATGTAGACCCAGACCAGGAGCAGTAGCAGGCGGGCGGTCGACCTTGGAGACGACGAACGTGCCCTCGAGCGGGACGGTGTGCGGGCCGCTCGCAGTCGTGTGCCGCCAGCCGCCGACCAGCGTGCGCCCGCCGACGACGTACTCGCGGAAGACGGCGGGGAGAGCGCCGCTGCAGCCCGCTGGCGGGATCTCAAGGCGGACAAGGATGACAAGGCCACGCCTAGGACGGACACGGCCGTGGAGCGCGTACACCCGCCGGGCATGCGCGCATCACGCGGGGGTCTGTGTGCGTGTGAGAGGGAATGACGAGGGAGTGAAGCAGAGAGAGAGAAGGGTGAGACAGTGAAGGAGGAAGGAATGAGTCAGTGCGCGCACAGGGGAGAAAATAGGTCAGCGAAGGAGAGCGGACGGAGGAACGCACACTACCTCGCCTGCGACGAAGACGCGCGTGATCCTACATGTCCGAGTCCGTTGGGCTTACCGCGCGAGTGCGCATCGTCCATCTTGTGCTCTTTGTCGAGACCGCGTCGATGAGCTCGTCGACGTCCACGTTGAGCCCGTCCTGGGCCTGCTGACGACAGCCTCGCGTCGAACACGTACGAGCGCGCGGCGAGCGCATGCCCGTCCACGTCCGGGTCCTACACCGTGCGAGCGTGGGTGCCGGGAAGAAGGCGAGAAACTCACGGGGCGGTGGCCTGCCCAGAGCCCAGACAGAGACCCGGGCGTGAACGTTTGAACTTGGGGCCGCCGGGGGGCACGCCCTCCACCCCTCCCGGTCGTTCTTCTGCCGTGCGCTCAGGCTCGTCAACCGATCCCTCCACGCCCGCCCGTCCTCCTGGGCAGGGTCCGTGAGGGCGGCGAGCCAGTCGCAGTCGCAGTGTGGGGGGCGGGCGGAGGCGTGATACTCGTCAAAGTCGGCCATCATCGGCCCGCGGAACTGGATCGCGGTTGAAAGGCGCAATGAGAAAAGAAGGAAGTGGGGGCGAGTGCAAAGAAGAGGGAGACGGAGAAGCAAGCATCGCCGACGTGATATTGCACGTGATATGCGCCCAGTGCAGACGCCTGCCCGACGTGGCTCTCTCGGATCTCCACCCCAGATGCGACATGCCCTCTCGAATGCCCACCCACGACTTCTCCGCCGACACATTTTTGCCACCGCTAAAATCCTCTATGCATTTTCACGACATTGATGGTGTCAGAAAGCACCTGGACGTCCTACTGCTCCCTCAGTTTGAAACGTGCAACCATCCACGATGGGCCGAAAGAATTACTTGCTACAGGGACCCCAACGGGCCGCACGGTCGAAATACTCCACCCACGCGATGTTCGTCGCGATGTGCGCGACCGCCGACCTACTAGACCTTGACCACGGACGACGGTACGTCTTCGACGCCATCCACAAATGTGTCGCACAAGCAGCCGGGAAACCCGAGCGGGAGCGAGATAAGTGTCTGGCGGTAGGGCTGGAGAGGCAGGCAACGGCGTGGGTGGCGTACATGCTCTGGCCTTGTGGGGGTTTCGTCTATTTGATACCTGCCCACTCACGCTGACCGACGATTAATGCTGCAGTCGCTGCGATGGCGTACGTGGACGACACGGACCACTCCAGCTCCTGGGATATGATTTCGACTCCCACTGCCCCGATGACTTCGGAAGACGCGGAAAGGCACCGTGCGCATTGTCCGTGGAAATCCGTGAGTGCTCGAGACTATTATCGGGCGATCCAACGCGTCCTCATATGCATGTACCCTCCGTAGTTGCTGCTCCGTGATCGTTACACCTGCTTCTTTAACAAGGCCCTCGACAAGGAGTGTCCTCAGGAGTACCGTAGCAGATTGAACTTTGACTATGCTTCCCGGTTGCAGGCAGCGCACATCTTCAATATTGCGGCAGTTGCCTTGCACCCGGAATCGAACGAGCTTCAGGTAGACTACTTTATTCGATCCTGCGAGCGTTTATTGACATTGAGGAATGATCAGTCTCTTTCGACTACGCTGGGAATTCTGCAGGACTATTGTCGGATACACCGCTCCGTTGTCCAGACCATCATCAATACCCCGGACAATGCGCAAAACTCACTCTTGCTATCAGTGGAAGCCCGTCTAGACTTCGACGGTTTCAATTGGTGTCTCAAGGCTACAAAGGTGCCATTTGGTTCAGACAAGAGCATAGTCCCACATCCTGATATCTGCACAGACACCCCACCGATACCGGATATGCTACATGCCGGACAACGAACGATATGAAGGGCGCCGTGCCACAAGCGACCACGTCACATTCGCAGACCACAGCGCCGAATTCGACGCTCCCAAACACGTCACTTCGTCCTCGCCCATCGCAGGAGTCGCCCTGCCCAATGCGGATCTGTTGCGGATGCACTGTGCACTCGCGCACGTCCTGCACCTGAGTGGGGCTGCGGAGCTCTTTGAAGTTCTTGCTTACACAGCGGACCATGTCTCGCCGACGGGCGCAGCGTTCATGGCGCGGGTGGTTGACGAGGATCCGTATGCGGTGATAGAGCTGCAGGAAACTCTTGCTGAAATGTTGAACCCTCAGTGACGAATTTCTGTCTTGCGTGCGAGCAATGCTGGTTTGTTGCCCAACGATGTATACATTACGCGACTTAGTATACCATGGATCTGACTCAGACAGGAAGGCGTTACCGCCCCAGGTTGAGCAAAACGTGGGACGAGTGACAACCGTGTTAGACAACGATGTACCACCCATGAAATAGAACCTTCACTTGATGCGTTACATACTATCCTCGCACAAGCAGCGCAAGACAGCTCGGGGCCGGGTGGGACGCTTCGATCTCGGCGGCCCGATCTGCCCGGGTCGAGTGCTAAACTGAGAACAGCCCACGTACGGGTCCGCACAGCGTAGCAGTGGCAACACCATCTCTCTCCTCTCCCCCTCACGGTGCCCGCCATGTCCATGCACTCCGACGATGACGACCTCAGCCCCATACGCACGAACGGGAATGGAACAAATACACGCCTTCCCAAGGGCTTCGTCCTCGACGACGACGCCTTCTCGGACAACGACATCGACGTCCCGGAGTTCTCCCCCGCGGCGATCCGCGAAGAGCTCGCGAAGAGCATGGCCCGCACTGGCGCCGCGGACGACCGCTGGGGCTCTGGGGCGGGCGTGGACTTGGAACTGGACACGAACATGAACGACCTGGCGGCAAAGATCGGGTACGCAGCGGACCCCGACGCCTCCGTCTCGACGTTCGACATCGACGCGGAGCCCGATTCACCACCCCGGCCAGCGCGGATGGACTCCCTCGCGTCGATGTACGACGTGCCCTTGTCGTCCGAGCCGTCGCAGGAGCGGTTCAGCGCGGACAACGTGCGCGCCGAGCCGCTGCAGGAGTGCGACGAGCCCGAGGAGATCGCAGAGGCGGACGGAGGCGGCGGGTCCGACTACCCCGCCGTACAAATCGACCTCTCCGGGCCCACGGCGCAGGCGACGGAGGTGGGCGCGCACGCCCGCGCCCGCTCGTCCGTGTCCTCGGCGGCGTCGCAGCCCCGCTCGGAATCAGAGACACACGACCTCCCCCCGATATCCGTCTCGGCGAGGCACCAGCACGCGGCGTCGCAGCACGAGCTGCGCACCAAGCCCGCACCGCTCGACATCAGCGGCTCCGGCGCAGCAGCGGGCGCGGCGGCGTCCGCCTCGACGTCCGCGCTCCCGCTCCCGTCGTCCTCGTCTCTACCCACGCCCACGGTGCCGCAGCCCCCGACGCCGACCTCCATGGCGGCACGGCACCGGCCAACGCGCTCGGTGGGGCCGAGCATGCTCGACAAGGTGATCAGCAAGACGCGGCCGCCGCACCTGCCGCCGAAGCCGCGGACGGAGGACCGGAAGCACCTGCAGGACTGGGAGGAGATGATGCGGCGGAGCAGGGCGACGGGTGAGTGTGCTCGGTCGGCTCGTCGGTGGTGCTGCCTCACCTTAACTCAGCGTGCGTTCCGTCTCCGTCTCCGTCCCCGCCTTTGCCGACCCCTCTGCTGTTTGGCGTCTGGCGTGGCGTCGACCCCGACGTCGTCCTCATCCTCGTCTGGATTGGGGGTATGGAATGGCAGAGGAAAAGCGAAGGAAAGCACTACGTGAGCGGCGGCTGGCGCGGGAGAAGAGGATCGAGGACTCGATTGGGCAGTGGGAGCGGGAGATCGTACCGGACTGGACGGTCGTCCATAGAAGCTCGCATCTGCGACGATTGTGGTGGCAGGGGATCCCGACGAAGCTGCGCGCGTCGATGTGGCAAGCAGCGATCGGGAACCCGCTCGCGCTGAGCAAAGGTGCGTCCCTTGTGCTTCCCCCAATGGCTGCGTTCCCGACACCCGTGTCCCAGATTCGTTCAAGACGTGTCTATCGAGAGCAAAGAGAGCGTTAGCATCGGGATCCTTCCCGACGACGGTGCTCAACCTCTTGGAAAACGACATCCGGACGACATTACCATCGGTCCACCTGTTTGCGCCCGAGACAGGACCGTTGTATCAGGACCTGAGAGACATGCTTTGCGCATGGGTCGTTTCTCGGTCGGATGAGGGGCTTGGATACGTCGTTGGAGTGGCCAAGATTGCGGCGATGATCCTCATCAACATGGCGCCGATGCAAGGTTTCATCGCGCTACGGAACCTGTTAGAGCGTCATTGTCTTCGGTCTTTCTATGGCGGTATGTCGTCAAAAGACGATGTGAGTGATCTGCAGTAAAACATGGGAGCTACTCTAACGCACGGAATCACAGGTAGAAGCATACTACAGGTAACGCATACATCCAGTCAAAAGGCGACACAGCGCTGACATGAAGCAGGATATTCGACACCTTGCTAGCAGATGGAATGCCCAAAAGTGCGTACATACGAACTTTGCCTTAGTCTAGTCCTTGCTTACAGTATCATCTGTCAGTCTACTTCAACTTCAAGCAGCATCAAATATCACCATCATCGTACCTTCCGGATTGGCTAGTGCCGCTATTTATCGAACATTTACCGTTCGAGGCGTGTGCGCGAGTCTGGGACGTCGTCGTTCTCGAAGGAGACGCGTTCCTATATCGCGCCGCGCTAGCCGTCTTGGGGGTCCTGGAGCCTCGACTGTTCTTCCCGGACAAAAAGGAGCTTCTCGAACTGCTGAAGTGCGTCGCATCGTGATGCCTCTACGGACACCTCGCTGACACATGCTTTTGCAGGGGTGAGAATAAAGCTGCGCTAGAAGTCGCGAGAAGGGAAGGCCGTGCGCTCAACAATGGCAAGTACGAGATGTACGGCGTCGACGAGGAGACGCTCTGGGAGCGGATCAACAGCATGGACGAGTGGTGGCGAGAGAGCACCTGGCAGAGGCTGATCACGCGGGAGCTTCCTGACATATGAGCCCGCAGGGTGGGCTACAAGCGTGGGTACCATTATTCGTTGACGTTGTTGACACGACCAGGGATGACATGACATCGGTCTGCCCGGCCGTCTTGTACGCATATACACTGCAAAAGGATAATCGCTAGATGCACGGAGAATGGTAATATGACGTTCCTCAATCAGGATTTAGAACTGGACTCTGGACTGTGCTGGGCGGCGGCCCGTGACAACTACATGAAGCGAAGCGCAACAGGTTCCAGTCGGCCTGGTGTTCCTCAAGTCACGCATCCGCAATCCGTCTTCCAGCACCGGCTCGACCAGCGGCCTAGAATCTCCATGTCTGTGCCTTGCCAAATACAAACCCCGGGCGCTCCACCGACCTCTTCAGCGGCACCGACAAGAAACGGGTCATGGCTGTACGGATCAACATTATCAATTATTGCAGCCCAGCCTCGAGCTTATGACGCACCGTCCGAGCCGGGCGGGGATATTTGGGCTTGTGGGCGGTGGCGGGGCTCGAACCGCCGCTTTCGGCCAGAACGTCTATCGGCCCCACACGTGATCGCCGCCGCCAGCCCTAGGCCTGATGCGGTGCGTGTCACGTCCGCACACCTGGTCTATCGCGGGCGGAGATCGAGCTGGGCTGGGCGATGCGTCCCGGTGCGTACCGTGCGTGGGGCCTTGTGCCCGGGAGGCTCGTGCACAGGTGGCGTGAGGCGGGCTGCAGGATGATGTGGTGAGGGTCGCCGGGGTGTATAAAGACGGGACCGCCTAGACTCGGTGAGACCTCAGTTCCACAGTTCCACAACACCCTCTACTCAGTCATCTCTTCCTCGACTCTCGAGTGCACTCCTCTCCACTCAAGTCTCACCCACACACCCCACTCAACCACTCAACCACCAACCACCCCTCTCACTCACGATGATGTCCCTCATCGCCGCCCGCGCTCCGGTAAGCTCTACTTTCTACAGCTCCATCCATAATAGGTCCCTGACAGAAACCCCTTCGGCAGTCACTCATCCTCTGGACCTCCCTCGAGACCGGGCTCGCCGTCTTCGTCTATTCCCAGTGGCAGAAGCCCAGGTTGTTGCCTCCTCCCTTGCCATCAGCTTCATACTAATTCGAGTCCTCTTCTCCAGCATTGTTACGGGCCCTCTTCCCTCCGCCATCCCCAAAGGCTATTTCGGCCGCAGCCGGTTCGGCGACCACCCCCACCAACCCATCCACATCGCCGAGACCACCCAGCTCCGCGAGGCCCACTCGGCGCGCTGAGCTCCTCTGGGTCGGTGACTCGTCCATGATCATACCCGCTCTCAACGACACTATCATCTGGGACTAGTAGGCTGCGCGGCGGGGTTGCGGTGTAAGTCATGCAGACGCGGAACAAGTCGACCTGAACGGTCGGCGGGGGCGGCGCAGTCGAATGAGAAGTCCGGACCAGGACGTCCTGTACAAGATACCAGCATGTATGTATCATTATAATCGCTCTATTGCACGGCTACATGAAGACGCGTTGGATTTGGAGCGTGGGCTCTGAAAGATCCTCTTTGTTGGTGTCGCTGTCTTCGTCCTTGCTCGACGCGCCGCTCTGGAAATCGGAGCACATACCACCTTCGCGCTCCTATGGCTAGCATCGTTCGTCTCGGTTCACTGGCAGTAAGCCTGTCAAAAATGTGTTACAGGCCGGGGATTTTGCGCTTATGGGGCGCAGGCACCGAGCTCCTGGACAGGCATGTTGAGCTAGAAATGGTGGAGGATTCGCGGACGACCAGTCAGACTTGCGGAGGTCCGAGAAGCGGTCACCACCGGAGTCATGGGCCGTGACGAAGGTATCGAAGGGAAAGGGTAACACCGGTGGAGGGCCCGGCACTGGCCGGGCTGTCACTACGCGGTCACGTGTACTAGTACGCCTCCCGCGAGTGGCGCCGCAGGCTGGTCTGTCTTCCACAGTCACATTTCCTTCAGGCTTCTCGTCCCCCTACTATCCTCCAAAATACAGGCTCACACTGGCATGACCCACGAGCAACAAGGATACAACATTGACGGAGGATCTAACGATTACAGCCCTCAGACCACAGCTCCCTCACCGAGCTCAAACAGCGTGGCGTCTCCTCTCGAGTGCGAATGGATGGGAAAGGAAACGCCGGGACGGCGACCTCTTTGCGCCCCAAGAAACTCCATCCATCCGAAGTGGCCCGTCGAGAAGTGTGTCTCCTCGCTCTCATTCCTTCATATGTGCCCTCAGGAATCTCCATATACTAGCGCGTCGCACGATCCAAGGCGCAATATCCTCCACGACGCCGTCTTCCCCGTGCTGAGGTATACAACGGCACCAACCGCCCCCTTCTCTGGCGTTTCGGCTACGCTTTCAAGGGCGACGTCGCTGCCGAGTACGTCAAGCACCACAAACTCAAGCTTCCACTGAACGATGAGCCTCTCGATGAGGCTCCTACTTGGGAGGAGGTGAGAATCGCCGGAAGCGCACATCGTCGGGGGGAGGGATGTTTGCCGCGGCCCTCTACCTTATGGCGAAGGACCTGTCGAACAAGTCTGGTGTGGAACTTCACACTGCCCAGACTCTGGCGTTCTCGCGTAATTTGTCGTCTATTTGTGGACAAACTACAACTACGACGAGCAATTTTGGCAGTGCCCCGACTATGATTTCGCCCTCGACACCCTGGACGAAGCTTTGAGGCCGTTTTCCGGAGTGACGGTCAAACCATTGTGGTATATCGATTTGGAAAACGACTGTCTGGTACGTTCTGGTGTCTGCCTCTCTCGGTGGTTTACTCACGATGGGCACAGGACATGTGATGTTTCGGAGGTCTCGACGTGCCACTGGTTGTGGGTACCATTGAGACGTGCTCCATACATGTCGGTCCTGTCGATGTGCTCGTACTCTCATTATGTTCCAGTATATGCTGTCATCGTACTATCCTTGATAACATGTTGCGCCCCTGCCCCCCGGGGCATTTGTGTAGTTGACGCAAGCTTCCCCCCCGATTCGTGATCCCGGTCCGATAGTTTAGATTCAGCTTTGTACTGTACGCCTACCATAGGGCTCTGCCCTCGAGGGCGTTAAAGGAGGACGACCAAAAAAAACATGTTGCGCCGTCGCCAACCCGGAACACACCTACGGAACGCCCAATCTTGGCGCGCTTTGATTACGATGTTGTGTTGGGTGTCAACGTTTTCTATGTAAGTATGGCAAACATAGTTGACGGTCCATCAATGCTACCGTTTGTCTCCTTCGCCTATGCTATCAGACATCCGAGTGACTACAGGGTACATATATACTGCAGGTGTTCTTGACCATTCTTCGAGGCCGACCCATCTGAACGGATGCGGGGGCGATGAGCGACCCGCTTGGGCATTAGGCGCCACCACGCATGTCTTTTCTCCTCCCCTTCCCGGGAGGACGCAGACCGGGCACGATGGAGATCTAGAAGAGACCGGGGCATTCGTGTACAGAGTTATGATTGGCTCTCGTACACGGCTATGCACAACATATCCTACCGGACCTGAGGTGTGGGCCTCGGAGAGCTCAACGCTCAGCTCGCGTCGACGGTCCTTGATCTTTTCTTGGCGACGTCCTCGGATTCGTCGTCCTCGCTGCGCTCTTTCCAGAGTGCATATAGCCTCCGCCGGCTGGCATCCCGTGTGTCGGGTTCACTGGCGATATCGAACAGTTGTTGCAGGACTGCTTTCCGGAGGGCTGTGGTGCTCTGCGGCTTTTCAGGTTCTGGATTTGAGGTGCATGAATTCGAGACCAGGTGGAGGTATGTTTCTGTGGAAAGTCGTGGCCGTTTGCGACTCGGGGGTTCTTCTGAGGTTCCTTCTGACAAAAGGGCGTCGAGAAGCGGATCGATGAGGGCCGACTGTACGCGGTCGTAGGCCACTACTGTAGGTGCACGCGCAAGCAGGGTAGCGAAAGGAGCGAGGAGAGTGGTAATTGGTGCGGGAAGAGGGGAATCGACTGGAGGATTTGCGAGCGCCTTATCGAGCTCTTCGGCGTAGATATCGGCAAGGTGATAGGCCAGACCTAATGGCACTCGTTGATCGTCGACGCTGAGATAAGATGAGAACTCTTGCGGGGGGTGAGTGAGCAGCCAGTGGTCGAGACGCACCATAGAGGTCCACCGTGTTGTGTGAGTATGCCGTTATATTCCTTGCAAGCCGCACCATCCCACTCTGCTCGAATTAGAAGACGGAACGAGGCGTTCACGAAGCGGCGAACAAGCATGTAGTATTTGTCGATTCTGAGAAGAACGGTGAAAAGATGGAACTTGGACAAGCAATAGGACCACATACCGAAGCCGATCAATCGAGTTCCACTCCCGGACAGTTGACTCCCAGAATCCACGCAGAAACGCCAGTGAGACTGACAAATCGGAGATCGCAAGCAGGATGTCTGAAATCTCCGTGGCAAGTGCTTGCTGAACCAGAGGCTTGTCAGAAATCCAAAAACCTCCACGGAGGGATGTCAATAGCAAAACGGACTTAAGGTGCTAAGATCATGCTCACAGTAGAAGATCCCTTTCCAAAGCTTCGCCATCTCAGCTTTGGGCAGAGCTTCGCGCGCGGGGTCAGATAGGAAGGCGGCGAGGCTCTTTATGGCCTTGTCCCGCGTTTTCTTGTCTTGAGGTCCATGAGCTTCCCGATCTTGCGCGAGCCATTACCTGGAGGACGCACCAGTTGAGGCAAGATATTTGCCCAGGGGAGGGCTTCCGTTTGTGCTCTCTGTTGCCATTACTTGACGGTTGGTCGACCGGGATGCGTTCGGAGATGAGCTTGCGATACGAAAGTGAAAAGTCCAGTGGGGAGTGGAAGTCGGAGAGGAGAACGAGACACGGAAAGTTTTCCCGCGCTCCGCCACAGACGCGTCGCGAGCGCGGGCGTCGCCCGAGTCGCGCTTGCTCCTCCCTGTCCAAGGCCACCACCGCCAGGGCTGCAGCCCCCGCTATATGCGGTCCCATCATCACCGTCATCATCTGCGTCTGCCATGATTGCTGAAGTACTCCTCGTGCTCGCTGGTCATTCCTCCTCTCTCTTCCCCACCGACCACACCGTCCACCCCGCATTCGCACCCCTCCTCCATCCCGGCGAGGAACAGTGTCTCGAGTCTCTTGGTCAGATCGCGGTGCGTTACCGCAAGATCAAGCATGCCTGCACGACCCTCGCGCGCCCCTCCTCGCGCTACGTCTCCGCCCTCTGCGCGACTCTCAACCAGATCCTCAAGGACGAGTACGAGGTCCTCGTCGTCGACACCGAGGCCAAGGTGCTCCAGCGCGACAGCAGCCTCGTCGCGAGCGGCTCCTTTGTACCCCTCGCCTCCTTGCGCGCCATCTTCGCTGAGTGGGACGCGCCCCTTGCCTCACTCGACACTCTCGTCGACGACCTCCGCACGCACGAGTACTGGCAGCCAGGCCCGCTCATCGACCTTCTCCTTACCCGCTCCCAGACCGGCATCCACCGCATCGCGACGATCTACGACCGTCTTTCCGCAGCCGTACAGCGCGTGTGGATGGCCCAGCTCCAGGCACTCCTCATCCACGGCTCGCTCGCCCCCACCGACCCGATCGCGGACACGCACTACGCCTTCGTCGACGGCGCAGTGCCGTCGTGCGTGTCCGCGCAGTCGAGGGAGTCGATCACGTACGTCGGGCGCGCGATCGGGACGGTCAAGGCTGCCAAATGGGAGAAGCAGTTCCCGCAGGAACTCGCGCGTGAGCATACCAAGCTGCTGCACACCACTCTCCCGCAAGAGCAATACGTCTTCGACCGGGTAATTGCGGACATCCGGACGGCGGTCAGTGAGTGGTTGTGGCTTAACGTGTTGACGCACAAAGATGTCGACGAGGCCGTCGAGTCGCTGTGCGTACCCCATTCTCTCGAGCCGGCGGTGGTCGTCTGGCTGACACGTCTGTAGAGCCAACTATTTCCTCCTACGCAATGGCGAGTTTGCACTGTCGCTCATTCGCGAGATCGAACGTTTGAAGCTTTCACGTCTCACGGGCAAGTCGGTGCCTAGCTCGATGATCCGGGAACAGGACCTCCACCTCGCCCTCCTCCGTGCCTCGCTGGGTACAACCGCTCAGCAAGACCCGTCGATCGCACATCTCCACTTCCGCATGCCCGCAGGTCCCATCCGTCCTCTGTTGCCTTCCCTCGCGGCGCCGCCGGTCCAAGACCTGTCAACCTCACTCTCTGGACCCCCAGACTCAACCTCCTTTGATGACATGCTCCTCGGCACCCCGCTGCTGCTCACCTACACCGTCGAGTGGCCGCTCGACCTCTTCCTCCACACCTCTGATCTGCAGATCTATGCAGGCCTCTTCTCCTACCTCTCCGCGCTTCGCAAGACGCATACCCGCATCCATGTCTGCTGGACCGCGCTCTCGAACGCACAGCGCGCCCGCCGCCGGTGGACGGGGCTTGGCGACGGCGGCACCGCGGAGGATCTTGAGGCGCGCAAGCGGCTCCTTCGCTGCGGCTGGGGCGTCGTGCGCGAGATGAACTGGTTCCTCGACACCCTCCTCGGCTACGTGATGACCGACGTCGTCGACGTCGAGTTCCGCCGGCTTAAGGCACTCCTCCGCGGGAAGCCCGCCGGTCTGTTGCGGCCACAGGCGACGGGTCAGACTGATGCACCGTTCGGGGTCTCGCGGGCGCACTCCGCATTCGGGCCCGCGCAGAGCACCGCATCGAATGCAAACCTCGCCGCTGGCGCGCCACCACTCGACTTCACCACCCTGCGGCACATCCACACGACTTACCTCGAGCGGCTTCTCACCGGAAGCCTGCTCGCGAACCCGGCGCTGACGAGCATCATCCGCATGGTGCTAGAAGTGTGCGAGCGGTTCGCGGCGCAGGTCGAGCGATGGGGCGGGATGTACTCCCGCGCTGCTCTTCGAGGGCAGCCTCGCCGCGGGCGGGAACCGCGTCGGGGACATGGTCGCGGAGCGGCATGTTATCGTCGGGGAGATCGATGAGGTATGTCCGCTGTATCGCAGCTCGTTCGTTTGAGCTGACTTGCCGGTGTTCCACAGACACTGCATACCCTCCTCGACGCGTTCTACGAACAGCTTTCGCTGTCCACCACGCTGCAGCCGTTCTCTGCCCTGCGGGTGGTGACGCCACAAAGTCCATGTACAACGCGAGCATGGCGAGCACGACGGGTGTCGGGTTCCACACGTTCCTGCGTGCGCGGCGCGGCCGGCGACTCGAAGGAGACGAGGAGGTGCGGCGGCACGTCGAGCGGTTGCTGCTCCGCTTGGACTTCAATGGACAGTTTTCGAAGCCGAGGGCGCGGAAACGGGGCCAAGGGACGGTCGGCGGTGAGGAAGACATTCTCAAGCAAGGAGGCCTGGCGTAGAGCGTAGCACACCAAGTGCGAATGGACGCTCTCTTGATCGACAGTGACGGTGCCTGTTTGTACATGGCACTGCACGGAACCTTGTCGAAGTCCAGTTGAGGAAGCAGCCGGCGTTGGTGGACCAAGGCGGACCACCACCTGCCCCCATTCTCACATCCACAGCTCCGGAGCTTCCTCCGTGTACGTCTCGGGATGGGCCGCCAACCATTCACCTCGAGATCCTGTCGTAAGTTCAACAGTTCACGATGGCCGTTGGGTGCCCGCTAACATCAATGTTTCCAGCGTCCGTTCCTCGTCTTGCCGGGGGTCCGTGTGGCTTGAGGTTTCGTAGCGATGTGTTGGGCCTGGCTGGCGTCCATAACTTGATGTGGAATGCATTCACCCGTTGGCCCTTCTACTGTCGCTCCAGGCACCCAACTGGTTCACGAGCTCCCTACATGCTCTTCAAGAGCGGGCATCGAACATCAAGAAGCGAGAATTTCAATGCATGTTGTTCGTTTGTCAAGCCTGCCGTCATCTCCCTTTCTGCGCCATGTAGTGCCCATTCCCATCCTCACGCTGGAGCACCGTTTGGCCGCAAACCCCACCTGGTTTCGCACCCACGGCGATGCCAACCACTCATTCAGACCATTGCACATCACACCACGCCCACTGGCTTCCAACCGATGCTTAGCGCGCTGAAGAACCCTTCATTTCACGTCTAGATGCTAAGGTACATATGTGTGGGTCAACCGAACGAAAAGCCGTTCCAGTATGTGTTGCGTGTGTGTAGATGCGGCCCGTAGGCGTGGGCGTGAGTGAGGTGTGGGTGTGTCGCGGGGTATCCCGGTTCCGTATACTACATAGCTACATCGGAGATGAGGCAATAAATCTACTGCTACTTGGACCTGGACCACGGACAGCGGAAGAGCGGAGAGAGACGCGACGAGCAGCATGGACGAAAGCAGCGGCAGCGAAGAGAGGAGGCCAAGGAGAAGGAAGAGCAGCGAACGGGCGCACCGCGGACCAGGGCTATCCCCACTCCGCCTCGAGCTCCCGCGCGAGGAAGTCGTCCTCGACCATGTTGTTGACCGAGCTCCCGTCGTCCTCGTCGCTCGAATCGCTCGACTCGTCCTCCTCGTCCTCGCCGCCCCCGACGCCGTTCGCCGGCGACGAGCGCTGGCTGGCGCTCTCCCCGTCCTCGTGGAGCTGCGCGGCGGTGACGCCCTCCTTCAGCCGGCTCGCGCCCGAGCGGTCCGCCGCGAGCTTCTTGCGTTTCGCCAGGGGCGACCGCAGCCCGTCCTCGCCGCCCGTCGACGCTATGGCCGTGGCGAGCTGCCCGAGCTCGGAGGGCGTCAGGCTGCGCACGCGCTTGCGCTTCAGCTGCGGCGACGGCGACGCGCTCCGGGTCCCGTCCGTCCCCGAGCCCTCGTCCTCGCTCGCGCCCCCGCGCACGCTGGCACCCTTACGGCTCGGCGTCCCGTCCTCGTCGTCCTCGCCGTCGTCCTCGCTCTCGTTCATGGCGGCGTCGACCTCGTCGTTGATGTCCTCCCACGAGATCTCGTCGGGGTGGAACGAGGTTCCCGACCCGGAGGGGGTCGGCGGCGCGCTCCCGCCCTCGACCCCGAGCGCCCCCCGCCGGCTGCGGTCGACGACGACATCGTCCCAGTCATCTGCGTCCGGCTCCGGGTCAGAACTAATCTGGTGAGGATCCGAGGGAGGACTCGCAAGCGCTCCGCTGCCGCCGCCTCCCTCGCCACCAGAGCCGTTGCTGGTGCGCGGTGGGGGCGGCGTGAGCAGGTACGGGCCCTCATCGAGCCGCCGCCAGAGCGAGATGCAGTCATTGAGCCACTGGAACCAGACGACTTTGATGTGAGGGTAGCGCCGCGCCGCGTCGACCTTCTGCGTACTGGGCTGCGAGATGAAAGTCAGCCCCGTGAATCGAATGCGAGTGGCGGGAAAGCAACACACCTTGTTGGTGACGACGTGGGTGAGGCGAGAAGAGATTTCAGTGTAACACTGTGCACCGAACGCAGTCGCAGTCTTCCAGATCTCGCTCGTTTCTGGACGTGTCTCTAACGGAATGACACTCGTGAACAACAGGTGAACACCTTCAAGAGTCGCCATCCGCATCGCCGGGATGATCCTCTGTGCACAATCAGTGAGGGGACTTGAGTGAACGCATGCATGGACGTACCCGAACGTCGTAATCCACAGAATCTGGTTGTCGCTTCTTCTTCTTCGGTGATCTGTGGGACTCGTCCGGTTTCCGCGCCTCAAACGCGACGTAGAACTGGTCGTGCACGAACTCGAGGATCTACAAAACGCGTGAGACGAGCCGACTCAGACGAAGAGGTGTTGACATACCCTCTGGACCCGAGCCAATTCTATATCGTCGTTCTTCAGCAATGCCTTGCGCACCGGCTTCTCCTTCTTCGGTTCTGGCGTCGGAGTTGTCGAGCCGTTCTGGGAGGGTTCGGGGTCCGCGGGTTTGTCGCCGTTCTCAGCATCGGCCGGCGGCGTTTCCTGCCTCTCTTGCTTCTCCTCTTCTTCCTGCAGCTCCTCCTGCTTCTTCGCCAGCGGCCGCTCCTCGACTTGCGCTTCGAGAGCGAGAGTATTTCGTGAGATCATCTCGTCTTTCTCCAATTCGGCGGCCAGTTCGTCTTCGGCAGTGGCCGAAGCGGGGGAAGAGGGGCCATCGGAGTCGAGCAGGTCGTCGTCGAGATCGGAGTCATCCTCGTCGTCATCGTCTGGAAAGACAGACGTTGGGTCTGGTCCCGCGTCGGCTGTCGTAGGAGGTGGAGGTGGGGAAGCGGGAGGAGCCATAGGCTCGAGTTTAGGGAGGAAGGCGGAGTTGATGTCGCCGATACCGACGAAGAAGTCATCTGGGCGACGATGTTAGACAATATCATAGACAGGCACTGAGATACTCACAAGGGATGACCTTGACCAGGTTAGGACTCCATTCCCAGACGTCTGCTCGGTCGTCGATTATAACAACCATGGACTGGTCGCAAGGGAACAGTCGCTGCAAGCTTTTCTGTGTCAAGCCTTCGCGGCGGCGTCAACCTCCTGCGTCGCCCTTTCAATCGACATGGTACTCACTGCCACTCTCATCGCGACTTAGGATCCGATTGCCGAATATCTTGCCGTCAGAGTCGATCGCAGCACAGACCTCCTCCGCGTACGCGCGCGTCCCCATCGTGTACACGTGCATTTCATACTTGGTGGCCATCGTCTTCAAGAATTCCGGCAATCCGGGGCTGTCGTAATGTCAGTAAGGCTCAAGCGCGGAAATGGGTGAGCCACTCGACATGTGACGGGCCCGTTCCTAGCGGAGCGTCTCGCGGAACACCCACAGCACGGAAGAGGAGATAACGGACGAGGCCCGAGTGGCGGGCCGCGTGGCGGGCCTCGCATGCAGAAGAACCACGAACAAGAACGACGTACCGCGGCTTGATGTAGTACATGCACCCCTCCTGTTCAATCAGCTTCTCCTTTCCCTTGCTCTTGTTTCGCTGATGTGGCTGGCCGAGCGCCTCGGGGCCCAGCTTGAACTTCTTGACGTCCTTCAAGGCTTCCCAGTTGGGGTTCACATCATCGTCATCCTGCGCTACCGCCTTCGCGGGATCCGCCCCGGGGCTTCCGTTCTGCTCCCCTGGCTCGGCTTTGTCCGCGTCAGAGTTCTCCGCGTCCGCGGCCTTGTTCGCCTGGCGCGCCTCCCAGGCCTCGCCCTCGGTGATCCACTCGCCGACGGTGGGATCGACGGTGGCATGGACGATGGTCTGATCGAGATCGACGATGAGGGAGAGCTTGCGGGAGCGGAAGAGGTGCTCGGCGGTCTCGCGCTCAATGCGCTCCGCCTCCTCGAAGGAGACGGTCGGCCGTTGGCGAGGTGGGTCATCTGGATCGACGCACGGGACGCGTCTGAAAAGCCGGTGTAGTCGAAGCTGGCAGCGACGACGGCGTGAGCCGGCGGGGGGCAGGGACGCGCGGAGGAACGCGGGGGAGACGGACCTGGTCATGTCCTTGCCGCAGAGGCAGCAGAGGCCGCCGATCTGGACGCCGTGCTTGCATGGTTCGAGGATGTATGCGGCGGGGGTGTCGCGCGCGCGGCGGTCGGTGATGACTTCGCCGAGCTTGAAGGACCAGCGGGAGAAGGTGCCCTCGAGGGAGGAGTCCCAGGTGCCGAAGCGGAGCTCGAGGCGGTCGGGGTCGTCTGGGGGTATGTGGGTGAAGGAATAGTCGAGGAGGCGCGAGCCGCGCTGGACGGGTGTGTCGGGAGCGACGGCGAAGGAGACGAGCTTGAGGGGATAGGGGAGAGTGGAAGGGAGATAGAGTTCGGTCGGGGACGACATGGGCGTCGGCTGGAAGGACGGCGCGGGTGTGCGCGAACGGTCCTGTCCCCGGGTCGCTAAATGGCAGGGCGGAGTGGGGCGAGCGCTCCCCGTCTTGTTCCACCCGCCGCTCGGGCCAGGCGCCGGCCTGTTGCGCTCTGTTTGGCTCCTGCTCTCGACCTCGTCTGCACCCCGACTCGCGCGGCTCAGCCTCGTCCTCCGCTGCTCACCGATGCACACAAACGGCACCACACCACTGCGCCACTCCACCCGTGTCTCCCTCGTGGCTGCTGAGACTGCTTCTCACGGATTGGTCCACATTTCGGCAGCAGATTGCCGTCCATGATCTGCGTCCATTAAATCCACGAGGCCGTTGTTCCATCTCTTTTGTCTCCATGTTGCAATTCCACCCCGAATGCAGCTTCGTGGCCCCGACTCGAATTTAGCCGTCGCTCCGGCCATCGTCACATGGACTCGACCGAGTTCTTCGTGAGAGCTGGATTGCTACCTTCTCGGGCGCCATCAGGGTGTCTGTCAGCGAAACACTCCAGACCATCGCTCGAACCAACCCAGCTCGATATGACTGGCGGGAAAGTGGCACTGGTCACTGGGTGCTCTCAGGGAGGTATTGGGTTCGCATTGTAAGTCAACACTCAACGATGTCGAAGCGACCCTGCTCACGCACACCTAGATGTCAAGAACTTGCAGAAAAGGGATGCACGGTATACGCAACTGCTCGTCGACTGGGTCTATGGTCGCATTCGATCACCCCGGAATTCATAAGCTGTTGCTTGACGTCACCAGCGAAGAGTCCGTGCAACTCGCTGTAGACACAGTCATGGAGCGTGAAGGTCGCATCGATGTATTGATCAACAACGCTGGGATGAGTGGCAGCGGTGGGTGTTGGACATGTTTGCGAGGATATACTCGACTCTGACAAGACATCAGGAGCCTTGATCGACATTCCCATCGAGGAAATAGTCCAGACATTCAACACCAACGTCTTCTCCATCGTCCGCTTGACCAAGGCAGTGATCCCACACATGGCAGCTCGCAAAAGCGGCACCATCGTGACCATAGGGTCTCTGGCTGGCGAGATGTACGCTCTCAGCTCCAGGCTTGTCTCTGCGTGTCGCTCAACACATCACTGTTCATAGCCCAGTCCCGTGGGCCGGTGTGTACGCCGCGACCAAAGCGGCCGCTCACTCCCTCACGGACACCCTATACATGGAATGCACCCCGCTCAACATCAACGTCGTTCTCGTCTCTCCCGGAGGCGTCAAGTCGAACATATCTGTCAACCAGGCCGACCGCGTCGCTCTCCCCGAGGCAGCCTGTACAAGGACTACCTCGCGGCGATCATGCAGAGGCTCGTCATGAGCCAGCAAAACAACCCGATGCCCGCCGCGGCGTTCGCCCATAAGTAGTCGGGGCGGTCCTGAAGCCCTGTCCGCCGAGGTACTTGACCCTGGCAACGTTGTCGGGGTTCTACAGTATCATGAAGTGGCTTCCGCGTGGTTGGATTTTGAGGCAACTGTGGAAGAATCTTGGAGAACGTCCGAGGTTGAAGGCAATGCAGAAGTAAATGGACCATAGGGCCAATGGGCCAGCCAATGTTCATATACTTGCTTCTATTGAATGTATGTTACAAATCTGTGCCGTCGGTTCTGTGATGCCTGCACCTTCCGAATCCACCAATGTCCGAACTCGAAGCGTTCAGTCCACTCAGGCGCCTGTTTCCCGCCGTCGTCGACCTCCGCCACTGCCGCCGCTCCTTCCCTCCACCTCCACTCCATCCTTCCACATCAAGCCCTCCGTTGTACAGTCATGTCGCGTACCCTTACGGCCTCTCTGCGGACATCACGCCGACGAGCTCGCCGAGCAAGCTCACAAAGGCGCAGAAGTCGCGCGCGCGCCGCGAGCCCTCCGGCGTGTTCTCGCTCTTCTCCCCGCCCCAGATCCAGCAGTTCCGCGAGGCGTTCTCGCTCATTGACCGCGACGGAGACGGCTCGTCGGCGAGCAGGACCTCAAGCACATATTTGCCTCGCTCGGTGAGCCTCCCCTCTCCCCCTCTCCTCCCGCGTGCTCCCGCCGCTCACCCGGTCCCCTCCCTCATCCTCCTCCGCGCCCTCCGCTCGGACCACCCCACACACACCCTCTCCACCGCCCAGGCATCACCCCCTCCCGCTCCACGCTCGACCAGCTCCTCGCCGACCGCCCAGGCGACGCGCGGCGCGGCCCCCGGCGCGCCCTCGGACGACGGAGGCGCGGGAGCGGGGGCGACCGCGGGATCACCTTCCCGATGTTCCTCACCATGATGGGCGAGCACCTGTACGACTTCGACGCCGAGGCGGAGCTCGTCGCCGCGTTCGAGTGCTTCGACGAGTCCGACTCCGGCCTCGTCAACTGCGACGAGGTCCGCCGGTGGCTGGGCGACGTCGGCGAGCGCATGGACGAGCACGAGGTGAGCCGCCGGCCCTGTGTCGTTTTCCCCCCTTCTTCCGCGCCGTCGGTTGCGCCAGGAGAGCACGGGATGCTCACGCCCCGTCGGTGGTGCAGATCGACAAGTTCCTGAAGGGCCCGTTCACGCGGAACGGGCAGTTCAACTACCGCGAGTGGGTCAAGGTGCTGAGGATCAACACGGACAATGATGAGCCCGAGTCGCAGTGATTCGAGGCGGCTACCGACCTTGTACGACTTGTACTGTGTATGTGACGACTACTAACGAAGGATACCCGATGCATCTTGGAGTGTGCATGAGCTCCGGTCGGCAGCAGGCGAGCCCCCACATTCAGCCCTTCTCAAGATAAGATGATGTGAAGCATTGCGTTACACTACTGTACAAGGAGGCTTGCTGTTCTCGGGGAACCCGCCTAAGCCCACAGACCTTCCAACGGATCAGCCGGAATCTTCTCAACATCCATAGCAAGCTCTTTCATGACCTCATCTATCGACTCCTGGCTTTCCCTATCTTCGGCTTCCTCAAGAGCTACGGGGATGATTAACCTTCGAGATGCACCGGCAGCGCGGGCCTCACCTTTGCCTCTGCCGCCACCCAAGCTCTCCTCAAGGCCCTCTTCTCCGCTTCTGGATGCAATCAGCAGCAACTCAGTCCCCTCGTAGTCCAGCATCTCCCTCCTCTCACATGCGGCAAACCGCAGCCCGTATGTCTCGTTCCCGCGCCGCCCGCCCTTCCCGAACACGCCCTTCATAATCTCGGGTGGGTACTGGGCGCGTTGCCTTCCGGGAGCCCTGCCCTGGACCGCTCGCCGGCGCGAGCGGGTTCTTGACCGTCACGACGAAAGACGACGCGGGGTGAACGCCGAGCGTCCTCTGCACCTCCCCCAGCTGGTCCGCAGAGGGTGCGAGAGGTGGTACCCGAGATGGGTCTCGCGCTGAGACGGTATCCGTGCGTCCTGGTTGACGATCGCGTACGCCGCCGCGAGCCGCGCCGGCCTTGGTGGCGCGTTCCTGCACGCCGTCAACGTCTGATCTACGGTCCCGTCCGCCGGAAAGCGGCGAGTCGGCGAGGCGACGCACCCCTGGTCTTGGTTTCGTACGTCGACCCCTCCAGGCCCGCCTGCAGCGCCGTCAGGTCATCTCCGACGCTGTCGACGGACGCCCAGAACATCTGCCTCCGCCTGCCACCGCCCCCGCCAGCCCGCTCGGGGTCTGGAAGCCCCTTCTTCCCGACGTGGATCAGGCGGAAGGGCTTCTTCGGCTCGTCCTGGGGCTCCGCGGCGGGCACGGCGTCCGCGCCTTCCTCGACGAGGCCATCTCCCGCTCCTGCTCCCCATCGTTGGCCGTGTCGGCGGCGGAACCGGACGCGAACTGGGGGGCCGCGGCAGAGGAGGATGTAGAACCGCTGGACGTCGTCGAGCGAGTGGGCCTCCTCGCGCTCGACCTTGGGCCGGTAGAAGAAGTAGATGTGGCCGCGCTCGATGGTGCCTGCCGCACCGGTCGGCGAGGGTACGAGACGGCGGATCGGAGACGCACCTGCCTGATACGCGTTCTCGAGGGGGTGCTTCCCCTCCTGCGCGTCCTCCGCTTCGTCCATCTTGGACTTCTTCGCAGGGGGCCGCTCGACGTCGTCGTCCTTGGCCTCGGGCCCCTCTCGCTTCTCTCCCACCTCGACCTTCACTCTTTCCTCTCTGACTTGGGCTTCTCCTCCTTCTTTTTCGCCTTCTCGCTCGTCGTCGCCGCTCTGGCCGAGGCGGGCTTGCGAGAGCCGGTGGGCTTCTTCGAGACTTCGCTGGGGAGCTGGCTGACGCTGTTGCCTCTCACCCTGAACGTGCTGTCTTGAGATCGAGTGGCGACCATAGTGGTGGTGGTACCGATGAAAAGGAAAAACGAGACTTTCGCAGGTCGAACGGCGACTGTATGTATGCGCAACCGTTCAGGCGTCACAGGAGACCATGACGTCATCGACGACGCCGACCGTCTCTGCTCGCCTCGGAAGACGAGGATCGTGCGACCGCAGTCAAGCTCAGCCATTGAAATCGATCGTTTTTCAAGGTGGAAAGTACAAGTACAGTCGGGAAGCGAACTTCTGGTTACTATATACACACATGCATCCTCCTGCGACCCGCACCCTCATCGTCCACGTCCGCACGCGCCGGGCACCCGTCGTCGCCCGCTTCGCGACGCCCCACCAGCCCAGCAGGTCCGCACCGAACGACGGGCGGCGCGGGCGGCGGCGGGGATAACGCTGTGTCAGGCGGCATGCGTGGGGTACGAGCGAACAGGAGGCCACCGTCCAAAAGACCGAGTCAACGTCAGCGGAAACCCGTCCCCAGGGATCGAAAAGCATGCGAACCTGGCAGTACCACCCACGGGGCCCACGGGGGTCCGAGCCACCCCCGTTACATTGGCCGCCGCCGTTGGGGATCCAAGCGCCGGCGGCGCGGACGCGTGCTCGTCCAGGAGCCGCTCGAAGTCGAGCTTCGGGTCGTAGTAGAACGGCGCGAAGGCCATGTGGGTTGCAGGTGCGAGGGGATCGTCGGGGTGTGTGACCGCGGGAAGACAGCAGTTGGAAGGGCCGACGGTCTCGTGTCCAGCTGGTTCGTTTATATACGCACGCTCGCGTCGGAGGCGCCGTGAGGAGCCCAAACAAACGATGCTGCTGGATGCGCTGCCGCTGGGCGCGCGCGTCCCACCCGTTCTCCGAAGCGGCGACATTTGTGGTTCAGATGTGTCCGATCGGGTGGTGCTGCAGCCTGCAGCACCGACTGGTGCAGTGCTCGTCCTCAGCGCGTACGTACAAGACCAAACCGACGTAAGCGGACACCACAACAATCGCGTCAGGGAAACAGTCCAGAGCAAAAGAGAATACGATTGCGAACGAGGAGCGTCATAACGTAGAGTGATAAGTTGTGGGCGAGCGGAGCATATAGCTAGCGACAGATACAATTACAGACCGGAGACCGCGTCGTCATACACACAAACACACACAGACCCGCGCCGGCCGGGTCGATTAGCAGCTGGTGTCCACCGTCCAAGTACTGTCCTCTCTCCCCGCTCCCGACACAGAACGACAAGATCAGACCGCGATCATCTCCACGTCCCGCACCTCCCTCTCCAGCCCGCGCACCTCCTCCTTCACGCTCGGACTCCGCGGCGGCGGCGGCGTGCCGTGCTTGCGCCGGTACTCCGCGTTGATCGCGAGCAGCATGTCGCGGATGAGCCGCGCGTGCTCCTGCCGGTCCTCCACGGGCGCCCCCAGCGCGATGCGCCCCACGCCCCGCGCGAGCTCGTCCTCCCGCCCGCCGCGCGACAACGCCGTGATCGGCGGCAGCACCGGGTACATCGACGACCCCTTCCCCGCTGCCGCCGTAGTCGGTTCCGGCATCGACTCCTCCGACGCGGACCGCGACAGCGGCGCGGCGCGCGGGGGGATCTGCGGGGACACGGTCGCCTCGCGGCTCGAGCCCGAGCCGGACGACGACGCGCTGGGCGAGGGCGAGCGGTACTGCGCGCCGAGCGGCGGGAGCTTGAACTGCGCGTCGCCCGCGGTGATGTGCGGGTACAGCGGCGAGGACTTGTTCGGCGCGATCGCGGACGTCGACGAGGACGCGTACGACGACGCCGCGAACGCGGTGAGCTTCGCGGGCAGCCCGCGCTGCCGTGCGGGGCCGAGCGACGGCTCGACCGGGGCGGGGCGCTTGCTCAGCGACGGCGCTGGGACGACGCGGCGGCGGAGGAGGAGTCGGGCCCGGCAGACTTGAGCGGGACCATGGTGCGGTGCGTCTTCGAGTGGTAGTCGACGGGGCCGAGCTGGACGACGGGCGCGGCGCGGCCGGTGCGGAGGTAGTCGAACGTGGCCGCGCTCTCCGGCGCGACGGTGAGCGGGATGTGCGGCGGCGTCGCGTTCGGGGGCGTGGACATGCCCGAGTGCGACGACCCTGGGGACGCGACGAGGTTCCCCGCGATGTCGAGGTACGAGGAGTAGCCGTGGACGCCCCCCTGCGCCGGGTACGCGTGCTGCATGGGCATCGGCGGCGAGGGCGTGAGGTTGAGCCCGAGCATGTGCTCGTCGGACGCGGACGCGCGCATGTCGCGGCGGTATCCCCCGACCGGGGGACCGCCCATGTCGTGTCCCCTGGCGTACATGGCGTACTGCTGGACGTGGTGCCCGTGCGAGACGCGCGGCGCGGCGTACGACGCGTTCGGGTGCGACGAGAACTCGTTGAGGGGCATGTATCCGCTCTCGCCGTGGTAGCCTGCGCCTGAGCCGGGGCCACCCGCGTTCGGCACGCCCGGCATCCCGCCGAGACCGAGCTGCGCCAGGTTGGCGGGGTCGAAGAAGTTCGCGTCGTCGACCGCGGATGGCACCGATTGGGAGTGGTGATGACGCGAGCCTGGGTGGGCGTGGGCACCGCCGGCCGCGACGTCACGACCGAGAGTGATGAGAAATTCGTTCACCGCGGCGAGTTCTTCCGGGGTGCGAATGTCGAAGGAGACCGAGCGTGGGGGAAAGTTGCCCTGTGGGATCGGAACTGGAGCGGGGGCGCCGTTGGTGGTAGCGCTGAGCGACTGTTGGTAAGCGAGGTTGCTCAGGCGCGCGGCCATGTCTAAGTATGCAGCGCGCAGCAGTGAGTGAAGGTCTTGTCGTAAGCGGCCTCGGGACACTCACGGGGATCGTATGCGGGAGTCACACGTCGCTTCTTGACATCGGAGAAGAATTCGTCAACGGCGTAATCGTAGCTCCGCTTCGAGCCGCTGACGGGCATGTTGCGGGCCGGAACTTCGTCTGAGAGCACTTCCCATGTCGGCAGCGAAGGGTGGACGCGGTACAACTGACCCCGGCCGTGGGCGGCGACAGCCTCCGAAGCGTAATCGAGCTCCGGCGAGGGTGTGGGCAATACGCCGAAGTCGGCCCCTAAGAGGAAGGGTCCGAAGGGGTGAGCGCGGGCGGGCGAAGAGGACGGCATGGAGACTGACCAGATGAGCTGTCTGAGAGGGAGAGGGAGGAGGACTTGGCGCGCGCGACGGGCACGCCGTGGTGCATGGGCGGGGCGAGCCCGTGGACCTTGTCGCTCTCACCGCGGACGCGGGAGGAGTAGGAGGGGTCGGTGACAGTGATGGCCTTGGAGTGCTTGTGCTGCGCGTGGTGCTCCTCGGTGTGAATCTTTTCGTGTTTCTTGAGGTCCTGGGGCCGCTTGAACGGCTTTTTGCAGATCTCGCATACATGAGGCTTGAGGGGTGTGTGCACTTGGGTGCGTGTGAGCCGTGGTGTTGGACGGAATAGGACGGAGGTCCGCTCGGGGGAGGGAGAGGGAGAAGTGGAAAACGTACCTCGGAGGTGGCTGGTGATGTGGTCGCGCTTGGCGCAGGTTGTGCCGCAGTCCTTCCACTTGCAGGTCAGGCAGAGATTGCCGGTGCTCTTGCGGCCAATGTGGTCATTGCACAGGTGGTTGTAGAGCGTCTCGGGGTCCGGAAGGACCTTCTCGCACTCGACCCACTGGCAGCGCTGGCCGGGATCGTCGGAGAAAGAGGGGGCTGCGGAGGAGGACTTTGCGGAGTTGTCGGGGGACGAGGACTCGTCCGACGGGGCGGAGGGGGATCCAGAGGCGAGCGTGGGCGAGGGCGGGGTTTGTGTCATGGAGAGGTGGGCGGGAGGGGAGGGCGGGGGATGGTCGAGGGCGGCGAAGAAGTCGAAGGGGTAGAGGTCGTGGAGGGTCTGCTGGAGAGTGGAGAGCGGAACGAGATGGGGAAAGGAGTCTTGAGACATGGCGTCGAGGGATAGTCTCTTAAGCTCGCTCGCCGATGTCGATCTCTTGGCACCCTCCTCCTGCCAAGGCCCTCTCATCCGTCGCTTGGCACGGCTTGGCACGCTTAGTCAGCATCCCTCTTCTCTCCTCTCTCGGCCCCGGCGCCTCCGCCCCAGCCTCGGAGTCCGGAGCAGGCGCATGCCAAGGCAGAGGCGTCCAGCGAGCCCAAAGCCTAACCGCCAAGCGATTCTGCCAAGCGGTGTGGCCGCTGTTCTCCGTGGGTCCATCCTCGGCTCGAGCGCCCACATGTGTGTGTGCACGCCCTCCGTCGGACTCCGTCGGCTCCCGACCGCGCGCGATCGCACCCCCCACCTCCCTGCGTACAACCGCGAGTGCGACCGCGTGGACGTGCGGGCGCGCCGCGCGACCTCGCACGCAGAAGGCGCGGGGGCTCGTGCGCCCCCCCGCCGCCCCACCGGAACCGCGGGTGTGCACAGTTCGGTGCATACGTTCGACGGTCGACGGAGAAAATCGCGAGGAACCGGAGGGTCACGCGCGCCGCGCGGGCAGGGCGGTGGCGTCGACGCGTCCCCGACTGCATTGAACTGCGTCGGACGGGTGGGAAGAGCGGGCGAGGTGGGGACGGGAAGCGGAGGGTTGCGCGGGCGCGGTCGGAACGAGTGGCCAGAAGAGGAACGTGCGCTCGACGGCGGCGCGGGCGGGCTCGGGTCCCTGGCGCACTCACGGAGCCGGCAGGAGGAGGATGTGGACGTCGGTGGATGGGAAGGTGTCATGATGAGGAAGGGGTCGGGACAAGCATTGCGCTTGCCGTCCGCGGCCTGCGTGCGTGCGAGCGCACGGAATGCTCGCCATCGTGCGCATCACTCAGCCAGCTCTTCATTCAGTCCCGCGGCACGACCCGGCACGACGCCCTGGCCACGGTCCTCCCCGCTCCCCGGTGGGATCGAGAAGCGTGCGGGCGACGAGGGCGCACCGCGTATGTCGAGCGCCGGGGCGGATGACGGCACACGCGCTCGGATGCGCGCGCGCGACACGATCGATGTCCCGCCCGGGCGAGCTCTGTCGACTGGACCCGCGAGCGCGCCGCGCCCGCCAAGTGTGTCGAAAGGGCTGCGGAAGCCGAGCGGACGCATGTGCCCGATCGCGATCTCCCGAGGGGGCTTGGCACCGGGGACCTACTCGCCAGCCCCGCGCGCCGCGTCGGGCGGGACGAGGACCGGGAGCACCGCTCGACGCCCTCCCCTCGATCGTCCTCCGCCCTGCCTTGGCGCGCTACAAATTCCAGCCCGCCACCCCCTCCTCCTCCGCGAGCGCGATCACCGCCGCGCCTGCGCCCTCCCCCCGCACGCTCGGCGCGCCGCCCTATCATCGTCATCCGCCTTGGGCCCAAGCTCTAAACTGGGCCGCTGACGGTCCAGCCGCCGCCTCGCCAGCCCAGCACGCCCAGTGCGGGCGCGCTTCCATTCCCAGCGTCACCCACGCTCTGGCATCGCCTGCGGAGTGGTTATGTTCTCCCGCACCCTCCTCCGCGCCAGACACCCCCGCCCCGCCGCACCTGCGCCGTGGCTCGCTGGGAGAATTAAAGCGGGCCGGCGACCTCAGCGCCCGCCTGTAACATATCCGTTACACGTGCCCAGCGCGCCGCACCTCACGCCCACGGCCAAAAATACGCGCCGCACCGCTGCATTGAGTCCAAGTGCGTACCACCGTCGCTCGACGCGAGCGGTGGAGTCGGAGGCCCGGCGGAAGGCTCGCGCTAGGGCGCACTGGGACGTGCACCAAGCCCAGCACGGGGACCGCGCCAAGGCTGCCTTGCGAGCCTGGGTCGCTGTCGAATTTGTAGGACAAGCGTGCAGCAGACATCGTGCGCACCGGGGGTCTGGCACCCATGCACATTCGCTGGCTTGGGTCACCGCGGTCGCCGCACCGACATCTGGCGGACTGGGCGGGTGGAGCTAGAGTGCTGGACGTCGGACGCAGACCGTGCGCGTGAGGCCTCGAGGAACGGATGAGTGCCGCGAGCGCTGGGATTCTATCTTCTGGTCTCGCGAGCACACGCGCCCCGGAGCGGAAGAACGCGAGAAAGGACTAGGATTACAGGATTAGTACAGCACACGTCGTAACGTACAAAGGCCCTTCTCGAGTCCACAATGAAATCGAACGCGGCGGCAGACGCGGGTTGCGAGTCCGATTGGCGCGGACCGGGTGCTCTCGGGTTTGGCGCCGGATTCAACGAAGTCACAGCATGCACCTCGGCTTCAAGCTTCAAGCGTTCACCCCAGAGACCTTCGTCAAAGTCGGCTTAGCCGGCACCGCGTCTGAGCGCAATCGCACATCCTGGCGGCGAGCTTGCAATCTGCTCGGGCCGAGCGACGGCTCACTTCTTCCCGATCATGAGCTTCAGCTTGGGCATCCCCGCGGGCGTGCCCGGCGCCGAGTCTCCCTCGTCGTCCTCGTCGTCCTCGTCCTGCTCCATCGCCATCACTGGGGGGCTCGTCGCGAGCGGGGAGGGCCCGTGCGCGCCCGCGAACGACGGCGCCCGCAGCGAGTTCCCGAGCGAATCCCCGAGCGAGAAGCTTGCGGATGGGAGCGTAGGCGTGCCCGAGGCCGCGGGCGCGGTGCCCGCAGGCGGGCTCGACGCCCCGCCCGGCACGGCCGCAGCGGGCAGCGGGGGGTTGCCGGAGTTGAACTCGGCCCAGCGGGGGCATTTGCGGTTCGTTTCTGCCGGTCGGGGCGGATGCGGGTGCGGAGAGTGGGACGCGCAGAGAGAAAGGAGTATGGGTATGTCAGCGGAGGTTCAAGGGAGAAGTGAAGCCGGGGAAGCAGGTACGTACTCATGTGTCCCATTTGCCCACAGTGCCCGCAGCGCCGCTGGGGTAGCCGGTGGGTGTCAGTACGCCGATGCATTGGAGGGAAGGCGCGGGCGGGGAAGACGCACCGTGGTGTCGGGTTTGATTGGACGGTTGAGCTGCAGCGGCGTCCCGCCCTCCTTGACTATCTTTGCGTTCTTTCGGTGGAGCCGCCGCTCCTGGTTCTTCTTCCGCCGGGCAAGCTCCTCCTCGATCCTGGCGGTGTGAGAAAAGATAGTCAGCCCTCCGCGCCTACCACGACGACGCGCCGACGACCGACGATAGACGCACCTCTTGATCGCACGCCTGTCCCGGTCTGCGTCCCCGGTCGGGGCGAGCAGGTCTGTGATCGTGTTTTCCTCCTCGATCGCCTGCCGCTTCTTCACGTACGCGTTGATCACCGCCGCGTCGCGTACGATCTCGTGCCGCACCTCGCCGTTCACGACGCGCTTGATGCGGAGGACGTGCTTCCCTTCCGCCGCCGGACCGAGGCTGCCCTCACGCAGTGCGAGAGACGACCCGCGGCTGAACACGGGCGACGAGGGCGTGGCCTCGGCCCTCCGCACCGCCTCCTCGTCCTCCTTCGTCAGCTCGGGCTCGTCCTTGCGGCTGAGCGAGGCGAACTGCGCCTTCCAGATGCGCTCCACCTCGGACTTGTAGATCAGCTGCTGCTCGGCAACGTTGTAGCGGTGAGCCGACTTGGGGCGGTTCTCGGCCTCGGCTACATCACAAGCGAGCTCAGCAGAAAGCGGAGACTTCGACAACATGAGACATACCAAGCTTCTGCTCGTAGTCCTCCCCCGCCTTGACGAAGATGTCCTTCATAGAGACACGGATGAAGCTGAACGCCTCGCCGCGGCCCGTAGGGTCGCCTTCACCGTGGAGCTTGAGCATCGCCTTGGCCTGTGTGGCGAACAGGAAGTTCTTCGTCGTGATCCAAGGCGCCAGCTGCTGCTCGATGGAGAGGTTGCCCTCGTCTTCCTCCGCCACCTCCCCGTTGTAACTGTAACCGGAGTCCTGGAGATGCCGCTGGCCGACCTGCATGCTCTCCGACAAGACGACCTGTTCGGGGGTGACCATCTTCAGCATGTCGGTGTCCGAGGGGATCGTCCAGTTGCCCTTGAGCCGCCAGAAACCTTGGTGCGGCCCTCGCCGGTGGTACTCCATGAACTCCTTCAGACGCTGACGCATCTGCAGCTCGTTCTGGTCCGGGAAATACTTCATGAGCCGCGAGATCTTCAGGCGCTTCTCCGTGCTCTTCTCCAGTAGCTTGAACGCTATGATCTGAAGACGGAGCTTGATGGTGTTGGTGATCTTCCGAGAATGTGGACCCGGGACTTCCGTCACAGGGTACGTCTGCCCGACGACGAACAGGTGAGGGATCTCGCGGATATAGTACTTGGCCTCGCCTTTGACCGTCGTGCTGACAAAGGAATCAGCACGAGACGCGCGCGCACAATACACAACAGCCGCCCTACCGAATGAGGAGGAAATCCGTTGGGTAGGGTTTTTGTCGGAACAGAGGAGCTCGGAGCAGGTTATTGTACAGAGCCTGTACAGTTTGTCCGGGATACACGTAGCCGAATTTCATGAACGGAGATTCATCTTGCGGCTCAATCACGATCGGCTCGCCAAGTTCGCTCTGTGGGCAGGGTCAACACCAAGACTGTCACCGTGACGCGGGTCACGCACCTTCGGTATGTGGTCGTCCTTCTCGCTCTTCTTGCGATAGTAGTTCACAAGAATACTACCCATACCGAAGTTGGAGATGATAGGCGGGTGCTCCTCGGAGAATTCCCAGATGACGAAATTGCTCGTATCGCGCAGGCTGAGATCGCCTGTTCGATGCAGACCTTCGCCAATATCGCCGCCCTTTCCAACCTTGCGTCCGGCCTTGTCTTCTTCTTCTTCGCCGTCCGCACCTTGCTGAAGTGTATCTCGATGTTGGAGGGAAACTGTAGGGCGGGCGGTGGAAGGAGCGCGCCTCCTGTTTCGACAGGCGTGTCTTGTACTGGAGAGCAATCAGCAGGCGCACCATGCAGCAACCAAGTGACGTACGAAGGGCAACTGCAGTTTTTGCGCAGGATACGCATGTTCCACAACGAGCTGACCGAACGTTTGCCGTACACGATGCGCCCGCCGTCTTTGGAGACCTCGTAAAATTGGTCGTTCGAGATATTGAATTGTCTTCGGTTGGTTGTCTGCCCGCAGTCGTTTCCGCGGGCGAACGACTTCTTGGGTCGATGGGCGGTCTTCCTGCACCGTGTCTTCCTCGTGCAGCTCGAGCTGAGTGAAGTCCCGGAAGGGCTCGCGAGGACCCCAAATAATGCTTTGGGTCCAGACCCCAGACCCAAGCGTCTTGTTCAGTGGCCTCGCGAGATCGGTGTCAGGTAAGCCTAGCGAGCCGTCAACGTCCTCATCCGGTTCCCAAATGACCCTATCCTCCCAGTTGGTGATGTTGACAAGATCAAACGAGCGGTCGTCAAAGGGAATTGCGGAAGAGCCGTCCGACGTCCGTGCCTTCATGACGGTGAGCCAAACTCAGCGAACATGAATAGCGAAAGCACACACCTGAAGTGCTCGGCGGAGGTCATGCTCGACATCACCAGCCGCGACTACTTGTTCTACTCGTTTGCTTTCCACTTGACGTTCAGTATCTCCGACGATAGCCTGAAGGAAGTTCTTCGGCACTTCCTTCTTCTTCGGATACACCGATTCAACTGTGGGCAACGATCACACGTGAGGACGGCTTCAAGAACAAGTAATAATTATAAATGGTGGAAGACATATTTTGGCCAGTATATGGGTGCTTTTGGTACGTCACCACAAAGGGGTGATTGCGCGAAGTTGGATACCAGCGTAATTGGGCAATTGGGACACAAGAGTGACCAACCACAGTTGTAGCGAAGTGTGCAGAGTAGCAGTGGAAAATATGGTTCTCAGGTTGCAAGGATACGGGGAAGACGCAAAGGCATACAAGCGGGCGAATCTCGAGCGCAAAGCACTCACCAGTGAAAGGCCGCTTGGAAAGAAGTGATTTGTGGACCGTGACTCCCTTGAAAAGCTCGGTGAACTCCAAAACCTTGTCTTTCTCGAATGTCGGAAACCTTTCATACACGGTCTTTGGACGCTCCACCATCCGCCGAACAATACGTTTGCGCTTCTGTCTGACGCCAATGGAGGGCGACAGGACCTCCGCTTTGACCATACTGACGTCTTCTTCCTCCTCTTCTTCGGCAAGCTCCCTGTCCACTTCGTCCTCATAGTCCTTTCCCTCTCCAGGGCCAACCACTGAATCGCCGTCATCGTCCCAGCGGTCATTGTAGATCTGCTTTTCGCTCAATGTTGGAACCCCAGAGATGCCAAGCTGGTTTGAGAGCCCCGGTCCAGTTGGTAGGTCAAGTCCGGAAAGTACATTGTTGAGCGAGAAGCCCGTAAGCGTCGCAATGACACTGTCTTCTTCCTGTTACGACCCTGAGTATAACGCGCGCAATAGGAATTACAGGGGACGTACTTGGGACATCACAACAGATGAGAAACTGTATGCGTGCCAGGGCGTAAAGGGGGGCCCGCAGGTAAGAGCAGAGGCGTCGTTGAGGCGGCCCTAGTCAGAGATGGAAACAGCAGGAACGGCAAGAGCAGGAGGACGGTGGCTGAGAGCGTTCGCCACAGGTCGCCGTTTAAGTCGGGTCGGAGCGCCCGTGAACGGCCACGTGGAACCGCACATCGAGATCTCAGTGCGGACGCTTATGCAAAGCGCGTCGTGCGAGACCCCGCCCAGTTCAAGCCCTACCCTGCCTCTCTCCTCCACACCACCACTCCCATCTCTGCACTGTTGCCCTTCTTGAACTCGTCTATCCTTCCTCTTGTCCTCCTTCCACTTCAGAAAATGTCTGCCAAGATCACTTTGGACAAGGACACTAAGCAGAAGCTCGATGTGCGTCTCCTCGTTCTCCTCGCCCGGCGTGTCGCTTAACGCGTTCGCGAACAGGACTACAGAACATCTGCAACACTGACTGGGGAGCAGATTGTCTTCAAGACGTTCCCGAAGAAGGTATGTATCTCGTTCGCTGAGCATGAGGGTGGTTACCCAACCCTTCCCTTCCCAGATCCTGTAAGTTCGACCCCTTGAAAGTTGTCTGGTATCATATCCAGACATAGTGTAACCGATGTCTGTTTTTAGTGAGCTTCAAGACTTCGTGGACTCCACGTCCAACCCCCAGTCACCTTTCCATCTGTCGAATGCCTCCCATTCTACAGACGCTACTGTCTACCCCACACCCTCGACCACTGAACCAGACTCCAAGAAGAGGAAGCTTGACTCCGGAGCAGTGAAAAACGGCGTGGCTGCATGCTCAAGCAATGACATTCAACACGCCAAACATCCCGGGATGATGCTTTCCAACAAGCATATGATTGCAGTCCACGAGACCCTCAAGCGCGAGTGCGAGATTCTGGTCGACCTTTGCGTGAGTACAATCATCACGTTTTCTCCTTCCGTTTCCTAACCATATGACACAGGACAAAGTCAAGTTGTGGATCAATCTCTCTATGCCAAAGTGAGTCACATCCTCAGTGACTCTGTGTCCACACCGATCTCATATGGCCACATTCAGGATTGAGGAGTAAGCACATCCCCACTTCTGAGAGAGAGAGCTCGTGTTGACGGATTGGGGCCTGAAGCGGTGATAATTTCGGTGCGTTCATTGCTCCTGCCTTATGTGTACCGTAGCTGATCCTAAGGTATCCAGGTGTTCAAATTCAGGAAGGTTCGTCAATGCAGCTACGCACGGGCCGCTCCCACACATTAACAACCTCGTAGATTGTTTGTCCGAGCTTCACCGCTCCCAGGAAACGGCACTCAACCTCCGCGATGCTGCCCGTCAAGACTACCTCACCCGCGCCAAGATCTGCACCAAGGTCATGAAGTACCCGTTCGTCGAGGATTATGCGGTACGCCTTGTCATCCCGGAAATATTGTGCCATAGGTTCACCTGTTGGTCCTAGTTGTCTTTGAAGGAGCATGATGAAAGGCAGTTGTTCATGGCCCGACAGCAGCTTCATGACCTGAGGAGCGTCTACGCGGTATTGACTGACATCTTGCACAAGAACATCGACAAGGTGCGTTCCTTGAGTTGACGAGACGTCCGCACCGCTCATGGTATCGTTCCCTAGATCCGTTCGCCCAAAGGCAACAACTCTGGTACTATGTACTGAGCGTTATCCTCGCTCTAGATGAGCTTGCTTTGTTGAAGTTCTTCGTTCAACCCAATGAGTACATTATAGAGTATATATAACGACACCACACAACGCACATGTATCATAACCGACTCGCAGACTACTCTACACGCATGACTATTTTCGATACAAGGGCATTCGCGATACACACTTCATACAAATTGGAAGTACGTACATCACTGCTCCTACAACATCATCGAATGTCGATCATACAGAGATCGTTTTGAAGACATTGAAGCCGTCATATGCCGTGCTGATGACCATGCCTGGAATCTGTGGATGCCAGTGAACTTCCTTGACGTCCTTCTGTCCTTGGTGCACGAAGAGTAATTGCGGCGGCACGTCGCGTCCACCCTCTGTCGCGTCCATGGCTCCAGTCTCGTCGTCGTCCTGCTCCACCGCAAGATCCCAAAGCGTGACCTGGTCATCGGCACCCGAAGCAGCGAAGATGGAGTCTTCGGTGGGGTGCCACTCGATAGACGTGATGGGCGCGGTGTGCCAGTTGAACGCGGCTACGGGCGTAGGGTCGGGGGCATCCGATCTGCGTGAGCATTCGTGAGCCATCGCTCCGCGGGACGCCAAAGCGAGTCACGCACCCGCTCTTCTTGACGTTCCGCAGGTCCCACGTCTTGATCCCGCCCTCGTCGCCGCCGCTGAGCAGCAGGTACGTCGACGCGCGGTTCCAGCTGACGACGTTCACGTCGCTCGCGTGCGCGCGCTCGATGCCCGCGACGCTCCTGCGGCCCTTGGTGCGCACGTCCCACACGCGCACGCTCTGGTCCGCCGAGCACGACGCGAACACGGTCGGCTCCGACGGCGACCACTGCAGGTCCTCGACCGAGCTCGTGTGGCCCGCGAACGGCTGCGCGAGCGCGTTGAACCCGGCGGGGCCCGCGGTCGTCAGGAAGATCTTCGAGTGGACGTCGCCGGAGAGCAGGCGGAGCCCGCTCGGGCTCGCGCCGCCGGACGAGGCCCAGTCGAGCGCGAAGCCCTCGGCGCGGCCGTGCGAGGGGACGGTGAACGCGGGGGTGTGCGCGCGGGACTTGTCGAGGGTGTAGCCGGGGACGTCGAGGGCTTCGATGAGCGGGCGGACGTCCCAGATGTGCACCTTGCCGGTCTCGGACCAGCTCGCGACGTAGTATGGCTGCGAGACGGGAGGGAGGGGGGAGGATGCGGGGAGGGGCTGGGCGCGGACTCGGTTCACGCCGCCGAGGTGAGGGATGGAGCGGTGCTCGAGCAGGGGATCTTCGTCCAGCGCGTCCTCGTCCTCGTCCTCTTCGTCGTCCGAATCTGGAGAAGCTCAGTCTCCCATGAGAGGAGTTCGGATAGGACACGTGCTCACCGTTCTCTCGCTGGGTCTTCTGCAACGATGACATCTTATACACGAAAATCTCGTTGTTCTTCGCGACGTCGGCCTGGGTGCCCGCGACAATGTATGCAGTTGCGGGATAGCGTTGTCTCTGGTCTCCGAGGTTGTCACGCAGAATGTCGAAGGAAAGGCACGGCCAGTTGACGGACATGTTGTGGCGCATGATGTATACGGATTCGTCGGGCTCCAGAATCTCGTCCTTGCCCAGATGATGGACTCCGGGTATGAAGGCGTCCGGAGCTGGTGGCTGCTCTTCGGATTCTTCAATCGGCGGCATGACCTCGTCGTCCACATCCATTCCTTCTTGGGGTATAAGACAGGACACGCGAAGAAGAGGCGGAGAATACACACACCGTCCTCGGCCTTCCCTTCCCCGCCGTCTACGACCTCCTCGTCGCTCTCATACTCATCCTCCCAGCCATCCTCAAACTCCCCCATCTCATCTTCCATGGAGACATCCTTCTGCTTTGAGACCGAGCGTGGTGTTTTCCGGGACCCTTCATGGCTTCCAGGAGGAGCTTGTATTTCCGTGGCCGATCGTTTGGACATGTGGGCTGAGAGTAGAGTAGTGGGGCAAATCAAGAGGATCAACTTTTGCGGGACAGTCGGACTCACTGGGAATGAGCGCCTGATTGTATTTTTCGGGATCGGAGGCACACGCCAGATTAGATTCGCACGGATATCTTATCGCACCCCAGAAGCATCAATAGATAAAGCACCCAAACCGCCGACTATACAACTTGAACTAGGAATGGTTATGTCGCAATCTCGCTGGGTTTATAAAGTATAGCACTTGAATCAAAACAGGTTGGAGTATGTGGCCACACCAACTTCCAGCACAAGGACAGCGTTAGACCGCGTTGGATCAAGGTCGGCTGGCAGCAGTTCGGAGTGGATTTCAGAACGTATAAAGGAGGAGAACTCGGGCCCTAAGAACATAGGTAAGATCTACAAAAGTGAATAGCGTCGTAAACCTGATGGGCGCGGTTAGTGCTCTCCTTCGGAGATGGTGAAGATCTACGCGGCACTGATCTTGATTGTAGGAGGATTTCTCAAGCACAGAATGTTGAAGCTGTGCCGCCAGTCTATTAATTATACTTCCACTAAGGAATGCGAATCGTGATTCTATTGAGCCTGAGAGCGAGAGACGACAATGAACGAGTGAACGTCGTCTCCACGGCAGCATTCACCAGGAGGGTTCCGGGCCGCAGGTAGACGTGCATCTGAGCGCAGATAGTCAGGTGAACAGCGACAAATCAATTGTGCGCCAAAGTACAACATTCGATGACGTGACATCAGAGAGCCGGACCCTGCAGCTCTTCCAGGTGGGCTCTGTACAGCTTCCATAGCTTAGAGATCTTCCGTCCAGTAAGGTCCTTAAATATATGCTCGTCGTACTCCTTGTCCTTTAGGCCCTCGTTGAGTTCGCGGATAGTGCCATCTCCGTACCGGCTTTCTATCCACTCGAGGAAGTACGCGGTCTTCTGATAGCCTGCGTCCCACTCCCCGTCGGCCTCTTTCTTCCAGTGTGGGGGCCCAAGCCGGCGTTCAAGCGGACCCAGTCTGCACGCCGGCCCGAGGAAGGACATTAGCATTGCGAGCGGGGCAAGAGCGGGCTACAAAAATAGCACATACCGGCGACGCCTTCAATAAGCCCGCCGGGAGCTTTGTCGAGGCCGTTGTACTGGTAACAGTGAACCATCTCGTGCACGAGCACGCCAAGGATCTCGTCCTTGGCGCGGGCCTCGGAGTTGCGGATGTGGTTCAGAGAGAAATGGATCTCCTTGTGCGTGCGAGAACCAAAGGTGTGCGCAACGCCGTCCATGGGCCGGAGGACGAGCAGAACTTGCTCTACACTGTGCGGCGGGAAGAACGGCGCGGGCATCCGTGCGGGACATCATCGGGCGGGCAGCGTGATCGGACGAGGGGGGGGGTATGACGGCACGCGGAGGCAAGAAGTCAAGAGGAACTCCGCTTGCGGGCGCAGAGAGGAGCACGCACTGTGTGGGGACAGAGTTCGGGGTATAGAGCCACCTGAAGACGGTGGCAACGGCGTACCGCAAGGCCTCGTCGACGCGGATGTGGTCGAGGAAGAGCTTCGCACCGGGGTGAGCGAGGTCCTCAATGCGGACGTTGAAGGACGGGTAGGGCCAGTGAGGCTCGGGGTCGTGCGGCGGGGGAGGAGGCATCCCGCGCGGACGATGGTAGAGAAGGAGAGATGGCAGGTCACGGGCTACGCGACGGCTCCGGACGTGCCTGCCTTTCTGGGGATGGCGGCAATCGCGTCTGACGTCGGATTACCTCACCCCTCCGTCTTGCCTTCGCCCTCCATCTTCTCCCTCCTGCAGAGCGCATCCATTCGCCCCTTGCATTCAGCACCGATGACCTCTGACCCTCCAGCTGACTCTCGCTGGCACTCCGTCCACGGCTCGCGCGCACCGGCTGCTCGCTGCCTGGCTTCTGTCCCCGACGATTCTCCTCCACCAGAGCTCTCGCATAAAACGAAGCCAAGATGCGCCCTCAGCTCCAGGAGATCCTGTTCGACTTCCTGCCCAACCTCATGGCGCGCGGTCTTCGTCGTCTCGCGATCTTCCTGTCTGCTCTCGCCGCCAGCTTCTCTGCCCTTGCGGCGCCGCCGTACGCGTTCCCGGATTGCACCACCGCACCACTCGTAAACAACACCGTTTGCGATGTCACAAAAGACCCCGTCACTCGCGCGGCTGCTCTGATCGACCTCTGGACCAGCGTTGAGCTCACGAACAACACCGTCAACTCTTCACCTGGCATCCCTCGTCTCGGCTTGCCCCCATACAACTGGTGGTCCGAGGCACTGGTGAGCGAGTGTTTCTTCGGACGCATAGACTCTCGGTCTTACTTCTTGGCTCATAGCATGGTGTTGCGGGTAGTCCCGGAGTCAACTTCAGCCGCTCCGGGGACTTCAGTCACGCCACCTCCTTCCCTCAACCCATCCTCATGGGTGCTGCATTCGACGATCCTCTCATCCAGGCAGTCGCAAGCATCGTCAGCACTGAAGCTCGCGCTTTCAACAACGTCGGGCGTGCCGGTCTTGACTTCTGGACGCCTAATATCAACCGTGAGTAGCGTCATAGACCTCACTGTATGCCTCCAGAGACGAACCATTTCATTCAGCGTTCAAGGACCCCGTTGGGGTCGTGGCCAGGAGACCCCGGGAGAAGATCCTTTCCACCTGGCCCAGTACGTTTACAACCTCATCGTCGGCCTTCAAGGCGGCCTCGACCCCACACCCTACTTCAAGATCGTCGCGACTGCAAGCACTTTGCCGCCTACGATCTCGACAACTGGGAGGGAATCCAGCGCTATGGGTTCAACGCCATCGTAACACAGCAGGACCTCTCCGAGTACTACCTCCCCCCTTCCAGTCGTGCGTGCGCGATGCCAAGGTCGCCAGTGTCATGTGCTCGTATAACGCCGTCAACGGCGTTCCCTCTTGCGCGAACAAGTTTTTGCTTCAGGACGTTCTCCGCGACACATGGGGATTCAACGATGAGCGTTGGGTCACCAGCGATTGTGATGCTGTGCAGAACATCTATGACTCGCACAACTTCACCGCAAACCCTGCGCAAGCTGCTGCTGACGCGCTCTCGCTGGCACTGACATCGACTGCGGCACCTTCTCGTCGACGCACCTTCCCGACGCCCTTGCACAAGGATTGATCACAGTGGACGATCTCAAGCAGGCTGCCACGCGCCAATACGCCTCCCTTGTCCGGTGAGCTCACATGTGCACTGCAGCATATGACCGGGACTGACACTTTTGACAGCCTCGGCTACTTCGACCCGCCCGAATCCCAGCCCTACCGCCAACTCGCCTGGGCTGACGTCAACACACCGACCGCGCAGCAGCTCGCACACACCGCTGCGTCGAGGGGATGGTCCTCCTCAAGAACGACGGCACGCTCCCGCTGTCCCAGCGCGTCCAGAAGCTCGCGCTCATCGGCCCTGGTCGAACGCCACGACGCTCATGCAAGGAAACTACTTTGGTACCGCGCCGTTCCTCGTCAGCCCTCTTCTCGGCGCACAACAGGCCGGATTCGACGTCGAGTTTGTGTTGGGCGCGACCGTGAAGGGTACCGACACGAGCGGTTTCGCGGCTGCGGTCGCTGCGGCGCAGAGCGCGGATGCGGTCATCTTCCTCGGCGGCCTGGACGAATCCCTCGAGGAAGAGGCCTTGGACCGGCTGAACGTGACCTGGCCGGGCGTGCAGCTCGACCTCGTCGCGGAGCTCGAGAAGGTCGGGAAGCCACTGATCGTCGCCCAGTTCGGCGGTGGGCAGCTGGACGACACCGCGTTGAAGAACAGTCGCGCAGTAAGTCGCCTCCTTTGCACCCCACTTCAAACAGATGTCTGACAGTTCAACAGGTTAACGCGATCATCTGGGGTGGTTACCCAGGCCAGTCAGGAGGCACCGCTCTCTTTGACATCCTCACCGGCAAAACCGCACCCGCGGGCCGTCTCCCGATCACACAGTACCCTGCCGAGTACGCGACGCAGCTGCCGATGACGGACATGTCCCTCCGCCCGCACGACGCCTCCCCCGGCCGGACGTACAAGTGGTACACGGGAACGCCTGTGTTCGAGTTCGGATTCGGCCTGCACTACACTACCTTCCACTTCGCGTGGGGCTCCGCGCTCAAGCCGACGTACTCGATCAGCAAGGTGATGGCGCAGGCCAAGGCGTCCTCGGCGGCGTTCACGGACCTGGCGACGTTCGACACGTTCCCGGTGCGGGTGACGAACACGGGGAAGACGACGAGCGACTACGTGGCGCTGCTGTTCGCGAGCGGGAGCTTTGGGCCTTCGCCGCGCCCTAACAAGTCGCTGGTGGCGTACTCGCGGGTGCACGGGCTGGCGCCGGGGAAGAGCGCGACGGTGTCGCTGGACGTGACGCTCGGGACGCTGGCGCGGGCGGACGAGGATGGGGTGAAGTGGCTGTACCCGGGGACGTACACGCTGAAGCTGGACACGACGGGAGCGATGAGCCACACGTTCGTGCTGACGGGCGAGAAGGCGATGGTTGCGGACTGGCCGAAGGAGAGCTCGTGAGGGGAGATGGGGGCATCACGGAATGAATATGGCTGCATAGGGTCGATGCATGTGTGTACGATGCTGTGAGTAGCAACCAGCCTTTTCACAACAGATAGGACGTGTGAGCTGGCAGGCTTCAGACGTCGCTCGATCATTGCAGCCTCAAGTCGCCTCCAAGCCTCTTTGGCCTCCCGCGGCCTTGGCCTCCCCTTCGCGGCACCCGGTCCAGATCGCTCCGCGCCCCCGCCCACACGCCTCTGTCCAACGCCTCCCGAATGTCCCAGATGGCCTCCATCCGGGTCAAAGGGCGCTTGTCCCACGCGGCGCTGTCGGCCAACCACACTTCCGCCTCCACCCGGCCTGCTTCGAGCTCGCACAGGACCCTATCTTCGACCGCCCGACACTCCTCCGCCTCCTTCTCCGTCAACACCTCCAAAAACGTCGCGGGAGTCTTGCCACGGAGCACACAACGCCCCAGGAGCCCCCGCTTAGAGCAGCCTGAATCCTCCGAACGGGCGTCCTGGCCCGCACTGCCGTCCGGCGCCGCGTCCGAGTCCACGAGCCGCTCCCACAAGCCGCGGGCGAACCACGCGTGCGCGTACGCGTCTCCGATGCAGTCAGGGTGAATGCGGCGCAGCGCGCACGCCGCGACGAGCGCGCGCGCGAGCGGGACTGCCAGGCCGCGGCTGGAGCGCTGGAGCGTCGGGCGGCGCGAGGCCCACGGGCAGAAGTCGGGCTCGTACACGCCGAGGGTGTCGTCCGCGGGGTGCCACTCGCGTCGGGTGGCCGGGATCTCGATGGGCTCGTATACGCTGATGGGGTCCCAGCTCCGCCAGCAGCGCTCGAACTTGAGGAAGCCGATGGTGCGCGTGGTGGGCGGCTTACCGGAGGTGGCGGCAGGGGTAGGGCGACGTGGGCGACGATGTACTCGCGGGGCAAGTTGCGCTTGGTGTCCACGAAGTGATCGAGCCGGGTGACGACGCACGAACACAGAGCGTGGGATGAATGGACGTGGTACTCCGTAATCAGGGTTTTGATGAACATGGTCATCACTTCGTCGAGTCGCCATTGGATGGCCCATGGCACGTTTGCAGCTGGGCCAAATTGATGGAGGAGGACGGTAAGCAAAGTGGGACAGGCTCAGGAGGGGGGCCGAAGACCACCCTCTCGAGTACTTTGAGAAAAAACTCGGAAAACATCGACGGGGAGGGGGTCTGGAGCGGGTGACGGGGTCTCTTGGTAGTGGTTAGAATGAACTCCCACAAGTTTATACGCGTTCGGGATGACGTTTGTGGCACGAGCCGGCTTACATAACGACCCCTCACGACATTGCTCACTGCGGCAGTACGGGGAGTAGTAATTAAGTGAATGCCTGTCCCGCCGACGGTAACCCGGCAGCAGGCGGCGCGACGAATCATCGTGGTAATCTCACTCCAAGCTGTTGGAAGACTCACCTGCCCTCTTCCTTGTCCGAGATGACTCCTGACACGACGGGACGATCAGCCACTCGTAAGGTGATGGTTGCGGACTGGCCGAAGGACAGCTCGTGAGAAGAGCCGAGAAAGAGGTGGGGCACTAGGGAATGAGTTTGACTGCATAGGGTCGATGCATGTGTGTATGATGCAATGAGTGCGAGTTCAGCAACCAGCCTTTTCACGACACTTCTGGGACACGTGAGCACAACCAGCCTCCAACCAGACTTCCGCCCTCGCGATCATGGCGGCGGGCGGGCCGCCGCCGCCTGTCCGACACAATGTAGTGCGTGTGGAGGTCCGAGAGGCGGTCTGCCGCCATTGTTTTATAAGTTTGCCGTTGGATAGGGTGGTGCACGTTGCCAGAGAGGGGCGGCGGTAAGGCGGCGGTGACGGATGTGGCTGCTGTGCACTTTTCCTTCCCCCGCCTGCCACTTGCCACCGTCAGGTTTTCTGTTTCAGAATACGCCCGCACGCTTCTAGGATAGAAGCACAACGTTGGATTGGTGGTTTTGTATTGACGAGAAAGCATTTCAGGAACTCTGCATCGGGGGCTACTGTGAAATGGCGGAACACATGGTTCGAGACGACCGCGCGCGATAGGCATGCCTTCGTCAGGACCTCCTCGATTCCATCATCCTCTTCGAAACGCCAGACTTCACGTCGGTCTACTACGCACTGACAGCATCGTACACACATGCATCCACCCTATGCAGCCACATTCATTCCCTAATTCCCCCATCTCCCTCACGAGCTCTCCTTCGGCCAGTCCGCAACCATCGCCTTCTCGCCCGTCAGCTCGAACGTGTGGCTCATCGCTCCCGTCGTGTCCAGCTTCAGCGTGTACGTCCCCGGGTACAGCCACTTCACCCCATCCTCGTCCGCCCGCGCCAGCGTCCCGAGCGTCACGTCCAGCGCCACCGTCGCGCTCTTCCCCGGCGCCAGCCCGTGCACCCGCGAGTACGCCACCAGCGACTTGTTAGGGCGCGGCGAAGGCCCAAAGCTCCCGCTCGCGAACAGCAGCGCCACGTAGTCGCTCGTCGTCTTCCCCGTGTTCGTCACCCGCACCGGGAACGTGTCGAACGTCGCGAGGTCCGTGAACGCCGCCGAGGATGCCTTGGCCTGCGCCATCACCTTGCTGATCGAGTACGTCGGCTTGAGCGCGGAGCCCCACGCGAAGTGGAAGGTGGTGTAGTGCAGGCCGAATCCGAACTCGAACACGGGGTGCCCGTGTACCACTTGTACGTCCGGCCGGGGGAGGCGTCGTGCGGGCGCAGGGACATGTCGGTCATCGGCAGCTGCGTCGTGTATTGGCAGGGTACTGGGTGATCGGGAGGCGGCCCGCGGGCGCGATCTTGCCGGTGAGGATGTCGAAGAGGGCGGTGCCTCCTGACTGGCCTGGGTAACCACCCCAGATGATTGCATTAACCTGTCGACCTGTCAGACATATATTTGCGGCGTGGTAAGAGCGAGGCGACGTACAGCATGACTGTTCTTCAAGACGGTGTCGTCCAGCTGGCCGCCACCGAACTGTGCGACGATCAGCGGCTTCCCGACCTTCTCGAGCTCCGCGACGAGGTCCAGCTGCACGCCCGGCCAGGTCACGTTCAGTCGATCCAAAGCCTCGTCCTCAAGGGTTTCATCCAAACCGCCTGCGAAGATGACCGCATCCGCGCTCTTCGCGGCGGCGACCGCAGCCGCGAAACCGCTCGTGTCGTTGCCCTTCACGGTCGCGCCCAGTACGAACTCGACGTCAAAGCCGGCCTGTTGTGCGCCGAGGAGAGGGCTGACGAGGAATGGGGCTGCACCGAAGTAATTGCCTTGCATGAGCGTCGTGGCGTTCACCCAAGGGCCGATGAGCGCGAGCTTCTGGATGCGCGGGGACAGCGGGAGCGTGCCGTCGTTCTTGAGGAGGACCATCCCCTCGACCGCAGCGGTGTGTGCGAGCTGCAGTGCGGTCGGTGTGTTAACGTCAGACCATGAGATCTGGCGGTAAGGCTGGGATTCGGGCGGGTCGAAGTAGCCGAGGCTGTCAAAAGTGTGTCAGTTTGAGTTGTCGCCGTTGTATGTGCATTTGGAACTTACCGGACAAGGGAGGCATATTGGCGTGTAACAGCCTGCTTGAGATCGTCCACTGTGATCAATCCTTGGTCGAGGGCGGCGGGGAGGTATGTCGATGTGAAGGTGCCGCAATCGACGTCAGTGCCAGCGAGGAGCGCGTCAGCAGCAGCTTGCGCGGGGTTTGTGGTGTAGTTTTGTTCGACAAAGATAGTTGCCACTGCATCGCAGTCACTGGTCACCCATCGCTCGTCGTTGAAACCCCATGTGTCGCGGAGGATGTCCTGGAGCAGAAATTTGTTCCCGCAAGATGGGACACCGTTGATGGCGTTATACGAGCACATGACACTGGCGACCTTGGCATCGCGCACGCACGACTGGAAAGGGGGGAGGTAGTACTCGGAGAGGTCCTGCTGTGTCACGATAGCGTTGAAACCAAAGCGCTGGATCCCCTCCCAGTTATCGAGGTCGTAGGCGGCAAAGTGCTTGCAGTCGGCGACGATCTTGAAGTAGGGTTTGGGGTCGAGGCCGCCTTGAAGGCCGACGATGAGGTTGTAGACGTACTGGGCCAGGTGGAAAGGATCTTCTCCCGGGGTTTCCTGGCCACGGCCCCAACGGGGATCCTTGAACGCTGAATGAAATGGTTCGTCTCTGGAGTGCATACAGCGAGGTCTATGGCGCTACTCACGGTTGATATTAGGCGTCCAATAGTCAAGACCAGCACGCCCGATGTTACTGAAAGCGCGAGCTTCAGTGCCTATTATGGTTGCAACTGCATGGATGAGAGGATCGTCGAAGGCGGCACCCATAAGGATGGGTTGAGGGAAGGAGGTGGCAGAACTGAAGTCCCCGGATTGGCTAAAGTTGACTCCAGGACTACCCGCAACGCCGTGCTAGAAGACAAAAGTGAGCTCGGGAGTCTATACGCCCGAAGAGACCTAGCTCACCAATGCCTCAGACCACCAGTTGTATGGGGGCAAGCCGAGACGAGGGACACCAGGTGAGGAGTTGACGGTGTTGTTCGCGAGCTCATCGGTGGTCCAGAGGTCGATCAAAGCAGCAGCACGAGTGACGGGGTCTTTTGTGACATCGCAAACGGTGTTGTTTACGAGTGGTGCGGTGGTGCAATCCGGGAACGCGTACGGCGGCGCCGCGAGAGCAGAGAAGCCGACGGAGAGAGCAGATAGGAAGACCGCGAGACGACGAAGGCCGTACGCCATGAGGGGCAGGAAGTCGAACAGGATCTCCTGGAGCTGAGGGCGCATCTTGGCTTCGTTTTATGCGAGAGCTCTGCCAGTGGAGGGGAATCGTCGGAGACAGAAGCCAGGCAGCGAGCAGCCGATGCGCGCGAGTGCCAACGAGAGTCAGCTGGAGGGTCATAGGCCATTGGTGCTGAATGTAAGGGGCGAATGGATGTTTTCTGCAGGATGGCGAAGGCAAGATGGACGGGTGAGATAATCCGACGGCAGGGGCGATTGCCGCCATCCCCCGAAAGGTCGGCAGCCAGCGCTTGTCCCGCGTGACCATCGTGCGCGCGGGGATGCCTCCCCCCGTCTCACGACCCCGAGCCTCACTGGCCCTACCCTGCCTTCAACATCCGCATCGAGGACCTCGTTCGCCCCGATGCTAAGCTGTTCCTCGACCACATCCGCGACTCTGGGGTGTGCTGTTGCCACTATCTGCAGGTGGCTTTATACCCCAAACTCCGTTCCCACAAAGTACGTTCTCCCCTGCAAGCGGAGTTCCTCCTTACTTCTTGCTTCTGCGTGCCGTCATACCCCAATCTCGCCCGGTCACACTGCCCGCCCGATGATGTCCCGCACTGCCGCCCACGCTGCACCTCCCACCGCGCGGTGTGTCGAGCGAGTTGCGCACATCTGACTGAACGGAAGATCTCCAAGGTATGGAAGCTGCAAATGCTCACCTGGAAGAGCCGCAGGGTTCTGCTCTCTGATGTACCCTCGTCGGATGTTGTACTTCGGCGCACATTTGATTTGTCGCTGCTCACCTGACTATACGCTCAGGTGGCCTCTGCACGGCCGTACTCCTCCTGATGAATGGATATGTGACCGACGACCATGAGCACTGAACACAACGTGACTCTTGACACCCCTCCCTCATTTTCACGGATCTCGTCCCTCTGTGGTCTCTGCTCGTGGGTCCAGGTACCCGATCCGCGTTCGGGAGAAGCCCAGCTGCGTACCAATAGACAGATGGCACTGCGCCGAATTTCTATGCTCGAGAAGTCCACCTGCGACGATGCCTGCGGATTCCGTTACGACACGCGCGCACTACATATGGTCCATGTGCATGAGGTCTGCATGCGCGTGTGCGATGTTTTTTCTGAGTGTTCCAAGGGTATGAGGACATGTTCTAAAGTGCCATGAGAGATCTAGGATACTATAATAAGTTCAAAGTAAATAGGGGGTAGTGCAAGTACAGAGCGGGTCGCCACACCAATGCCCGGCGGGGTGCGGGGTACGCTGGGGATTCAGAACTTCAATTTATTACCAACATGTCTTCAAGGGATAAGCATACCAGCGACTCTCGAAGACAGACGACCGGCGGGCCGCCTTTCAGAACATACACAGTTGGGACTGGTGGGGAGGCCTATGAAAATCGGGTGCTGAATACGTGTCGAGAAAGGCACACAGCGACCTCAGCAAGAGGGCCATCTCTCGCGGCACGTCGAGACCTCCGAAACATCACATGTCCTGTGCTCATCGTGGGTAAACCACCAAGAGAGGCAGACATCAGGACGCACCAGACAGTCGTTTTCCAAGTCGATATACCACAAAGGTTTGACCGTCACTCCGGAAAACGGCTTCAAAGCTTCGTCGAGGGTGTTGAGGGCGAAATCATAGTCGGGGCACTGCCGGAACCGCTCGTCATAGTTGTAGTTTGTCCACAGATAGACGACGAAATTGCGCGAGAACGCCAGAGTCTGGGCGGTGTCCAGCTGCACACCAGACTTCTTCGACAGATCCCTCGCCGTAAGGCACAGCGCCGCGGCAAACATACCTCCCCCCGTTGACTTGTATTTCCGGCGACTGTCGACCTCCTCCCAGGTAGGGGCTTCATCGAGCGGCTCGTTGTTCAGCGGAAGCTTGAGCTTGTGGTGCTTGACGTAGTCGATGGCGACCTCCGCCTTGAAGGCGTAGCCGAAACGCCAAAGAAGGGGGCAGTTGTTGCCGTCGTACACCTGAGCACGGGCAAGACGGCGTCGTGGACAATACTGCGCTTTGGATCGTGCGACGCGCTAGTATGCGGAAGCTCAGAGCACACATGCAAGAATGAGAAACGAGGAAACGCACTTCTCGACGGGCCACTTCCGATGGATGAAGTTTCTTGGGGGGCGAACAGGTCGCCGTACCAGCGTTTCCCTTCCCATCCAATCCACACTTCAGAGGAGACGCCACGCAGTTGGAGCTCAGTGAGGGAGGCGTAGTAGGGTTGAAAGTGTCAGATCCTTCGTCAGTGTTGCATCCTTGTCGCTCGTGGGTCATGTCAGTGCGAGCCTGTATTTTGGAGGAGAATGGGTGAGTTAGGGCACAAGAGTAGGGGGGATGAGAAGCTTGAAGGGAATGTGACTTGGAAGGCAGTCGCGAGTCGCGACTCGTGAGGGGCGTACTAGTACACGTGATCGCGTAGTGACAACACCTGCTGCCAGGTACACCGGCGCTACTCTACCTTCGTCACAGCCCAAGGTTTTCTCAACGGTGACCGCTTCTCAGACCTCTGCGAGCCGGACAGCCCGGGACTGGTCGTCCGCGAATCCTCCACTATTTCCAGCTCAACATATCTATCCAGGAGCTCAGTGTCTGCGCCACATTAGCGCAAAATCCCCTGCTTGTAACAAATTTTCGACAGGCTCACCGGTGAACCGAGGCAAAAGTTGCTGGCCATAGGAGCGCGAAGGTTGCATGTGCTCTTGCTAGAGCGCGCCGAGCAAGGATAGTCTTGACAACGACGCCAACAGAGCGATTATAATGATACATAAATGCTGGTATTTTGTACAAGGACGTCCTGGTCCGGACTCGGCTGCGCAGCCCCAGCCGACTCAGATCGACTGGTATCGTCTATATACCGTCTACGGCAACCCCGCCGCGCAACCCACGCACTTCGCCACGTGGACGGTGGGACCAGGGCGCTTGGCGAGCGCCTCATGGTGGTGGGTGTGGTGCGGGCCGGCGCAGAAGCCGCACGCGGGGGCCGCGCGGCACCGGACGGCCGCGTGCCCGTACTGCTGGCAGTTCGAGCACTGGAGGGGGCGGTCGGGCACGCGCGCGAGGGTGCACGCGCGCGGGCCGATGTCGAAGAGAAGCCGCGACCCGTTGAGGGCGCGCAGCGTCTTGAAGTCCTCGTCGTCGACGACGTCGACGAAGAGGGTGGCGGTGGTGGCGTCCGCGGCGTGGGGGCCCCAGCGGACGGAGGTGGTGGTATCGGGGAGAGACGCGCGGCCGTCGGACCACGCGGTGTCGCCGGAGCGGTGAACGGCGTCCCGGAGGACGTCGAAGGGGGAGAGGGCGACGGGAGCACCGGCGTCGTCGAGCGCGGAGCACTCAACGTGGTGGTAGAGGACCGAGACCCGGTTGACGTACCTCGACGCGCGCAGGGGCGTGGGCGCGCTGAGGAGACGACCGAGCTGGTCGGCGAGGACAGTGGCCTGGGCGTCCCAGGTCATAGGGGCGTCGCGGGGGCAGATCGCGGGCACGATCGTCCACCGCGTGCGCGCGGGGTTGGAGGAGAGGCGGTCGATTTTGAAATCGACGGCCCGGCGGAGGACCTCGAGGGCCTTGGCGTCGCTCGACCATACGGGGGCGTGGGTGGGGTCGTGGGCGGCGTGGAGGTAGACCAGCCGGGCGGACCCGGCTGGGCGGCGGCGGCGCAGCGCGGCCAGCGTGTTTTGAAGCGCCGTCGGCGCGGCCTTGGCCGGGGCGACGGGGGCGGTGGCGGGGGCGGGGCAGGGGCCGTGGGAGCGGCGGCTGCCGCGGGGCGCGCGACGAAACCCTTGCGGGCCGCGCCGGTCACCCCCTTCCCCTTCCTCTTGGCGCCGGCGCGTGCAACCGTCGCCCAGGTGGGCTCGGGGACGCTGGCCGGGGCCGCGTAGACGCGACACGCACCGCATCAGGCCTAGGGCTGGCGATGGCGATCACGTGTGGGGTCGATAGGCGTTCTGGCCGAAAGCGGCGGTTCGAGCCTCGCCACCGCCCATGCAAGCCCAAACATCCCCGCCCGGCTCGGGCCGTGCGTCATACGCTCGAGGCCAGGCCGCAATCATCAACAGCGTTGATCCTCGCAGCGATGTCCCTATCTATATAGCGTAGATGATTTATATATCTTTCTCCCGTTTGTTGCCTTCCGTGTTGTTACCGCCGCAGTTGTCATTTCAGCAGGCACAGACTTGGGGACTCTGGACCGCTGGTCGAGCCGGTGCTGGAAGACAGATCGTGAGGACGGCCACGTTGACTCGGACTTGCCAACAAAAATCGCGGCTTTGACGATCAACGACACTGGAATCCGTAAACGCCCGGGAGTGGAATGCTGCTAATACATGGTGTGACGAAGTATGTCGAAGATAATATAAGTTATGGAAAAGGGTAAAGTGGGGTGCCTATGAACGATGATGAATGCACGGCTCTATGAATCCTGGCGCACCGCACGTACCATATACGAAACCATCCGCGCGGAGAGCTCTCTAGGAACCAGCAGTCATGCAAAATCCGGGAACCTGCCCAATGAATATGCCGTCAAGCACTCCACGAGCGGTGCGTGCACGAGTGCTGCGGCGCGCAGGTATCCATCCGAAGCTTGAGAGACAGGGGGACCCATCTGCAAGAGTCCGATTAGATACCGTCGGTGGTTGACCGGAACTGAAGACACATACCGCCGAGAAGCTCTTGGCGAGGTCGAGGTCGGACGATAGCTGCGTACATGCGAGCTCGACAACGTGCCACGCGCTCTCGAACGCAGTCAGCTTCTCGCTGAGCGTCCGCGTGTTGGCTTCGATGTTGTCGGCGGCTTCGTGCAATGTCACGTCGGAGCCGACGTCAGAAAGTGCTTTCTCTGGCTCGAGTGATTGATCTATACAAGTGGTGAGGAGACTATATGAACGATAGTGGCAATGTGCTTACAGGGTGTGAAGTACATGTCGAGTCGAGCACCGTCTAGAAACAGAAGGGAGTTGGCATGCTTCATGTTGCAAGTATCTATCCAGACTTACAGTACGTTAGATGAATGCTGTTCAGACGTCCGAGCGTATCCTTGAACGTGTCCAGAATTTTCATCAAAAAGTCATTCAAAGCCTGCAATGATCGTCAGGAGCGTGCGACATAACATAAATTTGATTAACTGACCTTCCATATGGCTGCACAAAGTCTACCGATAATCCAAGAGGGCCAGTCAATATATTGCGCACATATAAACCCAGATGAAAACACGTACTTCTCGATAACGCTCCACACTTTGCCCCAGATGCCTGCCTTGTCGTCATGCGCGTTCACCGCCTTGTGGACCTTGAGAGGAAATCCGTGGACCTCCTTCGCGAGCTCGTTGAAGTTCTCCGCGTTCTCCCGTGCGGTGTTCAGGTGGATAGGTATCGTCTGAGCCGCACCCAGATCGGCACACGACCGCATACGCGGACACGCAACCGGAGCTCACCTCGAGGAACTTCCCGATCATCATTGTCTTCTGCTCACTCGAGACCTCCACCGACTGCGACAGAGGGACCAAGACGCTCGTGAAATCTGTGGTCACCATCAGCTCCGTGCGCACGTACAGAAACTCCCACCACTCACTCCTCATGAAGTGCGCACACATCCCCGCGTTCTGCTGCGAGTCCTTGTACGTCTGCCGGTGCCGCTGGCGTGACCGGAGCCCTCAGCACCTTCCCGCGACCCCGCCGCGCGCGAGACCAGAAGGAGAAAGCGCACCTGCCGCAACCGCTCCCACCCGTCGACGAGCGTCCGCCGCGCGGGCCCGAGCTCGCGCATGCCCTCGAGCTGCGCGGCCACGTTCCGGAAGAGGTCCTCGATGTCGAGCTGGTCGTCCAGTATCCGCGCGAACTTCTGCTTGAGCGCCATCTCGGAGCGGTGCGCCGCCTGGACGTCGCTGTAGAGCGGGAGCGGCGCGGCGTCGGCCATCGTGCGCGATGTGTGGCGGGCGGGGGTCAAGAGGACTGTGGCGGAGGGGGGTCGCGGGCTCGGTCGAGGGCGTACGGGAGGAAGGGCATAGATAGCGTTTGCGGAGGAGGCATGGTGCCTCGAGGCGGGAAACAACGTGGTGAGCGCGCTCGGCTCGGCAGCCTCCCTTCGATGGTACCAAGGGATAAGCGCCGATGGGTCAAATCTACAAGACAAATACTAATAGCGTCGCTCAGGGAAAGAGTTAAGCGAGGGTGAAACCACTCGATATAAGTCCGAAGAACTGCCTTTGGCTCGGCCCAGGCGGGAATATAGCCGATGTTCGGCGCACAAGACCGTAGAGATTAAAACATCTCAATTCTCCCATTACCACAAAGTATGTACTGTACAGAACGCTAACAGAGTCCAAGCAAAGGACGGCGTTTGTGTTGACCGATCATTCCGTTAATTTCAAGTAAAGTCCGTCGCAAAAAGTGTGCCGTTCAACCTTAGCTTCCCAAAATCCTCTACTGGTCAGAGGAGTCGAGCGCATTGTAGATCGGGCAGAGCTCCGACCACGCCTGCGGGACAGGGTTGGCCAACGCGACGTCCGGGATGTCCTCCGCCATCACGACCGCGAACCCGGCGTCGAGGTGGAAGTCGATGTGGCAGTGGAGGAACCACGGCCCGGGGTTGTTCGTCGAGAACCGGATCGTGACGTTGTCGCCCGCGGCCGGGGTCCCGGTGCTCACCACGTCGCGCCAGACGGGGTTGACGTAGTTGTAGTCCGTCTGGCCCGCGGAGCGGACGACGGCGAAGGCGTGTCCGTGCAAGTGGAACGGGTGCGGGGCGCCGGGGGCGTTCGAGGTCGCGGGGAACGAGATCTCGATCGACGAGTTCGACGGGAGGGAGTACACGGAGCCGGCGGGCAAGAGGTCGTGGGCGTTCTGCGTGCCAGAAATGATCTGGAGCAGCACAGGCACGGTCGGCGGGGTGAAGGTCGCGTTGTTGATGAAGAAGTTGGTGCCGTTCTGCGCGGGAAAAGAGGGGGTTAACACCGGGCTAAGGGGCGCGGTTCAGGCACGGGGCACTCACGAAGTTGAAGACCATGTTCAGTGCGAGGTCAACACCGCCCGTGACAGGTTCACCGGGCTAGGTGGGGCGATGCAGGTGAGCGCCGAGATCTCCACAGAGAGAGCACGAGAAACCGTACCACAACGAGGTCATCAAGGGAGTGCATGTCCGACTCGACGAGTGGTGTCAGGGACGTCGGTGCGTTAGAGGCCGCAGGCTCGACGAGCGGCATATCATCGTAATGGAGGATGGCGGAGTTGATCCCATCCGCAAAACCGGTGTTGCCGACGTTGGGGTTCGCGCGGATCCAGTACGTGCCGCTGGAGTTCTGGTTCGCGGTGAGCTGCACAAGCCGGGACCAAGACATCGTGTCAGTGTTGAGGCGTGCACGAGATGCAGGGCGGTGCGGAGAGACGTACCACAAACGAGTAGCGCTGGGCGGCAAAGATTTGGATGCTGTCGACTGTGATGGGTTGGGTGGAGACGGAGTCGGCCTCGATGACGGTCATCGTATGGTTGTCGATACTGAACTTGTAGTTCGGGTCGCATGACAGGGACACCAGACGGAAACGGTATCTGAAAAGCAACGGTTAAGAAGCGTGAGCTCGGGAGTTCGAGCTGACGATAGCAATCGACTGGCGTACCGCTTGCCCCGAGTGACCGTGATCACCGAAAGGTTAGCATTGGGCGTCGCAGGGCTCCGGCCCAGTCCGTTAATAAGTGTCGAATCAGAGGCCCTTCATCGGATTGTATTAGTAACAACGACAAATGGTCCATCTGAACGCACTCACGGGAAACGAGAACCGAGCTTGGCTGCGGTGTGGTACCAATCAACCAGAGTGATTACGGTGCTGTCTAGAGAACCGACGTTGGGTAAGCTTCAAACTACACTGTCAAGTTCAAGTGTCATACCGTCATCAACGTCATAAAGGCTAGCATGCGGGTCGTAGGGATCGTAGACCACCATAGGACCGCGAAGACCATCGCAGTACTGGGTTGACAGATGGCTGTGGTACCAGAACGTGCCTATCCGTTGACCGTCAATAAATCATTCTCACCACAGCCAATGTAAGTCTATACGTACCGGCCTGGCCGGGAACACTGAAGTCGTACAGGAAGGAGTGGCCAGAGGCGATGGGACACTGGTTGACAAAGGCGGGGCCGTCGGCCCAGTTGGTGCCGGCCTGGAAGAAACCGTGCCAGTGCTGCGAAACGGGAGTCAGCGTGCATCAGTGCGGAGATGGTCGGCGGCTCGTACGATACTGGTGGTCTTGAGCATGGTATGGTTGGTCATCTGGTTGATGAGGTTCAGCCGGAAATTGTCTCCCTGGAGTTTATGTTAGAATCAGAACGCATACAGTCGCATCGGGGGACACTCACCATCTTGCCAGCAATTAGCGGCCCAGGCATGAGACCGTTGGTGACGACGGCATCGCGCAGGAAACCGTCGGGGCTGATCTGGGCGTCGGTGACAGTGAGGTCGGCAACGGGGCCTATGGCGGCGTGGACAGAAGCCGCGGCAGAAAGGGCGAGGAAAGAGAGCAAAGACTGGAACCGGGCCATTGCGCAGACTTCGAATGCTGAATAGGAAGAAGACGGTCGCAGAAGCCCAGTGAGTGGTGAGCTGAGGGTCTGAGAGGATGAAAGACATGCCTTATATACTGGGTCGCGCCCAACGCTGCCGTCGCGAAGAGCACGGACATAAGTGGGATGACAGCGAGCGCTCCGTGGAGAAGTGGTTCGGCGCAAACAGGCTATAGACCGGGAAGGGGACCGCCAGGGACAGGCTGACCAGGTGCGGCGATCGCGCGAAAGCCGTGTGACGCGTGAGATGTAGATGGGGCCGAGAGTGAGGTCGAAGAGCCGCCGCACATTCAGCGCAAACGCGGGTGGGGTGCGCCCGGGAAGATGGGCGGTGGGGGTCGCTCGTTACAGATTGGTGTAGGTCGGCTCCGCAGGGGGAGCAGTAGAATGATGGCTGGGAAGAGAGTCTAGTCCCGGTTCGTTCGCCGTAACGAAGGAGCGGCCGGTGTACATGACCACAGGCACGAACTGCGAGGCTGAGGATATCAGCAACAGTGAAGGCTGCGGGTCGCGGTGTACTGCGTGGCCAAAGATGCGTGCGCGGCCTCAGCGACGTGCGTCTGAGGGAGAGCACGGCCGGCGGGCGACGTGGAGGATCTGCCGTCGAGTGAGTATAGGAGGGGAGCGCGCGTCACCCTCCATGGAACTATGGCGATAAGCGACGGCGATATTGCCTCCGTTGACGAAGCACTGGCAGGCGGCAGAGCGGGCAGCGAGGGCCGTGGCACGGTGGCAGTGAGCAGCAAACAGGCGTTTACGCGCGTTGGCGGCTGTTGGCGGCGATCCGGACCCCAGCGCCTTTCCCCGCCCGCGCTCCTCCTCACCGCCATCTTGTCCTCCCAGTCAGTCAGGCCGCTGATGTTGTCACAGTCATCTCTTCCTGGCGGTGTGAAACTTCCCCTGGCACCCGCACTAATCCCTCGTTCACGGCCCCACCGACGTCTTCTTTCCGACCCTCGGACCCGACATGTACACACCCGTCCACCACCAGGCAGAAGGCGACCCATACACCGGCACTTGCGCACTCGGGGCTCGGTCTCGGCAGCGGGCATCACAGCATCCTAGCCTGCCTGGTGTCGTCCTTCGGCGTTCGCACCCCGTCTCCCGAACAGCTCACCCAACCTTTGCGGTGACCCCGAAGCTGTTTCTTGCCAACAAACCTACAAGTCATCATGATCCCCGATGTCCAGTAGCTTCGTGCGTACAACCTCCGCCTGCCAACTATTTGTCGCGTCTCATTCCTAGTTCAATATCGGTGTTTGCCCTCGGGCTACGTGCATGCCCCGGTTTTCTCGCCGATCGTCCAATTATACACTCGCAGCACGCGTGTCCAGAAGACGCGCTCGTCTGTCGCTTTCCATATGTCGATGCGCAGAAAACGGTGGAATGCCGTACTTGCGCGGCTAGGACTAGGCACCTGGTACGTCACAAACGCCTGGAAAGCACCCGAAAAGGATAACTCAGACGTTGTTTGCTGCAAGTGTCGTCCCTTGGCCGATTGTCGTGGCTTGCACAGCCAGATCGCTCCCACCAAATGTCTCCCGACTGTTTCTGAAACGATACTTGACCGCCCACTGTCATCCTTTTTCGTCTCGCTTGTCTGTCCTTGTGCGTCTCGCTCTAGCATCCAACTATTTCTTCGATGATATTCCCACTCAGGCTGAGCGATTTGTGCGTAGAAACGCTCGGCTTATGAAGTGACGAACGTTCGGATCCGGCAACGAACCTTCCTGTGAGCGGACGTGAGCCTCTACCAGCTTGCTGACTGAGAACGCCACATGCCAGCCGGCTGACATCCACGCCCACCCCGGCTTTCTGTAGACCCACATCGTGGGCGACGGGGATCTTTCAAAAGATGACGTCATCTCAAGTATGCTCACTGGTCGTCGACCCATTGCCTCCGGTCTACGGCTGACGATACGTCTACCCACAGTGGTCGAGGTACATATTGCCGCTTCCCGTTAGACGGAACCCCCTTGTACGAGCGTGGCAGGTTTGTCGCTGAAAACATTCTAGTTCGTCGTTCGCAACGAGGGCCAGGCACCCAAGACACGCACGAGGTTACTATTTATCGCTCGTACATCAAAAATCATGGCTCATGACCGAGCTCCGACCTGGGGGCGCTGGTAGCAGTGGGGAAGGTTCGCAGACACAATGGCGAGGCGCGGCACCAGGATGAGCGAGATTCTCAAGGTAATCAATACATCAGACTCCTAAGCTTCATTGATGCACGGTCGTTCCACCTCCGGCTGCCCCCCGTTCCGTTCTTGTGGACCGCATTTATTTCTGAGAAAGCCGTCCACGGTCCCAGGCTTGCTGCGCCAGATATATTCCGGCAAGCTCTGCTTCTACTTGACCATCGCACACATCTAACACGTAAATTGCTGCCCTCGACGTTCGCTTACGATGGCCCTCGACTGCGCACGCCCTCTTCCCCACCGCCGCCGACTGCGAAATATGACCCGAATCGCGACAAGAGCCAATTGCGCCTGTCCCAGGCGGGCGGAGACGTTCGCGGACCCGAGGCGCATCTAGATCGAAGGATCCCGCAGCCACGTGACGAGCCACTTCTGCCCCAGCCAAAGGTACGCGCCCTGCAGCTGCGATCCACTGCTCCCGACGACGCGTCTAACCCCGCGCGCGGGTTCGCGGCCCTCAGACTGAACTCTCCCGAACTCGGGCCCGCGCGGCCGCCGTGTGGGTGCGCGGCCGACGCGCACGGGCCGGGTGAATGGTCGTTATTCCCGACGCACGCCAGACGGCGTGCTCGACGGGGTCGAGTCAGAACTCGGAATTAATGGAAAGACATCCATAAGAATTTACGGACGATTTAGGGCGCAGAGAGCCCTAAATCGACGCGTGCCTGACAGATCCGCGGTGGTCGGGCTGTCAGATTGGAACTCCGACGTCGCAGGGAGGTCCGTAAATCTCTACTAGCATGACCCCAGAGTTGAGAAATGGGAACGCCCGCAAGATCAAACCATGAGAATCTCGACCATCTCTGTTGCGATAGTCTTCGGATGTCGTACACATATTGGTAGTGTCATACGAAATCAGTGTGCAAAGTTTCAAAGGAAACTAGTACATATTGCGCCCCCAGTGGACGAACCGGCCGCGGACCCTAGAGTTGAGAAATTTCGCCGAGGCTCAGTCACGGCGCGGGTCACGCAGCCGACATCAACTCCGCTCGGCTAGGCTGTCAGATACGTCCAGGGATGACAGCATCCTCCCCAACGACAACGTCGGAGACTGAAATTCACTCACGTTCTGTGGCCGAAGTCACGCTTGAACTGACCCAAAGTGCGTTTTCGCCTCCCTCCCACAGATATCGTGCCGGAGAATTCGAATTGGGGCAGCCATGCTTCATCCAATACTCCTCACGCAGCTTCAACCTAAGCGCTGGTCATGGGATCGTAGCCGACGGATATCAAATCTTCGACTTTTCTCATTTGAGAGATGTTTGCGAAAGATCGGGCTTGTTTCTGCACGGAACGACGTCGTTCTTTTTGCAAACGAAAGTGAGAACATGTTCCTACTAGCGTGTGAATTTTCAACATTATCGGACGAGGGACGGGACCGCCAGACCAGATTTCTCAACACTGGGGGCATTTCTCATCACTGGGGTCGGACTAGTAGCCCCTCAGAAATCTACGGAGGGGGGGGCCCCCCCTCCGTAAATCTTCCAAGTGCCCTATTCGTCCCAAAAAGGAAACTTTTTTCAGACTCCGACTTGCCTTTTTCCCGTTTCCGCGCTTCCTCGTCTCGTCCACTTCGCCGTACTCTGTACTCCCCGCTACATAGTCTCGCGCACGACACACACCACGCACAGCCCACCCGGTGGCAAAACGATGCAGCCACCTGCGCGGTGCAGCGGATTCATGCCCAGTAGACACCGTCTTTTTTACCGTGTTATCACTTGCTCACGACACCCCCAACGCCTACATTTCCTCCTCACCTTGCAGCCACACCCCTCGAGGTCCGCCGCGCCGGGGAACTCACGCGCTCGCGCTGCCGCCACGGCGAACCACGGGCTCGCGCGAGCTTTGCGCGCCCCGGACGCCATTGCGTGCGTCGCGCTCAAGGACGAAGAGCTCACGGCGCAAGCACGCGAGTCGTCGCTGTCGTAGCGCTCCTCGATTTTTTCTTCTCCCAACTCGCCCCCTCGCCCCCGTCGTTATCCACAGTTGTCTGCGCGGCCGCGGCGCGCGATGCCCAGCGCATCAAGTGCCCCGCGCGGCGCGCGCGAGGGACTAGTATATACAACCGCGTTTCCCCTGGGATAGATTTCCGAGTGAGGGTCAGTGGGAACAGGAAAGCACCACGAATTGGCGGCGGGATTGCGCCCAGTGCGAATCTGCTCGCTCGCGCGTGCGTGCATGGAGACTCGCGCGTGCACGCGCCAGCAGGCGCAGACGCGCGGGTGTCAAATAGGCCGTGGCAGAATAGGGCCGTTTGGAAACACACTACAGTGTCCCACGGGTCCTTGAGACGCGAAAAACATTCCGGCCGATATCTCTGCGTTTTCGGGTCGGCGGCCACCACGTTTTGGCATTTACATATCTCTACTTAGTGGCCACCTCAATGAATATTTTCGGGTGGATACGATGTGCGAGAGACGAGTTCGACAAGATATGACATATGGTCCCGAAGTCCGCACCCACCCCTCCTTGAGACGGCCCATTTCGGGCAATAGATCATAGATCTCCCACGGCGCGCGTTGGCGCCTAGTCACTTGATCCATCCGAGTCGTGGTCGTGGTGCTCGATGCCGTCCTCCTACTCGTCCCCCTCACACGGGAGTTCAAGTCTGTGATGTAGTTCGCTCATTCAAGGTGAGGTTTCTGTGCAGGACACGGAGAGGCCAGTCGACGCAGCACAACGCGACACCGTGTGAGAGTGTCACGTGGTAGGTGTATGCCGGCCCAACAGACGCCGTTGACCCCGGAATCCCGGGACATGCCCGGCATCACCAGCCCTGTGATATAATCACTTGAAATCTCGCAGAGAGAGAGCTAGAGGTAATGGAAGTCATGCCTCGCATTTCCGGAGTTCAGGATGTTTCCATACTCTTGATGATATGCCATTTAAGTTTGCTCACACACTCGGAAATGCGAAAACATATTCTCATGATTTCAACCGGCTCTGGAACCAGCTGGGATCATTACTCTAACTACAAGGTGCATTGTTGTGCACCGAAAGTCCATTTTTTCAACAATTGTAAGCATGTACAAGAGGAGTCATCGCGGTCTGTTTCAAGGACCCGTGGTGTCTCAAGGACCCGTGGGACACTGTATAGTGCGCGAAGATGGCTCCACCTCCGCGACTCCGCTGCTCCACGGCATCGCGGCGCGCTGGTCAAACGCCCGTCACGCATCTGCAGTGTGACCGGGCTGGCGCACGCGAACTGACTGCAGGTCGCGTCCCGTCATCGATCATCGTTATAATGTCCACGCTAACCATCGTGATGAAGGCGAGGGACTCCGGAGAGGTTAGGAAGACGAGATCGGCGCGGTGATATGATCGCCTCAGCGGGTGAGCAACTCCGCGGCATGTTACGGTGACAGTCACGCGGGGCCACTGGCCAGACTCCAATGCTCCAACTCACGATTACTCCGGTGCACCATCGTAAGATTCCAAACGGCCCTAATTTACGGAAAGCACCGCACACAGACGGGCTTATGGGAGGGGCCATCCGCCCACGTCAGCGGAGTTTCAATTAAAATCAAGGTTTACGGACGTTTACGGGCTCTGAGCATCCGTAAATTCTTATGGATGTCCGTCCAATCCAGCGTTTCGCGGGCTGCGCCAGAGCCCAATGTGATCGGCGCGCAAATCGCGCAGGCGTCTGACTGGGGAGCACCATGCGGCCGCGAGCCTTGGCGACCCCGCTCGATGCGGCGACTGCAGTTGAGGTGCCGACGGGAGGCGTACGCACACGGGCAGCGACCGGGTGTAGTCCACTCGTCGCTCCGGTCAGTACAGGCCCCGAAGGCGAAGCCCACTCACGAGCGCTAACCCCGCGCCGTCGGTCTCTCATGCGCGCATCTCCCGCGTTCCCTCCGTCATTCAGAGCACCTCTCCTACAGATCAGTCCCGTCAGGGCCCCCGCCGCACCCGTGCCTTACAGCTCGCCGAACGCACGACCACCGGAGGGTTCCCACTCTACGGACGCTCAAATCGCGGCGGAGCAGCGTCGCTCAGGGCAGGAGCCCAAAGTAGTACGTATTAGCCTGGTGCTGCGTATGTATCGCGACGGCCTCGCGCCGCTCGCGTCCACATCCACGCGGCCAGGCTAAAAATGCGGAGACGGCGGCGGACGACTCTCCGCCGTCGGCTTCACTTCATACGCCAGTTTCTGACAGCAGGGGAGTGGTCGCGCGCCAGGACGTCCGCGATGTCACGCGCCTGCCCGCCGCTCCGGCCAGTGCAAGTTGCAACCGTCGAGCTGCCGCGCCAGTTGTGCGCAGGGACGCTGGAGACTGCGTTGAGAATCCCTGGTAGCCCTACGGTTGACGGGCGGTGTAGGGACTAGTGGTCGCGACATGCGTTCTGCCATCATGCAGCTGTACACTCGTTGCCTAGCGGTGCAGTCTGGCTGAACCTTGCCCCGCCTGATAACCTCGCGCTTCCGCGCTTCAAAGAACGCCGTCGCTTGACGTGTCTACTGAATGGTGTGTACAGGCATGGAATACAAAATTCGTGGTTCGATGCTTGAGGGATCATTTTTGAATCCACACTGATTCGGGGACCGCTCTCCGACATCACAGATAGGACTGCAGCGCGCTGCTGCGTAACTGCACTCAAACATGATCGAGCTCGTCTGCGGAATATGCCAACGGATAGCAGCGGCGTGGGGAGAGAGAGATACACATCATGCCGTCTACGCTAATACCGGGGCAGCTCCATCCTTCACTCGGCCCGCCTCCCGTCCCGCGCGTCCCGGATATACGACCGCCCGGAAGCCAACCTGCCTTACCTCTATTTGGGTCCCTGATCAGATCGCACGCCTCATCACCGCGCAGATTACGCGACGACGGCGATAAGTTCCTCATCCAGCTATAACGAGCGGACTGAAGTGCACATCTGCTTCCGCAAGGCACACCCGCGCGCGTTCCGAACGCTGACTGGTGTGCCATACTGGAGGGGACTGGGCCGAAAGTCACCGCAGACGCGAACCAGGGCGTGCCGGGAAGTCGCCACTGGGTTCTGCCGCGAGCGCACGGATCCATGCGACGGACGGCGCGAGGGCCTAAGTCTGAGCTTGCTGACCGGCGCCGGTTCTGCTGGGAGGCCGATCTCGCCCGGGGCGCCGGGGAGGCCGCTGTGGGAGACCTGGAGACGTCCCTGCGCGGACCGCTGCTCGAAGTCCTCCGCGCACGTAACGTTCGAAGTCCAACGTCGGTAACGGGTCGGAACAGTGGGGTGGCCCTTCTGCGGAGCGAGCGTCGTTTCTGCGCGAGCGCGATCCGCCACAAAGACGATGTGGGTGGTGGGTGCTCTGGCCGCCGGGCCGGGTTGAGGCCAGGCGACAGATCTAGAACGCACGCAGCTCGGGATTCTCCCCGGTCTGCGCGTGCCCTTGTCTGAAGGCGGCCTGCAGCTGCCGCATCCAAAATGCTGAAGCTCATGCAAAAGAACGCGCGATCGACCAATCCAAATGCCTGAGCTGCAGCACTCAAGTACTCTAGTGCTCACCTGACACCAACACCGATCGCGAGCGTTCGTGTCCTTCAGGCACCCATTCCGAATGCTCAGCACGGCCAGAAAACCGCCGTTGTGCGCATCTTGGACGGCCTGCAAGACCGTCTGTGCAGGAACCACTTGCAGAGATCGATCATAATCCGGCGCACCTCTCAAAGCCCCTTGACACCCTGGCTGCTGTAGCCACTGTTCTGTGTTCTTGAAAACGATCAGCCTTAATGGGAGCATCTATTCTGAGGCTTCTTGAAAGTGGCGGCGGAGGGGGCGACGCGGACGGATGTGCATGGTGTCCAAAGAGGCGGGCCGGAAGGGCGGACCGGAAGATTCAAGAGGCGTGGGGCGGGGTCGGGGCAGAAAGCGGGGCGCGGTAACGAGACGGAGCAGGAGGTAGACGGAGTGAGAAGGGCAAGCGTTGTGGTCGAGCATAGCTCGATGGTGGGCAACGGAGGTGGGGCAGGCTGAGGTGGCAGCGCGTCGGAGGCGCCTGTAGTCGCGCGATCGACGTCTTTACCACGGACGAGCCCTGTCAGACGCCAGATGGATCCCGCTCATCCCCATCCCATGGCCAGGGGATGGTCACATCCACGGTGCGTTCTTTGACTAAGGGGCTACGCCTGACGATGGAGAGACGAGATATTTGCTTGGTCAACATTCCGCTGGATGGCGCAGTGCAGGGGTCGTTATGCAAGCAGCTGGCTACCTGTGAGCCGTGCGGCACGAACGTCGAACTTCATCTCGAACGCATATGTAGTCATGGAGGAGTCCACCTCCAACTTGAGACCTTCCTCCTCTACTCTAGTTTTCTCCCATCCCCGTGTCGATGTTTTCCGAGATTCTGTGCAAAGCAACCAGCAGGGTGTCCTTCGATTCCCCCGCCGACCCTGTCCCTACTTTGCTCGCCCTCCTCCTATTTCAACCCCGGACGCACCACACCCTGACGCATAGGGCCATCCACTGGCGACTCGACCAAGTGATGACCCAGTTCGTCAACGCGCTGATTCCAGAATACCACGTCGAATCATCCCAAGATCTGTACTCCTGCGTCGTCACCCGGCTCGACCACTTCGTGGACACCAAGGGCAACTTTCCCCGCGAGTACATCGTCGCCCACGTCGCTCTCCCCCTGCCCGTTCCTGCCGAGCTTTCCTCCGGTAAACCGCTCGCTCCGCGCACCATTGGCTTCCTCAAGTTCGAGCGCTGCTGGAGGAGCTACGATCCCGTCGACGTCCACCACCCCCTCGAATTCCCCGCCAACCGATGCAAGTGGCTCACCGCGGACGACACCCTCGGCGTCTACGATCCTAACTACCACCCGTGGGCCTCGCGCCGCCGGACGCTCCTCCGCTCCAGCCACAGTGCCCTGGCAGTCCCGCTCGCGCGCGCGCTCGTCGCGGCGTGCGCGCTGCGCCGCATCCACCCCGACTGTGTCGAGAACACGTACGCACACGCGTGGTTCGCCCGCGGCTTGTGGGAGCGGCTTGTGGACCCCGACGCGGCGGACGGCAGTGCGGGCCAGGACGCCCGCTCGGAAGATTCAGGCTGCTCCAAGTGGGGATTGCTGAAGCGTCGTGTTCTCCGTAACAAGACCCCCGCGGTCTTTGTGAAGGTGTTGAAAGAGAAGGAGGCGGAGGAGTGCTGGGCGGTCGAGGACAGGGTCCTGCGCGAGCTCGAAGCGGGCCGGGCGGAGATGGCGCTGCGTTTGTCCGGCAAGGGCGCGTGTGCAGGCGAAAACCGTACGACCCAGATGCAGGCCGTCTCGGACCTTCGGGAGGCGTTGGATAGAGGCGTGTGGGCGGGGGCACGGAGCGATCTGGACCGGAGGAGTGCTAGTGTCACTCTGTTCGGATAACCGCTAGTGTTCGGACAAACGCGAATTGCGCTCCAGTGACTCCACCGATAACCATGAAATTTTAGATTTGGCCAGGATAGCTTCTCACACACCTGCGTGTTAAGTTTCGTGTCCCCCTGGCCCTACTTAGCTGCGTCCGATCTCGAGGATGCACTCATCTGACTGGGAGGAGTGGGAGAAGTCCCACCCTTGGCGGGTCTTGGCTGAAAAACCTAACCCAGCGCTCCACTTGGAATTTTTGGAATGTCATTCTTGCGCAATTTTAAAGTGTTCTCTAAATTCACCGAGAGGATGCGCCTTCGTGGGCGTCGACAGTACAAAATTGAGCTCTGGAGGCGTGACAGTGATCCAGCACTTGTGTGTTGCCTCGAGCTCAGCGCCCAACTCGATTTGGGTTCTGACGTCGGCTACAATATTTATCGGAAAAACCGAATCGCGCTTGCAACGCCATTGCAACAGTCCCAAGATCGATCCGAATTGGAACGGTCTTGTCAGACGACTAGTTTCTCTTGCAAGGTGATCGCAAGTCCGGGGGCTACCTGGTTATTCCGGGCGTCCACCTCGCAATTTGGGCTTCGTTTTTCTGTCGTCCTTTTTACCGATTCACACTTGTAATGGTCTCGACACAATAGCATTTACTAGACTACTACACAAAGACCGACATGATGTACACCGGACAGTGTCAAGCGTGATCCTGACAGATCTACCTGGGAGTCCAGGGGAGCATCAGGAAAAACACAACTTGCTAATTGGGTCTAAGTTGAACTAATTAGTGCAACTTAGACATATTAGAGGATCTTCACTAATTAGTGAAGTCCCTGGAAGTTTAGAGCTAAATAGTCCTAATTCGCTCTAATTAGTGTCTAACCAGTGTCTAACTGCTGCAATTGTGGAGGTCTGTAGAACTAATTGACACACAGTAGGCATGTATTGAGCCCATGATATGTTTCAATATCACTCAATAGATCACACAAACATGAAGGAGAAGCAAATATATTCTTGTTCATCGTAAGGTACATTGTATACTACAAAGAAAGATGCAACACAAAGCCTGTGGGCAACATATCTACTCAGGCGAGACAGGTGAGACGGGCAAGAGCGGGGTGAATGAGGTAAGCGTCATAGGACGTGGGCGAGGTGGGCGATATGGACGTGGGCGCGAGACGCAGGCGAGTTGCGGACGTGGGCACGAGACAGGAGACGTGGGCGAGGTAGGAGATAGGCAACATGGACGAGGCGGGCGGCACGGAAACGCGCGACGCGACGAGAGCGAGAGCCAGTGGGCGAACGAGGCAGATCACACAGTGACGCAGGGGCAAAACGTGGGCGTCACGGAGGTGGCGATGGACATGGGTGACACGGGCGAAGTGGGCGAGATGGGTAAGATGGGCGAGGCGAACGAGACTGACGAAGCAGGCGAAGTGCGAGACGAGCGAGAGACGAGCGAGACGAGCGAGACGAGCGAGGTTCGAGGCGCGCGCGAAATGGGTGACGCAGGCAAGGTGGGACGTGTGGGTGCAAGACGGACGAGGTGGATGAGACGGGCGAGGCAGGCAAGGCGAGGTGCAAGTCGCGGGCGAGACGGACGAGGCGGCGACGTGAGTGACACAGGCCTAGACCGACGCATGCATGAGCGAGGTGACAGGCGCGAAGTGGGTAAGGATGGCGACACAATGGGGGCAACACGGCGGGATGTTCGCTCCTCGGGCGAGGGACACGGGCGAGGCGGGTGACGCAGAGGATGCGGGAGATGCAGGTGACTTGGGGGACACAGGAGATGTCCGGTCGATGCCGGGAACGCGGGCGAGGAGCGAGACGAGGGATAAGACAGGCAAGAAGAGTGCGACGTGGGCGCCGTGGGCAAAACGCGGGCGCCGTGGAGGTGGTGACGGACGAAGTGGGCAAGACGGGCGAGGCGGACGAAGCAGGCGAAGTGCGAGACGGGGGTGATACGAGCGAGAAGAGCCAGACAAGTGAGGTGCAAGGCGCGCGCGAGATGGGTGACGCGAGAGATGTGGGCGATACAGGCAGGACGGACGAGGGGGATGAGACGGGCCAGACGGGTGACAGAGACGAGCACGGGCGAGGTGCGAGGTGCAGGCGAGATGGGAGCAGTAGGCGACGTGGCGACGTGGGCCGTCTCGGGGGGTCGGTGTCTTGCTCCCTGCGCTTGGATTTGGGGATCGGGCAGGGAACGGAAAGAGAGAGAAGGGTACCGGGAGGGGTTGGGAGGCGTCGGTGTGGCGAGGACGGGAGGCGGGCTCAGTGGGCCACGGAGGACGGTGCTGGCAGTGCCAAGCGCCAGAGTTCACGCAACGCGCGTCGGTTCCCACGCGTCCGCCGCTGCCAGCGTGTCCTCCGAGTCCGACTCTGTGCTCACTGCTATCATCCCCATCCTCCCCGTCCTCCCCATCCTCCCATCTTTTCCTCCTGGCGCAACATCTTGGAGGACCACGCGAACACGCCCCTCGCCTGCCGCTTCCTCAATGAGCTGTCCCGGCCCCTTTGTCTTGGTGAGTCCCCCATTCTGCTCTCCTGCGTTCCCTGCCTCGCCCACCGCCTCCCCAGGCCCCAACCGTGCCATCGACCCCATCCTACAACGAGCCCGTGCCAACGACGCTCATTTCGGCGCCGCCGTGTCGCATGGCCGTTGCCGCCGTGTCACATTGCCCGCCCCCCGCCTGCGCACGCCGCAATTCTGCACCTTCTCTGTGCTGCAGCCCTTGTGCACGGTCTCCCCTCGTGCGTGGTCATGGCAGGGCTGGACTGTCGCCTGCAACAGCTCTGGCTCCTTCGCGGTACGTTTTCCTTGTGTCCGCTTTACTCCTTCGCCTATACTCATTCCCACCCTCCATTTCCGCGAGCTCGACCACGACACTCGCCGTGAGGTCTGGCCTGCGTTTCTCGCCGAACGGGCGGCAGATCAAGCACGCGGTGCACACCGCGAGCTCGCTTGCAACCAGCCGTGGGGTGCCGCTCCGGCTGGAGCACCTCGCGGGCACGCTCGACACGATGGAGGAGTTTGCGGCCGAGTTTGTAGGCCCCGGCCCCACCTCCCGCCCCCCGACCCCGCAAACCGGTTACCGCACACGCGCACACGGCCTGTCTGCCCACACAGCTTTGGCGCGTCTGCCGTGGCGAAGGACTACGTCTTCTAGCGCCACGTCGCCCGCCCACTTCGCCCGTGTCCGAGTCGTACGCCTCTCCCTCCTCACGCCTGCGTCTACGTCCGCGTCGTCCACGTCCGAGTTGCCCACATCGCCCGCCCACATCCGCGTCGTCCCCGTGCCCGTGTTACCGTGTCGCTGACCTCACCCACATCGACGTCGTCCACCTCCCATGTCGCCCACTTCGCCGTGCCACCCACCTTGCCTGCCTGTCGCCCGCCCGCTCATCTGTGTTGCCAACTCGCCCACATCGTCACCTTGCCTGTGTTACACACACCCTCCTGTCCTGCGTTGCCCGCATGGCCCGTGGGCCGCTTGCTGGAGCAAAAGAGGGTGTAGCAGTAGACACGCCTTTGTCGGTAGTGTACTTAGGTTGTGTTAGTTACCAATATATTTTGTCCTTCCTGCATATCTGTATGTGAATCAGTCTGCTGAGTGATGCTAAGCTTCTCGACTGGTTGCAATTGCTGTCCCCGATAGAAACTGTTTAGTATCAGATTGCAGGAGTTAGAGTGTTAGTATTGCACACTCTCAACATCTCCTAATGAGCATAGATATGCTCCACATTAGATGCATTAGTAAGATGTAAAGCCTAATATGTTTACTGTCAAGTGTGTTAGTTCACATGTGGTCTAAAAGTCGGATGATTAGGCATGTTAGACCACATTAGAGCGAAATGTCTGGTTAATAGATGTGTTAGAGCACAGTAGGGCTAATATGCAGATTGTATTTTTCCTGATGAGAGACGGAGCATGAGCACGGAAAACAGAGATGACAGAATGGGAGATATGGGGGCGAAGACGTTGAGGAAAGAGAACGGGGCGGTGGAGACAGACAAGAGCCCAGGCTGGCAGTAAAGACTCAAGAGTGCAATGTGAACAACGCTAGGGAATAACCAGGGATGCAGAGAGGCACAGAAATGGATGCAGAAGCACGAGGGAGTCTTGCAGCGCAGGATTGTCATCGATACGAGGAGAGCGGTGGCGGAGGGGGTGGCTTGGGAGCAGAGAACCAGTGTGGACTCAACGGGCGTGCAGATAGCAACAACAGACGACTAGCAACAGGGCAGGGGTGGGGCACTGGTGGTGAATGAAGTGGTGTCAGCGGACGACGTTTGTAAGCTTTGAAAAGAGGAGTCTGGAACAGAGGGAGCATGAGAGGAGAGAGCAAGAGACACGACTCGGACTCAGACGCGGCGAAGTCCAACTTTGAAATTGTGACAGGCGACGGTGCTTCAGGGCAGGTTCAATTCAACTAAAGCCGTGCCGTCGCAAGGGATCGGTCTGATTGATCTGGTGTCGTAAGATGTTCGCCATCTTGCAATCGATCCCAGTAGAACCTGGGCGTGGCAAGGTCCGCCTTGCAAGGCGGAGTTCCTTTTTCCGACAACAGTCGGGCGCCCCTGTGACGACCTACGGAGAAAAGTTGTCCTAGGGTCAGTTCACTCTTAGAACGATTATACACGCATATGCCACCCGCTTGCCCCAAAAGTTTGCAGAATTACGGATATAGACAATTGGGATTAATCTATACAATTTGAAGATTATCGGTCGAGGGGGGCGACGAGGACGCGTTGAACTACCCCGGTCGACGCTTGCGAACATAATCGGTGCCATGGCCGTGACCGGGCCCGGGAGATGAGAGAGGATTGGACCCACGGCAATATGAGGTTCTGCTGATGAACGAGGGTCCGAAGCCTGTCACGTAGAATCATCGGTCTGAGAACTAACCAGATACTTAGTCGGGACTCCGCAAGAATGACTTGGTGGGGACATCATCCGATCGGACGAGGAAGAAGTTGTTGAACATTGGATATCGAACATAGGTACATACAGACAGTTCTACGTCCACATGGACTCTGTGAGAGACTTCCCATAGTTCCATATGTCACTTCACTGCCTTGTAGTTCCTTATCTCTTCCATTCCGTTCTTCTACGCTTCTCTCTTTGTTCCCTTGTTCCACTTACGGACTTTCTTTGTCTTGAGCGCACAGCCCGCACAGCATCGTATCCATCTTCTGTCTGGTCTGTTCTCTGCGCCATCTATGTCCTCCATCATTCGCTTACGTATGCAGCTCCTGAGATAGATATAAGGAGGACTCTGGCCCGCACTGCTCTTCAGTCGTTCTATCACTGACTGAGGAGTAAGTACCCCACTCTATGCGCTCCTTTATACACATGCTTACTGTATCTGTAGTCGCTCCTCTTCGTGTGCTTACAGGTACTACTTATGCACTCAATATAGTCGTTCTATCACTGACTGAGGATCGCTCCTCTTCGTGTGCTTACAGTCGGTTCCTTGCCTTACTCAGAGTTCATCAGGTTATGAGCCCTGCGCTCTAGCTTGCTTACGTTGAGCAACGCGCGCTTCACCTTTCGCCAACGATTCAAGATCTCCCCATCGACTACTCGTGGACGGTTTCGGTCGGACATAGCTTTGGGTTTTACCCTCGCAGTCCCCTTCCTCCGTCTTCACCTCTACCCTCCACAAGGCCTTCCGACAGGCTTTCGTAGCGAGGTTGCCCCAACGGGTGCTCATTCTCCACGAGTAGGGGATATCGTTCTCAACATCACGCTTCTCTGAACTTTCACCGACTTCACCGTGGCAGACAACGTTGCTGGTCCTTCTACCGACCTCAACAACGTTCAGATCCCGTCTGGCAGCTCTTCGGACTCCGACGCGATTGACGTTTTCGACTGCTCACGCTTCTACCACCGATACGAACTCCGATCAGGAGGACAAGACGTCTTCTTTGACGACGAGGACGGAGATTTCTTTGTTTGCGACGTACAACCTTGCCCTAATCGTTACGTGGACATCAACCAGCCCGCGAACTGTACGCCTAGGCCATATCACCTCGCTCCAGACTCTCCTCAACACCCTTGTCATTTCGACGCCCTCCGTTGGTCGGAACTCCCTCAGTTCGACGTCTCTGCACCAGGTTCTCCACTTTCCTCGGTCGCTGCAGACGTTCCCCCATCTCCTCTCTCCTCACACCACTCTTTGCTCGAAGTTGAGCAAGTCCTTGAAGCAGACGTCACCCCAGACGCTCCGCTCTACGGTTCATTCGTCTACGGTCCCCTCGAATCCTATCCTATCGTCGTACATACTCCCTCTCCGCCTTCACCCACTCTCGTCCCTCTAGATGATACCCTCGAGATCCTATACACGCTACCACTCATGGACACTGTCCCCGTCGCAAAGGGTTCGGTGCTCAAGGGTCGCGATGGATACAAGCAGTGGGCGCACGACATGGAAGGGATGTGTCTCATGCTGTCCTGCTGGGAAATAACCGCCACTCCTTCACTCGACCCTCCACCTGCTGCCACCGAAGTCACTGCGCACCTTGCATGGAAGCAGCGTGAATCGAAGGCACGAGGCCTGATCGTCAAACAGGTCTCGATCGAGGTCAAGGAGGCGCATCTCACCGGCAAGACCTCTGCGAACGCAATGTGGGAGGCTCTCAAAGCGGCTTACGACAAGTCGGACGCTGCATCGAGCTTCGCCCTCTTCGAAGAACTTATCAACCAGGACCGTTTCGACGAGAACAAGGACCTTGCCGACCAAATCTCGACCTACAACGCCAAGTTTGACCGCATCGACGCCACCATCGCGAAATACGGTGACGGTCAACGTGCCTTCATGTGCATGGGCAAGCTCCCGGTCTCCTATCGCGCCATCGTCACAACTATTCTTGCGACTTACGAGTCCAAGAACATCACCGTCGACAACGTCATCTCGCAGGTTCGCTCTGAGCAGACCTTGCGCAAGACATCGATCGGCAACGGCGAGGAATCCGTCAGTAAGGTCACCAAGACCAAGCCCAAGCCACGTGGTCCCTGCGCTCACTGCAAAGGGAAGAACCACGACGAATCTCACTGCTGGCAGAAGCATCCCGAGCTCAAGCCGCAGGGGAAACGTCAGGGCAACGGCAAAGGCAAAGGCAGAGATAATGGTGGTGGTGGAAATTCTGGACATTCGCATAACGTTTCGGCTCAGACTGTCAATGTACTTGTAGCGTCGGATGCCTCGTCCGCGTCGAATGAGATCTCTGCTGCTTGGTACAACGCGGGTAACACCGCTAAGCGTGATTCTCACTTTGCAGTCTGGTGCATGGATTCGGGTGCTTCGCGTCACGTATCGGCATACAAACATGACTTCTCCTCCTACACTCAATACCGCGAGCCCAAGATCTTCCATACGGCTCAGGAAGGAGATGCTGGTATCGTCCGCGCACTCGGCGAAGGAACTGTTATTGCTCGAATCGATCTCAACGGCAACCACGTCAAAGTTGAGTTTAAGAACGTTGTATACATCCCCAACGCGGGTACACGTCTCTTCTCAACTGGTGCCATCGAGAACGCCGGAAACCTCATCATTCAGGGGAATGGGAAAATGGTCATTTTCGATCCTCGCGTCACAGACGCATCCTTCTCACACGCTGGCTTGACTTTCCCTGGTGCTATGCGTCTTGAGGCTCTGTTTAATCCTATGAACAACCTCTATCAGCTGCCCACGGATATAATCAATGGCACTGTCGTCCAACCTGTTCAACCTCCAGAACCTCAAACTGCGGCTCAGTCGTCGTCGTCTACCGTCGACTGGGAACTCATTCACAACCGCTGGGGTCACTGTTCTAAGGAAGCGATCAAAAAGCTACCTAAGGCAGTCAAAGGTGTTGATGACGACATTGGTCCTGCTCCTCCCCCGTCTACTGTTTGCGATGGTTGCGCCAAAGGCAAAATGACGCGCAAACCACACCCTCTATCACCGAAGCGTGCAGAAGCCCCGGGCGACATGATCCACACTGATCTAGTCGGCCCACTGCCCACTTCTATCGGCGGATATACGTACTTCGTAACATACCTTGATGACTTCTCTGGTGCTGGTCGAATCTACTACCTTAAGGCGAAATCGGAACAGACGAAAGCTTTCCGAGCCTACTACGCCTGGGTATCGACACAGACTGGTCGCAAAATCAAGAAGGTACGATCCGATCGAGGGGGTGAATATACCGCAACAGAGTTCCAAGAACTTCTTCGCGAACTTGGGATTGAGCACGACATGACCATGCCAGGAACGCCGCAGCAAAACGGTCGTGCCGAACGCTGGAACCGAACCATCATGGACAAGGCCCTGTGT